CTACTGAGAAGGAGTAATACTTAGTTGTCTTCACCTCCTTTATAATTTCTTTGCTTCCCTAAAACATCAATAAACTCATCACAGATTTTGTAAGAGGTTTTTCCACTTCCAGTACCAAATAGAAGTATCAAATAGTTAACACAAAAAATAATAAACTCTACCTCTTGATGGAGAATATAACAAACAATCTCGTTTTACTCTATCGCCATTTTTAAGGTTTCTGTAGAAAAACTTAGTTTTACATTTCCTTGTTTCTGGGCGTTTACCGGTTTGGTCGTATTGAATTAGTTGTTACCAACACTTTCTTGCTGAGACTGAAAATAAAACTGTTTTATGTTAAGAACATAAAAACAAAACAAACTCCAACACTTACAACTGTACTCTCAAAGACAAGAAATAATCTAAATCCGAAAAACAATGATATGAGATCAATCGATATGTACTTGATGTGCGTAGGTGCGGAGTCGAATCTATTAATACAGTAGTGGTTAGTTGTATACGATGTTTTCACGAATGGTGTAAATTATGGCATCGTGCTACCTGCCCGTCAATACAACCTTAACACCATAAAGGCCATAGAAACAACTAGCCCGCAGGCGATTATTATCATATTAAAACAATTTTTTAATATGCATTATCATAAACTCTATTCTATTTTCATGGACCCTGTATAGCCAAAAAACAATCAATCAACTCCTTCGCTTAAACTTATTTTTACACCTAACCGGGCCAAAAAAATTAATTATTTCTGTGTAATTTTACACAATTTACAATATTTTTACCTGTACTCAGAATTTTGTATTTGTATATCAAATACTGTTATTTTTCTAATCAGAATTGAATTTAGATAAAAAAATAAACATTTTATTGGTTAAAAGTATTTTTATTATTTTTTATCTATATATCTAATTCCGTAAGCCCAAAATTTTACAATGAAATTGTGAGCGAACGGGAGGACGTAGAAAGCTGGTAGAGGTCTCATTTTAAAGGTCTGGGCATGAAATTTTGGGGAAAATTATTCATTTTTCTTAATTGTGCACCAAAAGGTTGTTACGGGATAAAATAATTCACATTAAAATAGCATGTGAATCTAATTGTATGTATTTGTATTTAGTGCAAACACAGATGTGATTATATAAATTGTAAAAATATAACCAAAACTGAATGTGCATTATTTTGTTATTGTAAAATTGTTAGTGAAGTAGTAAACAACACAAAGAGTGAAAATTAGATAAAATCTTTTGAACAAATAATTTGATACTTTTAAACTTATTACTTTAAAATGCATTGTTCTTTTGCACAGTGATAATGTATAATGTCGGAAAACTACCACGCAGAGGTATTGTTCCTCGAAATGAGAACAACAGGTGCCAGATTTGGCACGATATTAATGGAAGAAGAATAAATTAGCATCGGATGAACATGAATTTATTCCTGTGTATAACCACTTTTAAATGAGATTGCATTACACAGTGTATTACCAATGAACGATGGATGGGTGCATTCATTGTGGTGCATTGCGCAATTTGATTTGGTGAAATTGTGGCGCAAGGCCGAACCTTCACAAAAGTTGGCATTTATTTGAAAAACCCAGTGTTTACCTATGGTCAACTTTATGTTGTTTTTAGATGGGTGGAGGCCAGATGATGTTAATAGTACCAGAACCAAATAAAGACCAAGGAATCGACTAAAATGGATACAGTACTATGTTGTTGTAATAATAGTCAAAGATACTAAACAAAATATATTGTTTCAGAGAGATTTTCTTACAAAATTAGCATTTTACAATTTGGATGATGACATTATCTCAATGTGTTTTTCTAAGTGATTTTGTCTATATTTAAAGAAATCTATATAGATTTAATTAATAGTCATGAAGATTGTTTATGAAAATGTTCCTTAGTTGTATTATTATGATTAGAAAGCTTATATTATATACACACCGCATGAACAGCAAACAGAGCAGACATCAAAATGCATTATGCAGGTATGTAATAACCATTATACATATCATAATATACAAAAATGTTAAATAATAATTCAAGGTAGGGTAACCCATGAGACTAATAATTTGTACAAAATAATTACTAGAATATAGGGGCTATTGCCCCTACAAGCCACTAGTACCATATAATAAAAAAAAAAAATTTATTTTATATTTTTGCCTTTTAAAAAAATTTTTTACTATAAAAGTTAAAAATATCATACTGTTCTGCCTTAAAATACTGATTGACATGTTGTAGACTCAAAAAGATATCAAGCAAAGTTCGACTTAGTATGATATGTCTTGAAACATTCGGGTAGGTGAAGCCCAACAAGGCACATTTCGCACTCCCACCGACTGTCACTACAAACTGCTTCCCTTGTGCACTACAAACTTTACAGCGTCTTAATGGGTTTTGCTTTACTTCATTAGGTGGGATTTGTCTTGGGAAATGACCCCAAGAAGCTGCTTGAAGCCGTAGAGGGGTTTCTGATGTTGATGGCCGCCCTCTTCGTTTGTAGGCCGGCAGTTGTCTGGTCTGGAAAATTGCTCCGTAAATTTATTTTTGAATTCAGCAAATCCTATCTTCTTCTGGGTGATTTTTTTAAAAACAACATAAGAGTTGAAGAGAGCTATGTCCAATATATAAAAAAAATCTTCTTATACCCTTTAGCATATCTCCTCATCGTAGGAAAAGAAGCGAGCTGTTGGTCTTCTCGGTCGATACCGCCCATCGAGCTGTTGTAATAGAGGATGGGTTCAGGCTTGGTAATCACCTCACCGCTGACTCTGTCTCTCTTTCCAGTTGTTTTTTTGTCTCCCTTACTGTGGAAAGTAGACAAGAGACACACTTCTTTCTCGTCTCGCCATCTAAGGGCCATCATGTCATGGCTAAACGCAACTTCATACTCACCGACATCAAGTTTTTCACTTTTGTAACTGTCAGGCATATTTGTCCTCCAAGAGTTTACCGTCCCAATCACATTGAAACCAATATGTTTCAATCTATAGTAGAGGAGAGGTGAGGAATACCAGTTGTCAATTGTGAGGGTATGACCATTACCGGAACATTCCTTGACCATTTCAATGACTATGGCCTCGCTCACCAAAAGTTTATCATCCTCAGCAGTGTCTCCACCCCCTTCTTCCACTGTTTCACCTTGTTTCACTTCAGAACCGGTGTATATTTTAAATTTTGTACAGTATCCACTGCTTGACTCACAACATTTGTAAAATTTGATTCCGAACCTGGCTCTTTTCTTGGGGTTGAATTGCACATACCCCAACCTCCCACGAAATTTCATCAAGCTTTCATCTACTGCAATGTTTTCATCGGCCAAATATAACCGTGAAAACTTTTGATTCATATAATCAATGACATACCTCAGTTTCCACAGTTTGTCATTCTGAGGCTTATTTTTATTATCACAAATATGGAACATTGTTGATAAGAGCAAAAACCTACGAAAAGGCATAACTGTTCGAAAAAACAGAATCTCAGTAGTAGCAGTAGGGGCCCAATACGATTGAATGGTCCTTTTCTTCACAAGTGACATCAAAACACATAGACTGTAAAAACATGCCATTTCATCAGGGGTTGTTTCAAACCATTCAGAGAGTAACTGTTTATATTTACCACTTGCATAATTTTTTTCAATCGTCTCTTCGGCGCATTTGTTTGTTTCTGTAGCATCATGTTGCCAAAAATCATCCTCGACAAACACGTTGAATACTTTAACTTCAGATGGAGAAGGACCTAAATTTCTTGCTAAGCTTGCCCTGACACCAGGACAGCCTGTAAAAGGTATTTTGAAAATACTATTGTCTTCTATGGTGTTGGTCCATTTCCAACCTTGTTTTTTCTTTTTCTTAGCTGTTTTAGGTTGGCCCTTAGACCGTTTAGTAGGCTTAGGTAGCGGGAAACTAGGATTTTTTTCCTTCAGGCCTACCTCTTTGTCTTCCCCTTCCCCTTGATCTACCAATAGTTGCACCTCAACTATACTCAGGTACTTGCCAAGGAATGTTTTCAATAAAACTAGGGTCATCAGGCTCAGCCTCCTCACTGGGTGTAGGAGATAGTGCAGGTGCAATTACCCTACCTCGGTAAATTTTATCCATAAATTCAACAGGGTTTTCATCTTCAGAACTTTGCTGTTCATAGGACACAGGACTAGGCCTATGAGGCACATTTTGAGGGGACATAGATCGGGCATAACTACAAGAGGGCTGGTCATGCAAACAATCATTATTTACAGGCCTAGGCCTAACATGCAGGTCATGCAAACAATCACTATTTATAACAGGCCTAGGGCTAGCATGCTCTGTCACACCATTATCAGCTAAATCTTGAGGTTCACAGTCAGCAATATTTATACTAATGCATGCTTCACTTACATGTTCATTGTTTATTTCCAATTCATCATCACTCTCAAGCGTTTCTTCAAATAAATAACAATCACTGTCTGAGTCACTGTCACATTCAATAAGTTTAGCAATTTCACTTTCGTCCAATTCCCTTCCACACTCATCAACAAATAAAAAGTTACTCATCTTATTTATTTTATAAAACAACTATTTGCAAACAAAAAATAGAATTCAACATGATATAAACACAGTTGTGAAATGATGATGTAAACATAAACAAACAAGGCAGACAGCTGCCAAGACAACGTTCCCAACGTCAGCTGGTAAATCATAATTTTCAATTGATTTTTTTTGCCGATTGGGAAGGCTGTGGACGACGAAAATATGCGATCTGTTGGATTTTTTGGGAACTAACTCGGCAAATATTGGTTTTAATGGCGGACGGCAATTTGCCGTCGCTTCACACAATGGCTTGCGGGAGCACGACGGTGAATCGCTGTTGCTTTAAGCGAAGGGGTTAACATTACTCTTATGGGGGCCGAATCCACGATGGCTACTAGCCTCCAAGGACTCTTAACAAATATTTAACCAAAATTTGTAAAATAAATTAGGTATAGAAACAATCACCACCATCGGTCGGAATTTGTTTTAGCTTGAAAGCGGAATGGCTGTATAGCCAAGGCAGAGGTCGCCAGTTTCGTGTTGGGGAGCAAGATGCTCTGGTAATGTACCTAACAGAGACCTGCCCTCTGACTCATCATCAGCTGGAGACTGAGCATGAACGCAAGCTGAGGCTCATCCTCAGCAAAGCTCAGCATCATCAGCAGCAGCTGCTACGTCAGGAGAAACCTCATCATGGAAAAGGTATCAATCAAATCAACCCTATGTTAGATTAAATATTTTAAAGAAACTATCTCACTTATAATCAGCTGGAGATTGTCTTACATTTCATTAGTGACTCTTGCTTTGACTTTCAAAACCTCATCATGGCAAAAGGAAGATAAGCAAGCCTTGGTGCACTAGATTAGATATCATATCAAGGACATGCTAGTCATCATCAGCTTGATACTAAGGAAGAATGGTAACTGAAGCCTATTCTCAGCAAAGCTTTGCGTCATCAGCAACAACTGCTGAAAAGACATGTCAAAAATAAAGTCAACAAAACCACATGGTACCCTAAATGTTTTGGACTTAATTGCCATATTAGGTAAGTTATCACATCATGGCATCCAATTGAGCCAAATTAAATGATCCTAACTGTCAGTCATGTTCATGTTCACTGTCAGTGAAACAATACAGCATCAACATCTGTTTTGAGTGTAATGTGCAGTTTTTCAATTGAGATTCCTCTTAAACACTGTAAATTGGTTCTTTACAAAACTTTCATTTGTCTTTGCCATGTGCAGACTCTTCATTATTGAGCTCCAAGATATAAAAACATGATGGCGCTTGGATACGTGCCAAGAATTTAGAGGTGCAAAACTTGGGTGTCATGTGCAATTGCAGGTTCTGCTCTGTTGTGGCGTGCTGAAGATGACTTGAGAGTAGTTAAGGATTAAGGTTTCAATGCTGAGTTTAACAATTGTTCAATACTTAAAATTCAGTTCAAAACTGAATTTAACAATTGCTATGAGTTTTTATGCTTAGTTAAATATAGTACCTTGAACTGAAATAGAGAATGACTATTGTAAACATCTTTACCTTTTGCCTTTTCATTTGAAACATCTGTCCCTTGGCAGGAGGGAGAGGCAAGCCGCTGAAGCCCAACATGAGCGAGTTGATGACTCGTAGCCTAGACCCGAGCCTACTAGACTCCTGCACAACTCACACTCAAGAATCTGACACCGAGGTCTTGCTAAGTATGTTACATGCTGCTTTCGTTGTATTAATTATTGAAATGAAATGATTCTTTATTAACTCATTTTTATATACATTTTACAAAAACATTACCAAATTATAATTGTTAATTAGTAAAGAAGAGACTTACACGTTTTTCACTCTACAAACTCACGTTTTCCAATAAGGATTGGCAAATACTATTTAATAACTAGATAAAACATGTATGCAACACATTTTTCTCGTAGTTCAATTTCTTTTACTAATCCATGAAGCAACTTATTGTATAAAAGTTTATTGGCTGTTAACAATTACAGTGGAACCTTTGGTTAAAAAAATGGGGGTTACCTTTCGTCTACAGCTCAATGAGTTGTATCATCAACACTGCCACTTTCACCACACGCCTTTTTTAAACTTTGTTCCTTTTCTTAAAGCGGCTCAGCCATCCATTACTAACTCGAAAATATTATGACCTAATTGCTCAGCAAATTTATGAGCTTTTTCTTGAAGTAAGGGTCCTGAAAAGGGTCATTGTCTAAGCCATAACATGACAGCAGTTTCTGCGTCCTGCTATTTGGATTGTTAAGCCTTTTTACACTGGCCAGACAGTCCACCCTCAGCTTCATACGTATTTTTTTTAAATGATTATTGCAAAAGTAGTTTGTGTTATGATAAAGTCCTTAACATCCAATTTCTTCTTATGTGGATTTAATTCTACAGCTTGTAAGACTTTTAAATTTGACACTAAGGAACTTTCTACTACTTTTCTCCGCCATGATGCGCTAACACAAAAAACACACCAATACATCACTCACACCCGTAAAACTAAAAGGCAAAAAACTAAGTAAAAACTGTGTACGACGATATGAACACTGACAGATGTGAAGCACTGACTGCCGAGCAGATTTTGATTGTGAAAATGAGGAATCAATGTTTAACTCGGGTAACTGTAAAGAAAACTAGGCTATTTGGAATGATGTTTCTAATTGGTTCGAGCCTTTTATAAAGAAAGTTTATGAAGAAATGTTTATAGTAAGATAGGTTTGGTTAATTTAGTAGGCCGAAAATATTGTTACGGCGGTTAAGGACCAAGTCATATTCCACATCTTAAGACGTTGTTAAACTTTTTTTTCAAATCAGTGATGAAAAAAGTCTTTATCATAATAATCCCTCACAACATTCACTAGATCGCCATAATTGGACTTTAACTTATGTTTTACATCTGTAGGTCAGTCAATGCACTGCCCACCATCACTCCCCACCTGTCTGCCAATCCCAGCACCACTACCAGCAGCCACCCAGCTAGTGCCGGTACCAGAGAGTTTGGTCAGTCCCTCTGTGGCTACACCCCCGGCACCTCTCGGACCAAAACTGACGACCATCAGGAGCCGGGCTCAGGAGAAGCGAGACAAGAAAGTTGATCAAGGTGAGTGGAATAATAGACCTGAAGCCTATTCTCAGCAAAGCTTTGCGTCATAAGCAACAACTGCTGCAAAAAAAAAAAAAATAACATGTCAAAATCATAGATTAATCATCATAGATTTATCATCCTGGTCTGATGAAGACAAGTTGATCATTAAATTGTTTCATGTCATTTCAGTTAGGCCTATTTCAAAACTAGACTAACAAATTCAAACGATCTAGCTAAAACAACAGTTTGAATAATATCTAGGATGATTGATGTTTATCTTAAGTTAAGGTGTGTAGTATGAGATAGTGTAGTTTTGATGTCACTTAATGTGATTCTAACACTTTCCCACTTTACAGAGTTGGAGAAGGCAGCCATCTGCATACAGAAGGTGTGGAGAGGATACCATACTCGCACATCAGACCGTCGAGTACTCTCTGCGTACCAACAGATACAGACTCTACGTACAAACCAGTACATCAAGTCAGTGTACAGACTCCCTACCGTTTACATAAGCTGTTTTATGGATTTTGGATTGCCCAGTTGGCTGGTGTGCCTTATGCACTCTGACTTATATGTTGGTTTGAATTGCAGCCATTAATTTTATTCTTTACTTAGATGGAGTCCATTGTAATTATATTGAAACATCTAATTCAATACTTTCAAACAAAGGAAAAATAGGTCTCAGGCAACATTCCATTGTACTTATTGAATGCTGCTAAATTAATATGTTAATTAGTAAATTAAAGTTTTTTTGAACATCTGTCTAAAAAAACAAAGTAGATGTGAATATGCAAAGTATATTTTTTTGTTTCTCTCTAGTCAGCTTCAATTTAGAACATAGGTTTGACATTAGTTATTTATTTTATTTTAAGAGAAAATATTATTTTAGGAAGTTGTCAGAAGACATGCAAGCTACTAGGGAAGCATTAGACAATGAGCACAAGATGCAGTTACTGCAGATGCAAGCCATCAACGCTCTATGGAAAAAGGTGATGATTTATGATTATTCTAAGTTAAGGGTTTTATAATTATTGGCCTAAATGTCCCCACTCGGTGGAATGGCATGAATGTAATGGGTAATATAGCATTTTAGATTGAGCAGACAAAACGCTTGGGACAGTACACATACAATCCCCATAATAGTTTGATTTGTTTAGATTGAAAGCAAATAAACATAAGTAATAATACTACGGAAATGGGTATGTCTGTTTTCTCACACTAATATAAAAATGAGTTGGTGCCCATCTGTCTTTCAATACCAAAAATGGACTAGTTTACATAAAAACTTTGCTTCAAGTTAGTTCACGTAATCAGGAGTATCGACATAATCTTTATATTATATTGATTTAGGTATTGCATTTATTTGCTTTATGCCTTTAAACTACCCTTCACGTTAAGAATATCTATTTTTTTTTTTTTTTTTTAAGACTATACAATCATTTTATTACAATAGAAATTTTACAAAAAAGAGTAGAGGACTGTAAAATTAGAAGTTAACAATTAATTTTTAAACAAAAAAATTTGGAATCCCAGCTCCATCTTCAAATTCTCTCGCTGACCGCCATTTCTTTCTTGTTCTCCTCAAACACATACTGGTTGACCTTAAAACAGCACAAATTGTTCTTGATCTTATCCAACTTATTACTAAGCTGTATGGTTTTTTCCACTTCTCTGATAGTTTTTCAGCCATAACTCTTAATAACATTTGGAACTCATTCCCAAAAATTCCATCAACACTTGTAACAAGAGGAGTGAATGATGCATGTCTTTGTTCACAAGCTTTAGTATATTTTCTTTTTTTTCATCTTCAGCTTTTTTAATTACTTGTTGATGAGGGATGGAGACATAAGATGGAGCATCAGTGTCAACGACACGAACATCAAATAATGCCTCCATCTGAGTCTCCCATACACCTCTACAAGCTAGATCAGCTTTTAGTGCAGGTTCGTTGAGATGACTGCCTTCTGCTATCAAGGGCTCCTTAATGCAGTTTCCCCAGGCTTGTTCCATCATGCTACCTATTGTGTCTCTTACTTCGTTGTGTCTTTTTATTATCAGACCACCATTTCGACATTTTAGAGCATGCTCTGTATTGAACTCATTTCCGCATCCTTCACATTTTAATGGGAGGTTTATTGGTGTTTTCCCATAACGTAGAGCAAGGGCATCTCTAAATTCTTGTGGGGACATGTCCAGATTAAGTTTCTTCAGAGGCAAGCATGATAGCCAGCATCCATGTTTTGCTCTAAATCCTGCATTGCGCATTATAATTTTCTGCCGTTTTTCTGAGAAAGTTTCCAAATGCTGACTGAATAATTCTTCTTCCATGGATTTCTTTACTTCTTTGCGTGACTTAATCGATAAATTTAGGGCATATTCATGTGAATCAAAACAAAATTTAGTTTTCTCTTTTAAACAAGATGTAAGAACCTTGCATCCATCTTCAGATGATTTAAATATATAATTTGACTGCTTTGTTGGGTCTATTATTCCTATTCCTCCCTTTTTTACTGGTAAATGTAGAATCTCACATTCCTCATTGCTTACTTCTGAACAAAATAGATTTGGAAAAAAAGATGTTCTAATTGCTTGTTGTATAGGTAAATACGTTTCAGATTTAGTTTCAACTACCCTTTGAAAAAAAGTCCATTCCATTTGTGAAGATTTAGTCACTACAGTGTAGGCAGATTGTGGATATTTCTTTGCAATATTTGCCAGATTGTCAATGTTTTGGGTCCATAAACCAATTTTTTCAGAAATGTGTTTATTTTTTTCCTCTTCAGAACCTATATATCCACCAAGAAATTGGCTACCCTTACAAATTTTCATACCTGATATTTTCTTTTTAAATTGTTTGGAAATATTATCATGATTAAAAATTAGTTTTGTTTTATTAACTTGAGGAAAGTACCCATATTTTGGACCTAATTTTGAGAGCTTTCCCCACCATTCCACAACATCATCAAGGGAGCCTTGACAAGAAGAGTCATCTGCATACCAAACTTGAGATGTGTTCGGCATTCTTTTTAGTTCTTGTATTAATGGAAGTGTTGCCAGACCGTATAATATCATTGATAGTGGATCTCCTTGGGTAACTCCTTCTTGACTATACAATCTTTGATTACTTCCTTGTAAAATTAAATCTGAGCTACATTGGTAAGTATTATAAATGAATCTTGCAGCCCTTGGCCAATGGACTCTTGCTTGCCATAAAGCATGAATTCTGTTTATTTTGTTGAAGGCATTATCTGCGTCTACCAGGATCATACACCATTCTTTGTTGGTATTACTATGTTCACTATATTGCTTTCGCATGAAATGTATTCCTCCCTCTATACCAGATTTGAGACCTCCACAAAGTTGATCTGTACCTAATGCTTGTTTTGCATCATCGCCAAAAGCTAAAATAATGCATTTGGCCAGAATGCGTCTGAGACATTCTCCTATTCCAATGGGCCTCACACCTGGACATTTGTCAATTGCAATAAGTCTATTTGCCATCAGAGCTCTTATAGTGTGCCATGGTACTACTTCTCCATTTAATTTCATCGCCAAGGTGGCAATGGCTGTTCTTAAATAAGTACTCTTTTGTCCATGACGCAATAAGAAATCTGTCCAATTTTCGGATGAACTTCCTCCTGGACCTCCACTACCATGAAGTTTTCTTGCTACCTTTTCTACATGTTCTGCTGTTATTTCTGCATTTTCAAGCTTTGGAATTTGGTCCATGCCATCTGGTAATTTAAGCAAATTAATGTCAGGAATTATAGCATTTGGGTGTTTTTCTTTCAATACATCATAAACAGTGTACGAGGTAATGTCAATAGTTTCTTCCGGATTAAGTAAACCACCTGTATTCTTTTTATTTATCTGTCTTGAGGCTTCCTTTATTTTACCTTTTTGAACTAATTTATTAAAATAAGAGTCTTTTAACTGTTCATATTCGTCAGAGTCAAGCTCAAATTTTGTTTTCTTTAAAGATTTATCACATCGAATGGCCTCATTGATGAGTTCGTCAAATTGATTATCCTGCCATTCATCTAGTCTTCTTTCAATTAATCTTCTTATATCCTTAGCTTTTTTAATCATTTTGTCTCTTTGAAGGATAATTGCTATAAAACAGATCACTCTCTCAGATATCTCTTTTCCTTTTTCCAACAGTAATATTTCATCAGCAAGTATTTGAATAAAGTTATTTCCTATTGATCCATTTGGTAACTCATATTGCATCCTTTTCAGTGAAATAATCTTTTCCCATCTATCATTCCATTCAGATGATTTATGATTTTGGGTTTGTGGTTGGTCATTTCCAAAAGATTTTATTAAGACATCAAGAGGATGTTTGTCAAATGATTTTCTATTAGAAGACTTGTTAGGATCATAGTTTGTTATTGATGAGTGTTTTTTCTTAAAGTGTTGTTGGAGCCTATTATTATGTTTGAAACTTGTATTGCATTCAGTACATCTATATAGATCATCTGTCAAATCATCTATGATATTAACGTTGTCCTCTTTTATGGCCCATGCTTTGGATTTTGCTAAAAGTAGATCAAAGTGTCCTGAAGTTGGATTACCAGACAATAATAAATTTACCACTGGTACTGATATCTGTTTGTCATTTTGAGAGGAAATTACAATGGGAGGTTGTCTCATAGCCATTGTCCTTGTGCATTTTTGTGGTTGTATGGGTTGTAGGTAAATGTGAAAACTAACTTGATATAGTTGGGTCAAAGCAAAACATTCCACAGACGTGGCAAAAGTGCCATTTTCTCCCATCAATTTTATGTATTCATCTTTTTCTGAGGATCCAAATTCATCTAATATAAACATTTTAGCTGATTCCCAATGTTGATCTAAATATCTAACAGTTTCATTTCGTAATTTAGTAAAGCTATTCTGATTGCCAAATAAGAATACACTTACAGCACGAAATAAGCAGTTTCCATCTTTTTCAACCTTGAAGATAGTAAAATATTGTGCAGGAATCATTCTTGGTTACTTCTGTTTATAGGTTATGATAAAATATTTCTTTAATTTTAATCCATATTCTTCTTAAAGATAAAGTAATTTACATGTTTCAAATTTAGAAATATTATGTTCAGTAAAATAAAAGTATTATAGAGCTAATAACAAACTGATAATTAACAAATTTCTTAAAATAATTTAAGAGTGAAAAAATTGCAATGTTTTGTTTATCACAGTACAGATGTTCTCTGTATATATATTATATATAATATATATTATATATTATAAAAAGAATATCTATTTTATTTATTGCTCTTCATGGAAAAAATAGTACACAGTACAACATTAACCCTTCACAATCAGTTACTTTCCATAGTCAAGGGCAGAATGTGCTACAAGAAAATATCTTTGTTCTTGTATTTCTCATGGCAAACTGAAAGGGCAACTTATTGTTAACCCTTTGAGTGCCAACGTCCGGGGAACCGGACGTTTTTAAAACGAGCCAAAAGTGCCAACGTCCGGCCGACCGGACGTTTTTAGAACGAGCCAAAAGTGCCAACGTCCGGCTGACCGGACGTTTCGTAATGATCGAACAGCTGTCATAACAACCGAATAAATACTCGGATTCTTTTAACCCATATATTAACATTGAGTCGAAAGTTGCTAGATGCGATACATCGATTTTCGTTGGTCGAAATATCGAAAATTCGATTTTTACGAAATTTTAACCTAAAAATCGCCAGATCGCGCTCGGCATTTTTAGCGCGACCTTCGGGAAAAATCATCGGCATTTTTTGAGCGTTACTTTTATTTCTCGCCTGGCACTCTAAGGGTTAACATTAACAGTTCATGTTTTATGTCCTAAAACTACCGATGTGTAATGAACTACAAGATAAAAAAGAACTTTAATAGCAGAACAATCAATTGAAGACTTCAATTATCTCTTTAATAGTCATAATAGTAGTTTATTCAGCCATTAATTACATAATAGTACAATAGGCTGATGTCAATATCAGACTCACAAAGCTACAAGCTTTCAGAGAAAATAAAAATAACACGAATTGAGATTAAAGAAATAATTGAAAATTGAACAGAGAAATAAAACAATAACATTATTTTTATCTTTTGTAAAATAACTGGTTTACCTAGATGGTATACATCCTTGTTTTTTTTTTTTAGTCTCTAAACCAGTGGAATTTGTAATAAATGAGTTACAAATTCCTTTCAGGAAAAGTAGTCCAGACTCAAAAGTTTTTGAGATATTCCAATATCATCTCATCCCTTTAGAACTGAAATTTGATACACTAACCACTAGGTGAGTAACACACCCTTCAGATATTGTTTAAGCTCCTCAAGTGGTTAGATGAAAAGTCTGGTTTTGTCTGTGTCAAGTGATGGTTTTGTCTGTGCAGGTTGTGAGTCTACAGCCCAGAACAGAAGGAGGAGATGTCCGGGACCTTACAGAGACCTGCTCTAGGCTCAATGCACAGGTATGTTAACCTGTACTGCTGCCTAAACAATAACAATGACAGTTGACTAATTCTTATCAGCTGATTGTTTCCCCTTACTTTTTTATGTTGAACACGCTGGATAAGTGTAGAGCCAATATAATCTCTTAATTTCACTCTTTGCCTCTGCAATTGTCATAAAACACGTGTTTGGACGTTAGTTTGTATCTATGCTTGGTGCAATAAACCATAATTAGGCTTGACAGTGAAAGCTTGCTAGTCCGGTGTCTGGCGCTAATAATCCAACTTTGGTCTGAAAAAAAAATGTTAATGCCATATCAGCACTTCTGTGTATAAATACATGGTATTTCAGCAGTGCCGAGTTACTACAAAAGCTGGATTGCTGAGTGCTGTCTAAAAATAGCTGTAATTGTGAGGATGGTGGAAATACTCCTGAATTTGACACACTAAATTATTATTACCTATTGAGATGGGGATGACTCTGGGCATATTTTGACTCAAACAAAATTAAGGATGAGTTTTGAGGTGCTTATAGTAGGTATCAGGTATTTTTCCTTAGTATGTCTTATAACCAACAACTTGATGCTACCAAACTTGGCCGAATGTTCCTGGAATGCTACTACAATATAAGAATCTCTTTGACCAACGTCAGGGATTATTAAATGTGTTTAATTTTGTATGCATCAATAAGAAAAATACAGTTTTGTTGGTAAGATGAGGGAATGATGATAAATAAAATGACTTTACAGCATAAAAATCACTAGGGCTCAAAAAGATGAAATTATTTTTATTGATTACAGGTGCAGCAGTTGCAAGAGTCGATGCAGGAGGTGTTACGTTGTGTGAGTCCCAGTCACCCGGCCACAGGCAGCACCACAGCCACACAGACAGACATTGTGGCTGTACACACCCCACAGGAGCCGCACCCCCCGCGCCCCTCGTCTCTACCTCTCCCTCCACCACCTCTGACACAGTACGCCGACTGTCTGGTGGACGGAGTCATCAAGACAACCGTCAAGGAACAGGAACAACCCCTGGAGGCAGAGACTACTCACGTCAGTTAAAACTGACCACCCGGCACCCTCTACTGAGTAGAGCGTATTTGTTACTGTGAGCCCAAAAAGGTCTGTTTAAATAATATCCTTAAAGGGTTGAAAAAAAATATACTTCAGGTCACTTGCGGGTTTGTCTTGTTAATTAATCTGTGTTTAATGCAGTGACAAAAATTCATATGTATACATCAGTGAGGGTTTACTGTATCGATATATGAAGACAAAAATTAACTAACTGCCTCAGGTTTGTTCGTAAGTTTAAATTTCTGGAATTACTAATTTGTTTGTTTTATGTACTCAATCCTACTGATAGTCTTTGCTATACAAGGTAGATATGTTCTTACAAAGTGCATCAGAGAAATGTGAGGATTAATTTTATAGACAGCCGCCATCAGAAAAAACTATTTGTAACCCTTGCTGGAAGAAATTCTGCTTTATATTTGTGTTTTTTACAACTGACAGAACTAAGGGATGTTGATTTATTTTTACTAAATACAGAACTGAACTCACGTAAAAACTTGGTGAAATCATTAATCAAATGAATCATAAAATTATATGTGAACTCGCTTAACACATTGAGCGCGAGTGACGGGCCGGCCCGCCATGCGCAGTTGGCACACCAATTGTCTGGCGGGCGCGCGCGTCATGTTAGCATTGCAACAACCTTGTTTCAATGTGAGCTACGCCATTGCCAGGGAACGTTGTAATTGTTACCAGCCTTGTAGCTTAGAATGCGAGCTTTATTCTGGTGTAGGTTGGTACTAAAATTTACCGTAAAATCCCGTCTGGCAATGCTTTTGTCCCGTTTTCGGAGCAGATTTTCTCTATTCGAGCCATATTACGAAGACTCTGATTATTGATCCAGGCAGTGCTGCTACCTTTGGGTGTTTCAGTGAACTACGTCCACTATCGGGGTAACGCAGAACAATCACCCCTGGCTGCTCTTTTGTGATTCGTCTTACTGAGATATTTCAATGCCAATAGCGATCACTGATTCAGTCAGGGCTCCGCCCGGGCCTCGCCGCCATTGGCGAGCGCCTGTTTAAAGGTTTTCAGTGCTCAATGTGTTAACCAGGACTGTATAGTGAAGACTACCTGGATTTTAAGACTAATTTGGGAGGTTTTTGTCCAGCAAGTTGTTAATCTCAGTCAGTACAAAATGTTCCTACAACTGTTCAAATTTAACATTAAAGGATGAATATAATTTACCAAAGAAATTTATCTAATGATAAGTTTATATATGTTTTTTTCAAAATTGTTTCCATATAGTATTACTTGTGTAAGTTATCAACTAGTAGCATAATGAAATAAGCTAATAGACAACTTAAATATGTAGATCCTAAAATAATAATTTAATACGGAAATTAAAGGATATGTTTTTTTGTATTACAATTAATTATTTTCATTAATAGATTTTTCATATTATCTTGCAATTAATACAAGAAAATTAAACAAAATTATTTAACTTAACTTAACTAATCAAACTACTACTTTAAGTGAAAACTTTTTAATCTGTTAAATTTGTTTTATAATTCAGCTAAAATTTTAATACTTATTTTATTCCACGCTCTAGTAGATAGATCTTTTATACCATCTACTGTAGGTAGGCAATATGTAAAAAAAAGTATTAATATACAGTAAGCTTTTATTTATTTATGTGTTGTTATTTGGTTTTTACTTATAATATTTAACTTTATCATTTTGTGCATTAACATAGGGTATAATATTCTGACTTAATAACACAAACTAACTCACTGCATTTAAGACTGAAGTGAAATTCATGCATTTTTTATTTTCTGCACATTCCTTGCTTGCTGTACTAACTATTGCAAAAAATATCATTCTTGGGACAAAGTGAAACTTTTACTGATTATTGATTAGTAACCAGGGAAAAACTACATTTACTGGGAACATACCAATCACTCAGGAAATCTGAAGTGTTTCTCTTTTTTGGAAATGTGGAGACTCATAATTTGAACTATCCTTATATAATATTAATGAACTATTGGTTTGAAGTGCACTTTGTCCCAATATAAGAAATATTGCAACGCTTATTTTCATATGTAATTTTCAAGCGTTAACAAATAAGCTCATTACTGTATCTCAAACTCTGTTAGGTTGTCTTTTAAGTTTAACTTGCATTTATGTTATGGTAATTGTTTGTGTTTTATGTTGTGATGAAGTCTTGTTGATTTTTGCATCAGAAAAGTTCAGACAAGTTTTGGAGTTGATTGTTGATGTGAATAGATTGTAAATTCTATGTTAAATGTTAAAACGGCTAAGCTAAGAGACAGGGTTGCCTCTGTGATAATTCTTATTTTTTTCAAATGAATATCATTTTTCTGTCATGTGGGCTATGGAATTGATTTCAGTAACTGATCAATTGATGATTTAGAAGATCTAAGTTTCCTAAATTTCAGTTTCTTCACTGCTGATATTATAATTTTGCAACCCTGTAGAAATACGTCCAATTGTAACATAGGAGAGTTTTATTAGTGTGTTAGTGAATAATTTTGTAATACTCAATTTTTAATGTATGATATTATTTATTTTAGTAAGGAAATTTTAACGTAGATGTAATTAGTTATTTTACTAGGAATCACGGGATCAACAAATTTAGAAATAGGTTTAATGGTTCAAAATCAAACCAATACAAGAATAATATTTCTCAAAATACGCCTCATTAGCGAGATTCTGTTATTTGATAGAAAATACTGAATATAAAAGTTTTCTTGACATATTTTTTTTATCAAATCAGCCAATTTTAGTTAATAGCCATAAAGTTGAAAAAATTTAAATGGCTGCCGTTCTGAAAAAAAATATTTTACTATGATTATTTTTTGAAAAAAGTTAATGGCTGATTAAAATCTCATACCAAATTTAATATAGATATCCTCAATAGTTTAAAGAAAAAGTATTTAAATAAAAAAGAAAAATATCTTGCTAACAAGACGTTAAAAAAATATTATTCGTGATTTTCTTTTATTTTTACCTATTTAACCTATTCCTAAATGTCTACTTATGGGACACCCTGTATGTATGAATAATGTAATGTAATATTGAAGAAACGTATATAGGATTAAAATTATGATGGGAATTTTATCTCAACCCCCAAAACTTTCAATCATTATGGTAATGAGAAATGATTGCGGATTCTCGGTTTTTTGTCACTTTGGATTTAATGTAATGTTTACTACAGAATCTCATAATGTTTACTGCAAAATTGTGATAATCCACCAAAAAACTATAACATAACTACCCAGGACATGATGGCAACATAGTGTATTTTTGGTTACTTACTATTCGTAGTGTAAATTGGCTATCATTAAAGCATTAAATGATGATTTTTCACCTTACGCAACTGTTATTCTTACAATTTTTAAAGTGAAATTTAACATTTTGTGAAATGAAATCCAAAACCCTGCACGTTGCAAACTTCAAAATTCACCAAAAATATTAAAGATTGAATAACACCTGTAAAATTACTAAATAGATATTATGATTAAGCTCTCTGATTTGTGCCAAAGATGATGACAGTTTGGAAAAAGTGATTCCTAGTAATAAGAAGATTTGATAGCTGCCACCAAAGATGTAGTTATAACTGTAGGCTTTATTTAAGAATGTAATATTCCAATATATAATAAAAATATTATTTTAGACCTTTTGGATGATTCATTGCATAAGAAAGGTAATAAGGTTATAAGAGACATTTTCAGGTGTGTGCCTCTCTAGCTGGTTATGTTTAAAAATATCAAAAGGTATTCAAATAATGATATATACATACTTTTAAAATGTTTGGGACCCCACCAAGTCAGCAACATGCATCTTATGTTATGTGAATGAGTTGATTTCAAACCAGGCTTACATTTAAAATTTGGCTGCCACCAAATGAAAACTACCTTTCGCCTACTATAATAGCATCTTCTTTTTTTTATTACCTGGCGAAGCATATTTTTTCTTTTAATGCCAGGGTTGCCACCTTAAGTCAGGGAAAAATCAGGTCATTGCCCCCTCCCTCCCGGATTAACATAGGTTTTAATACGGGCATAAGGAACCAAAATCGGGACTGTCCCGGCAGAATAGGGACAGGTGGCAACCCTGTTTAATACCCATAATAATGTTACTTGTTGCGTTTGATCTGTCATACAAATTTACCACATTGCATACATGTAAAGGAATGTGTCTTACCAATTCCCATTCTCAAGGGTTATTAAATAAAATAAGTGTACATTTTTGTGTAACCATTTGTTTTTACTTTGATTTTGTTTGTCATATTGCTGAAAGTTTATCAGTTCTACATTTACATACATTTTTGTCATGTTTAATGTAAGGATTTTAAGAACGTGCCTCAGTGAATTAACAAAAAATTAAATTCATCCAACTGTAATCTATTTTATTAAGAATCTTTTAACATTTTTTGCACTTCAGCTTCATTTTGTAGTGTTTGCCATTATTGTTTTAAGTAAGGTTGATTCAACAATAATAGTTTAGGCATTGAAAAAAAATATTGTACCATCTGCAGAAGCCAGTAGATCTTTGTGAGTGTAGTAGTTGCATGTTGCATGGTTTTATTTAGCTTACCGATTCTTTTATTGACTTATTTTGATAGGCAGTTATACAAGTTTTTATTTATTACACGTTTTGATTTATTACATTTTTTTATTTATTACATGTCAACTAATAACAAAATTTACCCTTATCTAAACAATACCGTGTAAAAGATTAAAAAAAAAAACTGCAGATGCCTTTTTATCATAACTAACCCTGAATAAATTTTTTTGACTTTATTTGAATTTTTTTAAACTATTTTATGATCTCAAAAACTAGTTCCAACTGTTTTGACTTGTGAAAGTTTTGATATTTTGCTGATATTTATCATATTAATATTATCAGCTATTTTTTGTATTTTTTAGGAGTTCATATTTAGTAGTGTTTTTCATAAATACTAATAATTATGCCATTTTGATTTTAGGTTAAACTAAGAAAATTACAATTAATTCTTTTTAGCGTTACCACCGTATTTCTTAGTTTTGTGCCATGTAATTTGTGTAAGTGAACTGTTATATTTTTAAGCTTAAAAGTTAAATATCTCAAAAGTTATTTTGCATTTTTCTATTTTTTGAAATATTTGTATAAAATAAAGGTTGCGATGCATTTTAATGTTTGATTCTGTTCATCCCTTCACAGCTTTCCTTTACAACCTTAAGTTATCAGTTGTTTCAATTTCAACCATGCCAAGATTGTTAATCCTTCCCTGACTATAGGTAGATATATCCGCTGATTATTACAAAATTTTTTAAAATTATATCTTTAACTGATGTACTAGGAAAGTTTTTATAGAAGAATAAAAAAATTCACATAAAAAATTATTATAAATAAAATAAATATTTTGGACAAAAGTGCTGCACAGGTCAAGACCACACAAAAAAACCAGGCCATAATGCTCGTCAAGCATGACGTCACGATAGAAGACGGCAATGACGTAGGTATTTATTTATTTATTTTCCAAGGAAAGATCCAAGCAGCTGATCACAAACGGCAAACATTACGTCATTGCCGTCTTCTATCGTGACGTCATGCTAGATGAGCATTACGGCCTGTTTTTTTAGTTTGGCCTTGCATAGGTCAACTATTTACAACATTCTATAAATTACAGATGTAAAAAAAATATTTTTTCCTACAGTCACCCGACAAAGTTGGCTTCCCTGTACTGTTTATAGTACAGAAAGCTGCTAATTGCTGCATATTTATACTTCGCCGTACGGTTTATACTTTGCCGTACGGTTTATACTTTGCCGCACATCAGGATTCCAACCAAACAACACAAAACAGCGTGGTTTTATTATGCACGTAATCCGTGTAGTACGCTTGGAAATAGGTTGGCAACACTTAAAGATAATAATTCTATGAGCAGCTGATTGACTAATTATAACTACGATTTAACCTGTCATTTCGTGTTTATAGTTTCGGTATTCCTGAACTTTTCTTTTAAACGTTTTTAAAATATTCCTACAATCTTAATAAACAAAAAATATCTTTTAAGCATTTTTTTAAGGCGCGGAAACCACTTCAAATTACTAAAACATACGGAACTATATTCTCAAAACGCGTAGCAAATTTCTTGCCGAGAAAAAATTGCGGAGTGATACGGACCGCGGGTACTACTTTCTCTAGGGTACCATTTTTGTTGCCAGCTGAACCTAAAAAAGCTTTGTATAGTGTTTGAAAGACTAATTATTTATATGCTTTATAGTGACTGTAGGAAAAATATAATGTGTAACACGAGTGAAAAAGGCCTTTGCTGCACTCGAGATCATTCCGCACGAGCCTGCGGCTCGTGCGTAAACATTGCTCTCGTGTGCAGCAAAGTGCCACTTTCACCACTAGTTACACAAATAACTATTTAGTTTTTTTATTTTGTATTAATTTTGCTGTCTACATATTACATATTATAGGCCATCCGGGAAGGGTTAACCCTTGGGATAAGAGATGTTTGTTAATGTTCAGTTACCGAATTAGTTATTAAAAAAATTGCAGCGGACATTTTCCACCAGGATCAGTATATCAAATAAAAACTGGATTAGGTAGCAACAAGAAACAATAAGGCTTTTCTGAATCATTCTACTAATATGTCCAAACAATTTTAGACCACTTATTTCCTTAATGCACCACTTTGTAAAAAAGTGTGTTCTGTAAAAAACCTGACTGTCATCTTTAAATACAATACAAAAAAAAAACAAAAAAACACTCAATTTTAGTATTCCATATAATAAACTTCCAACCCAACTGCAAATATGTAGTTGTTTGTTATTAAAATTTGACAGTAAGTACAATAAAATGTGAATGTTGCTTTCCTTTAGAATATGCTGATTACTTTAACACTCTTAGAGAAAAATAAACATGATATATATAGACGTTGCCTTGAGGATGCATCTAAAATGTAATTACCTATTTAATAGGGAGGTTAAAATATGTACTATAGTTTATATAATAATCATAAGTTTTATTTTATTTAATACTGTTGGTTTACAAAGCATAGATATATTTTACAAATTCCTTTATGCTACATACATAACTATGTAGTAAATATATAAATATCAAACTATTATTATTTTTGAGATAGTTTAAACTTTATAATAAATGTTTTTAAGGATAATAAGGGTAATCCAATAATTACTTAATGTTGTTGTGTTAAATTAAACTTGATTTGTGCATTGAAACATAATATAATGAATGATAAATATAAATACGTACTTAAAGATATTAGAAAATAATTATTTACAAGTATACCATTAGTATATAAACATTTACCATTAAATGTAATATTTACAGGGGGCAAGACACACATTTATGTTAAGGGACAGAAAAATTGCACATTTTTTGTGAAATTAACTAAACATAACGGAAATTGATCTAAAATACCACGTTGCAGGTAGCTAAAGTTACCCTAAAATATCAGATCTGTGCAAAGATGCACTGTTTCTAAATCACAGACAACTCAACTCTTATTAGGTCTTATTACTATGTCTTTTTCATATGAAATTAATTTCTACTGATATTTGGATCAATCTAACCTTGAATTAATTGATCATTCTACACTAAATGGAAGATAGGAAATACTGAATGAAACTGTTTTAAAGTAATAATGAAAAAGAACTTGAAGATTTTTCAGGGCTGGGACAAAAAACACAAAACCTAATATTATATCTACATCATTTGTGAGTATAATAATATAATCTTAATAATCGTGTGCATTACTTAATTTTAACTAAAACACCCTCAAGATAGTATTTAATCTGGTAACACTCAATCGGTGGGAATTTCGGTGAATCTAATCCAATAAGAAAATTTAATATACCGGGAACAAAAACATCTTTGACACCAAAATCAGTAAACTAATAAACAAACATGGACAATACAATATTTGAAATTAACAATAATGTTTTTTATAGGGCCAACAATGCAGTTAATAATCGATCACAAATCTGTGGTTTAAGCATTGAATATGTTAAAAATGAATTGATTGACTTCATTAAATGACATTCTCAAAGTAGCTATAAACATCCTAATGTAAGACAAAAGCAGAGCTTTAATTGCTGCATTTATAAAAATCTACTAAATTGACAAGTTTTCCTTATGATTAAGCTTTATAATTTTACATGCCACTTGTCCAGTAAAACGGTTTTATCCTACTATGAAAATATCATCCAAAATGTCAGCTTTGCACATGTCACGGTATTTGCACTGATTGTAGCCTATTTGCACTGGCAATTCTTCCGTCATCAAGAACCGATAGTAAGGCTGAACCACCATCTTAGTGTGTGTTACAACTGCAAGTTGCTGAAGAATAACTCTTACAACTTTTTACTTTGGATTTGATACTGGGTTATACGACCTAAAAGTAGTCTTTTGCCGACTACTAAGACTGGAGACTGACAAGATAGGTTGGCGTTTTATATAAAATTTTCATGTATTTTCTATATTTTTGAAAAAAAATCACTGTATTATATCTGAGTTTGAATTTAAAACCACAAATCCCGATAACTCACCCTTTTGATCAACATTACACCGAGTTTGTAGGACTTATCTGTACTTCATAAGACAAATAGCCTATGAGTGGTGCAGCTGATACTATCTGTTCCCCACAACTGAGTCAGTTCAAACGTTGGTGTTGCCCCGAGCCCCTGGGGCAGACCTCAATCAGTTCTGTATGATCTGGTGTAGATGCTCTGGCCTGTAGTAGTGAGCGTGAGCAGCTAGAGAGGGGTGCAGTGGAGGGGGGAAACATCGCACATGCTCTACGCTCATGGCCTCCGTGTCACTGGACTTGAGGTACTTGTTGAGTGTAGCGAAGATCTGAGAGTTGAGTACTTGGAACCTTCGCACTCTGTCTACCATCCGTTTCAGGTTCTGAAGTCAAAAAACAATGTTGAGTATTAGTACAAAATTGTTTACGCTAAACAACATGATACAAAAATAAAACGGTTGGTATAAAAAGGTTGCTGGTTTGATTCTCAGCGGGGTCGATTTTAGACTCAGATGCCATTTTTCATTGGACTATCAATTGATGCTATCTACCAAAAGGACACTGTTAGTAACAAAACCAGTCTGGTCCATTCTCAAACAAAATCTTGAATATGCTAACAGGGCAGATAAAAGACAAACTCACCGTGTATTGAGGTTTGATTTAGATTTTCCGATAGGAAGCAGATTTACCTGTACAGTGGGAGAGACTTCTCAATAAGAAATATATTTATAATCACACAAAATTAAAATATAAATATTTCATAGTCACTGACATCTTAGTAAACTAGGGATGGACGGGTCCCGAAATTTCGGGAAAAAAATATTCCTGATTATCGGGACGGGATTACATTTGATTCGGGAATTTTCGGGACGGGATTTGGTCCGATCGTCGGCGATTTTGCCGATTCGCGAGTGCCGATGACGCCGCTATTACGAGCGATAGGTCCGCGAACGAAGGAGACGAAGTCATTTCGACGATCGCGCCGTGACCGCGGAGTCATACCGACGATCACGACGTGACCGTGATTATTGGACCGACGATCGCAACGTGACCGCATCGCGCTGCGACCGCGATTATTGGACCGACGATCGCACCGTGACCGCGGAGTCCTACCGACGATCGCGCCATGACCGCGGAGTCATGCCGACGCTCGTCGTGACCGTGAGTCATACTGACGATCGCGCCATGACCGCGGAGTCATGCCGACGATCCCGCCGTGACCGTGAGTCATACTGACGATCATGCCGTGATCGCGGTGATTTTGACGATCGCACCGTGACCGTGAGTCACAAGTTTCTATAGGTACAGTACCTGTATATTGTTACCCATTTTTTTGGTTTTTATAGATCAGTACCACAAACGGTAAAAATTGATTTTGTTTGTCTTTTTTTGGTAACTGCAATACTCAAGACTTTCTTTTTATGCACAGAAAAAATCCCGTCTCGTCCCGTCCCGAAAATCGGGAAGGAAATAAAAATCACGTTCCGTCCCGTCCCGAACTAAAAATTCAATCCCGTCCATCCCTAATTATTACAAAGATATGATCAAAGGATGAATGTCTTCTTTGTGATTGAAAAGGTGGTCAGTGACCATGAAATATTTCAACTGTGTATGTATATGTTAACGTGTTACTCATTGAGAAGACTCTCCACTGCACGTATAAGCCTGCTCTTCCGATGAAACCTATTCTGGCCTAGAGCCCTTTTTTACCAAGAATATCTACACAGTGTCATGAGGTGCACATTTACTACCACACTCTAGCTTCTTTAGGCAAGGGAAGGTAAGTTGTCTGATACTAAGCTTGGTAATTGTTAGCGTAAAACTGAGAGGGGTCCCAATTGTACTGTATTGTGTACCGATTTTGTTGCAAAAGGCAACAAATCAATACAAGTTAACGCGAAGAACAGTCAGCTGTTTTGAACAATAGATCAGTATAGATCAGTATAGACCAGAATGCACCACGCACTAAAGGAGTAGAGGGGATAAGGTCTAGTCGGATGGTCATTTGCTTCCAGCAGTATCAGTTCCTCTCCAAATCTCAACGTAACTAGTTCGGTAAAACTTTCGTTTGTGCAAATTAAATTCATCTCGCGGCGTTTGGTCGGGCAATCTCAAATTTCCTTAAAGTCGTTCAGCCTATATCCCTAAGGGATATAATTGCCTCGCGATCGGAAATTAGAATTTGTGTTGTCAAAAAGTGCAAAAGTTCGTTACCGGCCAAACGCGGTCCGCCATTTGAAAATTTCTCAAACGTTCACACGAGTTTCAATTGATCGCGTCTTGTAGAATACCGACTAGTTACATTTCCTCATCCTGATCCCTTTGTTTGTGTTATATTTGTGGACGTCCAAACTGTAAGTAATTTGTGTTATTTATTTGTTATATATTTAAATTTCAGTGAGTCGCATACTTTGTAAATTTTCCTGTCTTGTTTTGTTAATTCATGTAGAATAAGCACATGTTCCCCGGTTCGATCCCAATTCGCTGATTTTCATATCCATTCATATTGTAACAATCCTCTTTATTTATTAGACTGTGGTAATACAATAGCATTAAGAATAAATAGATGAAAATGTTTTTATAGGGTAATTCAGAGTTGCTTTGTAATATTTTTATATAGTATTTGAATTTTGCACAGAGTCATTATTAAAGGTACAATTCGTCAAAGAGTGTCACAATCAGTATTTAAATTTGGGGGAATCAATTAATATCAAAGGAGGGATTAGGTAGCTGGTTCGGCTGAATCCGGAAGTGTTATCGGAGGCTGTGCCAGTTTGCATATAGATGAACCGCCAAAGTGCCAAATTAGCCATAAAACAATAAGCGACGTTCCAGTAAATATTATTACGATTAAACGCAATACTGTTTAATCAGTTGACCTTCGAGAATCGACCTTCATATTTACATCGTTGGCCAACGAACAGGACTTGCTTGGCACTGGTCATCTCAAATTAAATTAAAAACCACTCCTCCGTTGACACCTTCGAGATCGGTGTGAAACCGCGCCAAATATTCCCCTTTGATAAATCCATTCAACGTTCTCAAACAAAACAATTCAGTCTGATTGTATCACTCACGGTCATATTTTATATTACATCACACAATCAGAAATTGTCAAACCGAAATCATTGTAAATCTTAAATACTGCTTAATAAATCAAATTGTTACTCACTTTTTAGTTCTCAATAACCTTGGTAATTCAGTATATGCAATAGTATCTAATTGGTAAACAAAAGGTAATTCAGTAAATCATAAGCCACTACAAAAGATTCACCTTTTAAGTGCAACACTAAACACTAGTGTAGTAGTGAGCAAGTAAATTCAGTGTAGAATTAAGACTGGTAAATTGTTCTCAGTAAAGGTATTACATTTTGGAAGAACCATAACAGTACCAAGGGCGTCCCCCAAGGACCTTTGGGGAATATTTATATTTTGCAGGGCCCACACATATTTTTTATAACATCAAGCTTCCACTGCCAAAAGCTCTGTCTGATATTTTTATTTTCTAGAGTTCTTCCAACCTAGGGGCAACCAACATTTGTAAAGAATTCATTAAAGAGCATTGCAAGGAGTAAATATATTTAAATACAATATTTAAATATATAAAAGTAGTAGAAAGGGGAAACCCTTTTCCTTTTTTTTTATTTTTCTTTACAATTGTAAGTATTGTACTGTATTGTAAGTATTGTACTGTATTGTAAGTATTGGGTACTTACAATACCCAATACTTAACATTGAAATCCTCAAATCATAGCTTTAATTATACAATGATTTTTACTGATCTAATTTTAAATTTGAAAACCTTTTAACACACAGTTTCTGCAAATGATTAAACAGGACTGTTTCCTATCAAGACTTACAATGCCTTTGACGATCTCATCCTTGCAGTCGACTCTCTGCACACGCAGGATGTGATAGCAGAAGTCAAGGGCCTCAAAGCGCCTTTGTTGTCCCAATAACACTATCATGGTACAGCCTGCCCAGTTGAGGCCTTCGCCAAACAACTCTCTACAACACAAACACGTGTTATGTTATCATACTAATATTCAGTGTTGGGAAGTAGCGCGCTACAAGTAGCGACGCTACAGTAGCGCGCTACTTTTTTTGTAGCGTTAGCTGTAGCTACGCTACTTTTAAGATTTTGTAGCTTTAGCTGTAGCTAGCTACATTTTTAAAGTAGTTGTAGCGGAATTTTAGCTACTTTTCTCGCTACATTAACATTGTTTGAGATAGTGATTTTTATCATAACCTTAACCTTACGTGAAACAACCTCTTTCTCAAACTGAGATTTTCAAAAAAAATTAGGCCTACTTTCTTGGTTTCACACAGCTGGTTGCAGCCGTTTCATTCCCTATTACAACGTTGTGTGGACATGGAGGCCATTAAATGAGTGTTATACACATTTTTGGCTCTTATTTCCTTAATTTACTACTCTATGATTACTTTCAGATAAATAAAATCGCTAGATGCAGACGACGTTTAAACGTTACCGGTGACAAGAGAAGCTATAGAATGCTTGCAAGTGATAGACAGGGAAATTAGTAATAAATTTAGTTTCTTTATTATATCGTTAGTGTTTCAACTTGGGTTTTTAGTGGAAACCAACCCTAAACCTTAAAATAATGTAAAGCTGGTCTATCAACCTTTGCTTCAGCTGTTGATTGTGGTTCATCATCACAAGCCCTTCCTTGGTTAAATTACGAAGATTTTTCAAAGGTTTACTAAATTAACAAAGAGGAAATTACCTGATGAGATTTAAGATATGCCTAGACTACATGATAATTGTGACGAAAAAATCTCCATATAACATGAAACTTAGGCTACATTGAAAAAACAGCTCTTGTATAGGACTATTCCTAGGCTATACTATGGTTTAAGACGAATACCAAGTTCCAAGTTCAAGTATTAGGAATATATCTGTTTAGTCCTTGCAAGAACAAGCCTACTATAGCCAACTTGTTACATAAGCCCCGTTCACACGGGGCGAGTTTACAAGCTACACGCCGGCTTTTTTACACGCAGCTAGTAAAATAGCTCAGTGTGAACGACGTACTCGCTCAAAAGCTGCTTGTAAAAAAGCTCTGGAAAAAGTTGACGGTGCCGCTACTTTACACGCCAACTCGCCAGCTTTTGAGCGAGTAGGCGTGTAAAGTATCCCAGTGTGAACACAGTTGCTTGTGCTTGTGCGCTTGTTACTCAAAGATGTTGGAGGATTTGGTTCAAGCCAGCTACTGAGCGAGTGGAAAAAGCATCGTGTGAACGACTACAAGCGCACACGCCAACTCGCCGGCTTCTTACACGCTGGCGTGTAGCTTGTAAACTCGCCCCGTGTGAACGGGCCTATAGCCAAGTAGGCCTACATGTTATTTTTACTTTACAAATTTCAACATGTTTAAATTAAAAGCCGATTTCAGGATAAGTTGCTGAATACTGTTTTCTGTACCAACTAGGTTGAAGCACAATTTGCCCTATGCATAATGACAATAAAGGACGATTTCTTGACTTGACATTGAAAAGTGTTATTCATAGAACAAGTAACTTATCACTATGGTTAAAAGCTATAGCAATGTCGTTTTTCACATTAAAAGTAAAGAAAGGCAATAAACTCCAATTTCAGTAGGCTAGGCTCTGTAACACAAAAAAGTATTTTTAAATAATCGTTTCGTTTTACACTTTATTGGTCTTAATTGTTGATATAAGACATCTATAAATGAATCTATATTAAAGAAATAATAAAATGAGCTTTTAAAATATCGTTTGGTTGTATGTCCGTTGAACTTAATGAAATTTACATATAAGATGCTTAAAAATAATGCAATATTTAAAATTAAGTACCAAATATGATATGGGACACCCAACTATTTGGTTCTGTTGTTGTAATGTTAGGTTTATAATGACAACAAATTAAATACAATCTAGGAATAATTTGTTTTCCAAGTAATGTTAGATACAATACTGACATTTTTTGTTTAAATGTTTGTTCTGATAAAAAATGTAGTTGCAATTAATTTTACATTCACCTAATGTGCTTGGAATAAAAAGTAACGTCTTTGGAAAAGTAGCTAAAATTGTAGCTGTAGCTACATTTCATTGTAGCTGTAGTTGTAGCTAACTACTTTTTCGGAACTGTAGCTGTAGCTGTAGCTAAGCTACTTTTTTGGAAATGTAGCAGTAGTTGTAGCTAGCTACATTTTAAAAGTAGCTTCCCCAACACTGCTAATATTGACAGCATTAAGGAAATTGACAGGTAAGCCTGCTTTCCTGTCAATTTCCCTAATAATTCCTGGCAAATGCTCTATCTTTTATGCTCTATCTTTTTATCAGATAATATGTGACACAAGTAGGTATAAAATCTGCTTTAGTGCTTTATAAATTGATCTGTTAAAATCCTGTACCAACTATCATGTAATAATCTGTTCATAAGAACATGATACTGGTAATGGATTTGTTTTCTTTATCTATTTCCCAAAACCTCCTTAACCTTAGATGAAAAAAACCATGCTTAAAATATAATTTTTACCAAAACAATATGATTTCATAATTTTTACATGAACTAAATTTCAACTTATGAAAAAACACATGTATTGTTTTGTTTTATTAGCCGTCATAATTTTAGTCATACGATTCTTTTTATAAAAATATGATTTTCAAAGAATAAAATTTTTATACTTTAAATACAGAAATACCTAATAATATAGTGCATTTCTTTGAAGTGGTATGTTATAACATTTTTGTTTAATCAGCAAAAAGAAAGCACAAAAAACAGAACTCACTCAACGGTGAACTCTGTGTCTCCTACAGGGATGCAGTAGACAAACTGCAGTGCGGACCATAGTCTGTGGAACTCTGTGCACTCGTCTATGTTCATGACACCGTTGGTGGGGGGCGGCCCCACCCAGATGGGGTCGTCTAGGAAGCCCCGTAGTCGGGACAACACCACCTCGAAGATACTGAGACCACAACACAGTCGCTCTCTGGTCAACAGGTCACCTTCCCGGGCAATCATTGATTGCTGCAAACATGATGAGTTTCATTAAGATAAACTTAAATATTCAAGTGTTATTAGTGTATTAGTCAAGTGACTAATATAAATTAAATGGAACAATTGATTTTGATTCGTGCAAATATATATCCTCTTAAATTTTTACCTGGAATTCCAGAACTTTCTTATCCCACCTTTACGTTCCGACACTAGGCTCCATTTCGGAACTGTTTTGTCACATAATTTCAGGCTAGTCCTAGGGGGCACAGTCACAAAGACAAAACCCATTAGGAATTGGTGGGATTTTAATCCCAGATCTCAGGGACTGAATCCCGGGATCTAACACCACACCAGCTTGCTCCCCAAAAATACCAGAGTAATACCTACATAGCCTATAACCTGAGGTGCCATCCCCTTGAAGGTGCCCATCCCATTTCATATTGCCCCTTTATTTAATAGATTGACATTGATTCTTTGATGCTCAAATTGTTTAGTACATAATTGTACTCTCACTTAAAACTGTGTGTAAAAGTGAGAAAGGTTTTAGAATAGAAGCAGTTCATAGTTTACTTGTTTCTTAAGTTAGCTGGCTCTTATGAAAATACATGTTTTATCAAGATATACACATTAACTTGTGTGTGGTTAAGACCTGAGATTTCAACACAAGGTTCTGAAATCATTTATTGTTATTATCTCTACTGACCTTTGCAGTGCCAAGCCTCTCAATGTTAGGTACAATCTGCAAGGCTCCGTACTTCTGTTCCATCCGCTTTTGTTTGCTCTCAGGCTTCTCTCCATCTAGGGAATGGAACATGATGTAATAAAAAACTTTACCATTTCCACAGTGTTATTGATGTTATCAGGAACATAAACAAAGCTATCAATATTGCAGCCTTCCTTCAAGCTGTACAGTTCAAACTGTTCTAAAATAAGGTTTACATGATTGTCAGCAGGTAATTTACAGTCAATGAAAATCTGTTAGTGTTTTTAGAGAAAAACTACGTGACTAATAAGGTTCATAGGAAGGTTTTTTTTTGTGAAATCATCTACATAGCTTGCCTTCCTATAAAACTAGAGATAAGAAATTATAGATACATATAGGCCTAGAAATAGAATATGTAATTTTATAATAATATGATACAGATTTTTATGATTCCTCAATTTAATTTTTCCTATGAGAGAATTGATGTAACTCATAATCTATCTAAACCTACCTTGCAGCGAACAATTTGGTAAACACTAGATATTGTAATTACAATAAAACCTCCATCAACCAAAATACTTCAATACAAATATATAACCAAAATAAATGGCCTAAGTAATAACAAAAACACCAAAATGAGTCTTAGACAAAGAAAGAGAACGTGAACTAACCAAATTACGACAGGTGGTGGGTTTGGGATTAAGGTCCTTGCCAGCTTACAATGCTAACTACAAACACATTAACCCTGCTAGGGAAACAGACACAGCTAACTTTACTAGTGAAGCAATAGCGAGATATTGCTCATAGAAAACAAATTTTAAAATGAATAGTTGAGCTATACGAACAAATATATTTGTGTGTATTAGGCTTTAGTTTTAATCTAAAGTGTTGTACAAAATTTGGTTACCTAAACGGTCTCACCCTTTTATTTTGGTTACCGGTATGAGAGGTTTGACTGTATTCAGACTAACTAAAGAAAATTCTAGATAGGTTAAACTTTAGAGGTTTAAACTGTTAGTTTATTCCTAAATTATAGCAAAATACAGTAGACTCCCTCTTATCAGGACACCTTTTAACCGGACTACACTCGGCGGAAATGACATCTCTTTAACCGGACAATTTTTATCAGCATATCGGTTTAACCGGACTAGATCGGCAGGAAGTGGGCAGTACTGAAACGACTGTCTTGTGGGAAAGATTTGGGGCCAGTGATAACGTGTCTAAATACAATGCTCTTATAAATTTAAGTCAAATACTGTATGCAGTATGCATTTAAACGGTCCATTTTAACAAGTTTTTTGGGACATCGGTTTAACCGGAAAACCCGTTATCCGGACTGGCTGCGGTCCCGAGGAGTCCGGATAAGAGGGAGTCTACTGTAGTACTTTGGTAAGCATTGGTGTATATTACTCACCCTTGCAGTAAGGCCTGGGTAGGATGTTCTGGAAGGGAGCAGCATGTAGCAAGTCACACACCTCCTCTTGACTGAGGGCTTGCTCCATCAACAAACAGAACAGGATAGTGTTGCCAAGCTCTCTGAAGTTGTGGAACAGTTCTGTCTTGGCGTCAGGGTATTGCACGATGTCGTTCAACTGAGCGTGGTAATAGCCCAGAACACCTAGGGACAACACTTTTTGTACTAACATTTGAGGTGAGAGAAGCTATAGCTTCTGTGTACAAGATAGAATTAAACCTAGACTAAGCTATCTTTCTTCCTAGTGGATGATGGACATTGAAATAAGGAAAAGAGCATTAATGATTATTTTTAGATAGGCAAAGTTAGGGCCGCACAGCCCTTTCTTACAGTACACTTAACCTAAAAATGAAGTAGAGAATCACCTGGACTTACGCTAGGAAATTGTTTATCAAAGTCTGTGGTTTAAACAGGTTGATCTTTTGATTATGTTTAGATAGTTATTGAGGTGGTTTTGTTTTGTGGTTGTGTAATGCTTAATCAGAATCAAAACCACTTTCAGACATTCAGATCAGTAGTTTAGCTCTCACAACACAAAAAATGTATGAGTAGAGGTATTGACTGTAGAGCAAGTAAACATCTTGTCCTATTGTAGAAACAAAGAGGAGCGAGCAGGTCTAGTGGTTTGAGCGCCTTCACATTCATATGTATAGCACAGATTAGAAGGTCATTCACTAACTAAATACAAATAACCACGAATAACCTTTGATCTGTAAAGCACTAAGTGAATAAAGGTAATGAATCAGGCAGTTTTGTTTGTTGCAGCCTTACACACCTGGTGAGCCATAGTCGTATCTGGGAAGTTTGCAGAACTTTGGCATGGCCTCCATCAGAGTCTTGGTGAACTGCAGCAAGTTGCCTTGTATCAAGGACTTGACTATCTTGAGCAGCTCTTCCATGACTACTGCAATGCCTTGGTAGCCCAGCAGGTGACACATGGTGCGGAAGTGGTAGGGACCCACGAAACCTGACGGAAAAAAATGTTAAAGCCGACACAATCTTGAAATAAAATATCAGAAAGAATTTTAATTAAAGACATCTACTTGTTTATGAAAAATATTTGGTTAGAAAATGGATTTTATTCCATGGAAGGGAGAAGGATGAATGGAAAGCTACAAGGTGGATTGATTAGGTTAAGATGCAAGTGAGAAAGAGAGGAGTAAAATTGCAGATGGTAGGGGAAGAGAGGGAAGCAGAGCCCTACACTCCCAGAACAAGTGATGTCATGACCTAAAAACCTGCCAATATTAGAACTGTCTTCTGACATCAGTTTGCCGTAGAAACCTGTTTGTGGGTTAGTATTCTGGGGGTAGTATTCTGGCGACCCATGAAGAGGACTAGTTGACACCAGACCCTAGTATGTACGCTCAGCTATGGATGTATAATTGTACATACCTGCGTACTGGCCGAATATAGTAGTATAGGCCAGGTTGTGATGCTTGCTACCCCACAAGTAGTGGTGGCCCATCTGTGGGGGCTTGTCTCTGTGTACAGGCTGGGTAAACATGATACCTCGGCACTTGACAAATCTGTGGAAACAAACAAAATGTCATTACTTTAAGCTTCAGAAATACCAGTAAAGCAGAAGATATCTTTCTTCCAACTTAAATTCTTGATTGAAAATGCTGTCTCTATCAGTCATATACTTTAATATTTGAGTGAATCGGTATTTGTATTTATTGTGCCAGGAAGAGACTCTATCCTTTTCAGGTAAGCTTGCTATCCCAACCAAAGTCCATAAAACCTAGGCACTTGAGCTCTATGTTTCATTATTTAATCTTATTTATTATTTGTATGCTTAATAAAAGAATTAAAAATAACTTACCTGTTGGTGGCAGCATTGTAGCAATAGTTTGGCAAAAAGTCGTAGTTGAGTTCCCAGAAGACGTGCAGTGTGATTCTTCCGTAGGGAGCCAATACGTTGTGATTGGCCTCACGGAACATTGCATCGTACTCATCTAAAGCGAGGAACTTGCTGAGTAGCTTGTGGCACAAGCGATTTACCTGCATCAGGCCTTCTAGCTCCTAGAACAAATCAAAACATATGTTAAAAATGTTGGACTCAGATGCCAATTATTGTTTTAGGGCTCCCAATTAAATGCCATCTAGCAAAAGGACGTTAGTTACAAAGCCAGAACCATTTCCATACAAAAAGTTATAATTATTATGATTTTTTACTTGCTTGCTTGTACTTGTTTTCTTTATGAATGCTTTTATTATAATGTAATATTTCAAATAAATTATTTTGCATTTCACTTGCACTAGTCACTATTGTCAAACCCTAGATAAACAATCTATTGTATGTTAAGCATAGTGTAAGCAGCCATAAATTATAAAAGCTATTGTAAAATTGTATAATACGTAAAAAAATAAATACCGACCACAACGCCAGTAATGTCTCCAGCCTCAAACTTGCTGATGGCGAGGTCCAGAGACTTCTGCATGTCAGCGTTGATGCGCTGAGTGATGAGCTTGTTGAGGTCGATGGAACGGCCCAACAACTGCACGTGTCGCTGCTTCAGCAGAGTCTCGTAGCGGTTAGCCCGAGGGTACGGCAGCATGTACGTGCCCATCGCCAGACACTCTACGCGGAACCTCTTGTCCAAAAGCATGCTGTATACACCAGAGGTGAGATCAGTGATTGTATTAAAAGTTATGTTTATGGTTGGTTTATGTTAGGCAATTTAAACTGATTAACTTATACCGGTACAAGAACTTTTTTCTTTAACACTGTTTTAATAGACCCAAATATCATTAATATTTAAACTTAATAATACCTGTTACGCCTATAATATGTTCTATATATATTTCCAACTGAGCACATCTAAGGGCCCTTTCACACGAGGCCACTGGTGGCGGCAACCGGTGTCCGCCACCAGTTACCGGCCGGGAAACTGCAGTGGATGATACAGGCAACTTACAAGCCACTCTACTGCAGCCACTTTACAATGGCAGTTGTGAGAATGCTGTCGAACAATGAACATCTCCTTCTCGCGTTGATAATAAAGAAAATAAGGCAAAGACACAGTCGTACTATACCAAATTTCCGGTTACTTTCCAATTTCGCAAATTAGATCTTTAAAATCCACTTTGTCTTATATTATTTTGTTTATTCTCTTATTCTGTTGTTTTCCTTTGTCTTTTTCTTTTTCAGCAACGTCCTCTTTATTTTTCTTCCGATCACTCATTTTTACAAACAAACAATTCAACACGAAAAAACTCAACAACTACCATAGTCGTTGCAGTATGCACGTGAACTGATTCAAAATAGTAGCTGCGCGCTCATCCACGGTGGCGGCCACTGGTTGATACGTGTGAAAGCTCCCATTTAATTCAATGCCCCGCGACGAGTTGCCGCCACTGCAGTTGCCGACTAGCAGTTGCGCGAGGAGACACTGCTCGGCCACTGTGTAGTGGCGGGCAACTAGAGTGGCTGCGTGTGAAAGGTCCCATTTAAAATAATGTTAAAGCTGTGGCGGGCAACCAGTGGCGGCCACCGGTGGCGGCCACCAGTGGCCTCGTGTGAAAGGGCCCTAACAGGTTTTCAGAGCAGGATCAAATTTGGAGGATATATGCTAGGATACCTGGAGGCCAGCTGCTTGTAGTGTGCAAAGATCTGCTCACTCAGCTTGTAGACAAACTGATCAAAGCACAAGTTGACCTCTGCCTCGACCTCGTCATACAGGAACTGTTTGCGGAACACTGTGAGAGCGTAGTGAGCGCTGTCATTGTACAGGTCTAGTGGGTACAGTACATACCTGGAGGCCAGCTGCTTGTAGTGTGCAAAGATCTACTCACTCAGCTTGTAGACAAACTGATCAAAGCACAAGTTGACCTCTGCCTCGACCTCGTCATACAGGAACTGTTTGCGGAACACTGTGAGAGCGTAGTGAGCGCTGTCATTGTACAGGTCTAGTGGGTACAGTACATACCTGGAGGCCAGCTGCTTGTAGTGTGCAAAGATCTGCTCACTCAGCTTGTAGACAAACTGATCAAAGCACAAGTTGACCTCTGCCTCGACCTCGTCATACAGGAACTGTTTGCGGAACACTGTGAGAGCGTAGTGAGCGCTGTCATTGTACAGGTCTAGTGGGTACAGTACATACCTGGAGAATATACATGAGTCTTAATAGAAATCTTAATAAATTAAAATTATATAGTATTTATTATAAATTCAGGAATAATTTGAGAATAACAGAAAACAATGACGATGTTTCTGTGACCGTGGGAGACACCAATAATGTTTACAAGACCGTGAGAGAGGTTATGGATTTTGCTGCTATCATGGTCTCTGCCTTTTTTAATAACCATTTTTATTACTGTGGTTATAAGTTTTTGAATTTTGTTGTTGTAAGCGATTCGGATAATTGGTAATTCATACACAGTACAGTTGAACCTCTATAAGGCGAATTTCAAGGGGTACGGGAAAAATTCGTACTATAGAGGTATTCTTAATAAAGAGGGTCGTTTTATCGAGGTTTAATGCTGCTGTTATTCTTCTTATAGAGGTTTCTACTCGCTCCAAGGTTTTTCCAAACAATGACTGAGGAAGGAGGACGGATGGGTGGGGTTTTCATGTTGAGACAAGCTTCTGTTTGTTTTGAAAACTGCGTACTATGGAGGTTAAGATTATGATAAATTCGTCTTATAGAGGTCACGTTCGTCTTGTAGAGGTTTTGCTCTAAGAATATTCGTTGTTTAGAGGTTAATCAGTCCTAGTCAGTCACAAATTTGTCTTATGGAGGTTTTGAACTTAATTACTACGTTGTATAGAGGTGTTTTTAGCATTGACCTATATGAAAGTGTCAAGGGGATTAAAAAAAATCTTCTTATCGAGGAATTCGTTTTATCGGGGTTCAACTGTAATTGGAATTTGGATAGTTACAGTTCTACTCTGCAAAGGAACTCAAAAAAGTAACTGAAAAGGATAACTGATAAAGGCAATGCATAAAATGGATTTATCCAGGTGATAAAGCCGCAACTCTATAGGCTCTAGCTGGTAATGTGAAAACAGTTCCAGGAAAATCTGGCTTACTAGGATGTGAAATAATGTACACCACCTTGTCCCACCATTAAATAGTGCAAGAATCTGACAATGAAAACTGTCTTGAATTGTGAATGAATTGAACTGAAAGTTTATCAAGTATGTGCAATGAAAGCTGGTTTATGCAGATGTTTTTTTACTTCATTATACACTACCAATGGGTATAACGTGCCTAATGTAAAGTGACCACTTTAAAGAAAATTTTCTTTCTTTCAACTATTAAATACAGAGTGTAACACTCAAATAATGGCTTAACTTTGGAATTTAATACAAATTAACCAATTTAAAAACAAAAATGACACATACACTTTTCTCAAACACACTTTATGTTTGGTCTGACAGATTGTGATTTTTCACTTTTATGCCCCGTTCACACGGGGCGAGTTTACAAGCTACACGCCGGCTTTTTTACACGCAGCTAGTAAAATAGCTTAGTGTGAACGACGTTCTCGCTCAAAAGCTGCTTGTAAAAAAGCTCTGGAAAAAGTTGACGGTGCCGCTACTTTACACGCCAACTCGCCAGCTTTTGCGCGAGTAGGCGTGTAAAGTAGCCCAGTGTGCAGGCCCGTTTTTGACCCTGTTAGCGCCCTAGGCACAACTAATAGTAGCGCCCCTTTGCAATATATATATAAGGGTGTCCACCGACCGGGAAATCCGGGAATCATGCGGGAATTTTATGAACCGGGAATTATGTGTGAATTTTGTATTTCTACCTGGAGTTTTAAAATTACCGTGATCGCGCATGACAACAGTTTCCGTGACCGTGGGAGACGATAATAAGTTATGTCTACACTCGGCCGCGAGATATTCAGAATATTGCCACGATCACGGAAGACGATGATAATGTCCACACGACCGCGCGAAACAGCAAGAATTTGACCGCGATCGCGGAAGACGATGATGATCTCCACACAACTGCGGAACATGATTAACATTTTGCTGCAATCGCGGGAGACGATTACCATGTATACACGGCCGCGGGAGACGGTTATGATGTCTACAGGACCGTGGGAGATACAATAATGATTTACTCGGCCGCGAGGGACGATCGGAATTATGCCACGATCGCACAAGACAATGATAATGTCCACATGACCGTGGGAAAAAATCAGAATTTTGCCTCATTCACGGAAGACGATGATCTCCATATGTCCACAGGGGATGATTACAATTTTTCCACAATCGCAGGAGACGATTACGATGTCTAAAGGACCGCGGGAGATACAATAATGATTTCTACATGGCCGCGAGGGATGATCAGAATATTGCCGCGATCACGGAAGACGATGATAATGGCCACACGATCGCGGGAAAAGTTTAGTACTTTGCCTAATTTGCGGAAGAGGATGATGATCTCCACAAGACCGAGGGAGATGATTACCATTTTGTCACAATCGTGGGAGGCGATTAATATGTTCACACGACTACGGGGGACGATATAATGATGTCTTCACGGCCGCGAGGGGTGGTCAGTATTTGACCACGATCGCGCAAGACGAAGATAATGTCCTTACGACCGCGGGAAAAGATCAGAATTTTGCTCCATTCGCGGTAGACGATGATAATCTCCTCACGACCGCGGGATATGCTCATATATTGCTTCGATCATGGAAGACGATAATTATGTCTAAACGACCTGACCGCTGAAAATAGTAAGAATCTCGCCGCAAACGCGGGAGACGATTACGATGTCTACACGGCCGCGAGGGATTGTCAGAAGTTTACCGCAATCGCATGCAAACAACCACCAATTTTTTTATTTTCCAAATTTTTGGCGCCCCCCAAAAAAACCAATTGCCTCGCGCCCTAGGCACGTGCCTACCGTGCCTATTCGGTAAATCGGCCCTGCCAGTGTGAACACAGTTGCTTGTGCTTGTGCGCTTGTTACTCAAAGATGTTGGAGGATTTGGTTCAAGCCAGCTACTGAGCGAGTGGAAAAAGCATCGTGTGAACGACTACAAGCGCACTCGCCGACTCGCCGGCGTCTTTCTATACGTCTACGAGTTGGCGAGTGGACAAGCTCCGTGTAAACAAACACAAGCACACTCGCCAACTCGCCGGCTTCTTACACGCTGGCGTGTAGCTTGTAAACTCGCCCTGTGTGAACGGGCCTTTACTAGGTAATAAATGTTGCCTAATGCAGGTATTCATATATGTTTTTTAGTTTGGTCCAATATGATTTTGATCAAATCCCAAAGTTATGTCATTGTTATGGTAATGCTGCAGAACATTGAATAATCAAAAACTTCTAAAAACTTTTAATTCCTATCCACAAACAACAATTACAAGACATATTAGCTTGTTAATGTTTTGTCTTCTAGTCACTTACTCCATCATGGAAGGCTCCTTGGTGCGGAGGATGTGATCTGTCAGGATCCAAGGCATCGACATCTCTATAGGGAACTGTCAACAGCCACAAGTGTATGTCAAATACAATCACTTGGGTAAGAATACTTAAGAAAATGGGTATCGTGCACAGTGTTTTGAGAAAAAAAATTATTTCTATACCTCCCACAATAAGTTTCAAGTCTGATGAAGGACATTTTAAAATTTAACATACAAAGAAAAGTAAAAAAATATTAGACTGATTATCAATTTTACAGCACCTAGCTATATTCATGATATTACACGCATAACAATAATTCTGATTTGTTATTTAATTGTATAATATATGTGCGGCTTGTTATTTTTACTCAGGAATAATACGACTTTGCAACCACAATGGGTGGGTACTAAATTGACCTCATTTAAAAACAAATTTAGAGATTCGGTACGTATCAAAAGGTAAGAGAATATTCTTGTTTTGAATTAAATAATTTTCTGACTCCTCGGGACTGAGGGCAGTCCGGATAGTGGGTTTACCGGTTTAACCAACGTCCTCAAAAACATATGCCCTCAGGGGCATACTTTAAAAACCAACCCATATATTTTTCTTAAATTTGGGAGAGCATTAGACATGTGATCAATAGTCTCAAATATTTCCTGTGAGAAAACTTGTTTCAGTAACAGACACTCCCACCAATCTAGTCCAGTTATAAACTGATGTGATGATAAAAACTGTCCGGTTAAAAAAATGTCACATCTGCTGAATGTAGTCCGGTTAAGCCAATGTCCGGATAAGAGGGAGTCAACTCTACCAAAAAAAAGTTGTTCTTGTAACGTAAGGGTTTCTACAAAAATACACTCACAATTTTACTGACCATAAAAAAAATACTCACATAGGCCTAAACAGTATTATTAGACTAATTATTCATTTTTAAGAACTCACATGTATTATATTATTTTTAAGTAAAAAACGCAATTTTCTCAATTTATTAAGGCTTTTACTTTATATTTTGTAACAGAACTACTCTCCTTCGTGTACATAGTACACTAAATACCCACTTTGACAATATAAATTTAATTGATGAGTTTTGGCCTTTGAAATACTAGCAAAGGTTTTGCAGAGATCACCGCATTACATCTAAAGCTTCAGCCAGTATTTCGGCCATCAACACATTCATCTCTTAAAGACAAACATTTGATTGTCTACTTTCAGCTGGGAAGACTTCCGTCTAGTTTAACATATTTAATTCTTATATCTTGTTAGTTTTGATTTTTACAAATCACTATTTTGTGTTGACTTTGTTAACTTAAGCTGTAAAAGTTTTCTAAACTTACAATTAAAATTCAAGTTTAATTGGCATTTTGAAAGAAGAAAATCAAAGCCTTACTCGATATACTAAAAATCAAAAATAGAGTTTATAATTTACATAATGAATGAATTATATCTTTATTCCAACAAATTATTTACAGAATTTGTACACAAATCCTATTTAAAGGAGAAAAACATAAGTGAATTTAAAAGAATAACATAAAATTAACCTTTGTATTACATATATGTTTACAAAGCGTACATGTTTATAAGGAATAAACCGACATGGGCAGCGAGCCTGTGCATCGACTGTAGTTGCGTCCAAACATAACATTATTTATCAAAAACAAAATCTAAATAAATAAATAACAGAAGATATGATGAGGTGAAAATATGATCTAAATGGAGTTACAAGAGCAAACCATGTGTAAAAATACTAGTGGCATAATATTCTACAAAATTGTATAACCTTCTTTGAGGTTTTCTGGAAAATCTAACATAAACTTATTTTAGCACCAATTTCAAATGTCTACACTAGCTTAGTCTTACAAAAAAGATTCTTTAACAGGTTTCTTTCAGGGAATAACTGAATAAAACATAAGCATTGCTAAAGAAATACACTTGGAGACCATTATTTTACAATGATATTCTTAAGACAATAGACTACATTTAGGCTTGTAGTTTCTCACAATAAACACACCCAAGGAAAAGAAATAAAAACAGACTCAAATTGTTCTTTACACATGCAGTTTAGTATCAGAAACCCGTGAGGGAAAAAACACATTTAATTGTGATAGTGAATAAAGAAATAAGTGCTAAACTAAGTTACAAAGGAAAAACCCATACAACCATGTGTTTTTAATGCTTTGTGTTATCTATATCCTTCTACGCCAAATTAGTTATTTATTTTTGCTTAAATTTATTTATTATTGATCAATATAGATAATAGAGAGAGTGACACAGAATAATAAATTAAAAAAAATCTTATTGCCGGCCATAAAACGTTTTTAAGAGGATCAGTATTGAAGGAGGCTAAAAAAAGAAATATGTTTAGCTATTTCCGTATTTTATGCATTATTATCAAATAAATGGGTGCACATAATACATTTTTAACTTATCAACTCCTGCTTAGTTTCTCTATATATCTCTGTGCACTTGGCAAAGCCTTTCTATATCGAGCAAAATCATCTTTTTCACTTTGTGCACCATATTCAACTTGAGTCCCCACTCAAAACTTAATGAATTCACGGTTTGTACGAACACATTTGTATATTTTTTGTAATGTAAATTAGGGTCGGAGAGCTTAGGTTTACACTTGCAATGAACACATCAGCTGAATCTAGAGAGTTGACGATTCCTCGATAGCACCAAGATTGAAAGTTTTGAGAAATCAGAATTGGCAAATCCCTATTTTTTTAAGGTATAACCACAAAATTCACTGCTCAATCTAACTGTTAATGGCACAAATCATTCAGGGTTTTAAGATTTTCACAGTAAAGTTGGTACCTAATTATATTGGTATTTATATTAAGGCACGTAACACCATAAACTTCTTGCTTTTAAATAAACAATAGTGATGAAAGTAGACAAGTAACAAATGTAAAACCAAAGAAAACCAAATTTAAAAATACTATATCTAATCAAATGCAAACCAAAGTTTTACCACCTAAAACTACATCATGCAAAACCAGCCTGGTTAGAACGAGCAGATTGTGTTAACTTATTAAACATATAAGTGTGTTTGTTTGCTGGTCTTGGTTACTAGTAAAAAAATTTAATAAAAACCTGATACTTGCAATAAATACAAATAGGATCATTTGACTACATTCTATTCAATTAGAAATTAAAACACTAACATTCTACAATCTGCAAACTCAAACAAACACACCTGCAAAATTAAATCATTTAAATCACCACCATAGTAAACAAAGGGATTGACAACAGTTCATGCAATATTCCATGGGGATACCTGGATTCTCTTTTCCATGGTTATAAGATCACTGCATTCTTCGTTATGTTGGTGACGCACGGTACATTTCTACCAAACACCACAAAATTATCTTGAGGAATGCTCGATTAACAATTGGTTTGGTTAGGGTTCATTATAGAGGTTATGTTGTGTTTATGTGATTAGCATTGTTCAGGTGTATGCTGTGTAAAATAAAGAACAAATATTTTTTACACACTCTTCAAATTAAAATCCGACACAGGGGTCCTTGATTAATAGGAAATTTTTTGTGTAACCTCTTCCTATTGAGTAATCGATTAGTGACTGGATGAATTTTTAAGTAATTCAATACTGTACTTAAAATGCCATCTTTCATTGTACAAAAAGTAAGACCAATGTACTGTATTTCAACAAGACTATTTGAAATACTTTTAAATTAACCGTACATAGGGGAGCGAGCTGGTCTAGTGGTAAACCGCAGGGCTTTGATCCCTGAGGTCCTCTGTTCAAATCCCTCCAACCACCATAGGCTATTAGACATGTGATAATGCCGCAAACCTCTAGGCAAAGCCTGAAATAATGTGTATCAATTTTGGCTAGGGTCTAGCGTCCTAAGATGTGACGGTAGGGAATATAGAAAAATTTAGAATTTTAAAAAGTAAATTATCATATTTAAATTAGCCTAATCAAAATTGATTTTTACAAAATTGAAAACTGTAACTATGTATTTTGAAGATAAAAAAAGTCTTTCAAATGTTAGAACTATTCGGGATTGTACTTTTATCAATAAGCAATTCTAGAAGATAATAACAACAAGCACAAAATCCCACAGTTGTCAAACAAGAAAATCTAAACAAATATATCAAGTTTTGGGTGCAAAGGAAGTGGCCTAACGGGTGCATATTTACTAATAGAACCTTAAGTAGCCTATTCAATAATATTCCAAAGTTTTAGATACCGAATGTAAAACTAGATGTCACCTCTATTAAATTCCCAAAACAATGAATAGATCACATAAAACCATTTGTTGATATTCTTAATTGTTATTACATATTCCAGTTCCAATTTTCAAATGCAACGTTTAAATCTTAGAGATTGGACAGATGACACTAACCTGTATTCTGCGCCCCATGGTCATCTCAAGGTAGAACTCTCGATACCACAGTTGTGACAGATCACAGCACTCTTGAAGTGATTCTGAAAATTAAAAACAGTAATCTAATTATTCTGTATGTATGACATAAGACCCAAGAGTAAAAACTTTGACACAATTACTAAATCTAAACATTTTTCATAAAAAGTCCCAAATAAAACATTTAAATTAAACATTCAAAGCACCGTAATGTCAAAAAATTGAGTGAGAGCAGTAAATTAATTAATCTTTAAGCTTTGAACAGTATGAAACTTGGAACTAATAAAATCAAATATTTTATGCTTTAAAAATATAGGTTATTAGTAGGACTCCAATAATCCAGGTCAATTGGGATCGGACCCTATCCAAATATTCAAAATTCTGGAGATTTGCAGTTTTCAAGAAAAAGTATATAAGACAGTGGCACTAGGGAAATTACTTATTATCCGCCGATAGATACGACATTACAATAGACTCGCCACATGGTGGACGCAATTGATGAAAAATTTAACAGATTACCACAAACTGTTATAAGCGTAATTTTCCTAGCCAAATTTTAAATTTTTCTCCTTGAGGTAATTTGGATGGTTGGCGATCCGGATGATTGGAGTTTGGGTTCTACTGAATGTCAAAACACGTTGATAGCAAAATCCACATTGATACATTAACCTAACAGACTTGGAAAGACACCAACACTTTATTTCAAAAATGGTACTTAAAAACTACAACACTTGCCTCCAAATTTGAGCAGATAGTTCCAGTTGAAGGAGTTTTTGTGGAACTGGTCAATCTGCATGAGATACTGTCCGTCAATGTCCTTCCTCAGGGTGCGTTTACCACCAGACTTGTCAGCTATGAGAGACTCTAGCATAGTCCTCACCATGTACAGCTGTGTGGACGACGGACCTACCACAAACACAGTGTCATACACAACCTTGGTTTGCCACTTGTTTGATTCCATAACTGGTTAGAGGTTATATTCTTTAAAAAAATATTTTGGGGAAGGGTTAGAGTCCAAGGGTTAATCCAAAGATAATAAAAGAACATAATTAAACACAACACTGATATTTTGTCAGTGTATACTCACATATAATAATGTCAAAAATACTATCAAAGGTCTATCAAAGGCTCCAGAACGTATATTGATAAAAATGTGTCCTAGTAGGCCTTTCTCATAAATTTACCCAGTGAGGAAGCTCCATAGTAAGACGAATTATCAGTGTTATAATGTGACCTAATATCTATAATAATGGTACAATACCTCGTCAAGTAGTCCAAATGATGATTGAGGTTAGCAACCTACATGTTTCGCCGTAAATACGGCATCGTCAGGGTTACAAAAACGAAGACATCGATGTCACACGTACACAATAAATACACGAATATAAACATTTAATTACGGAGAGTAAACATTTAATTAATATTGATAGGCCTATCACACGCACACGACACGGAGGGTCCCGGCGCAGGTAGTAGACATGAGTCTACTACCTGTTAACCAATATTAATTAAATGTTTACTCTCCATAATTAAATGTTTATATTCGTGTATTTATTGTGTGCGTGTGACATCGATGTCTTCGTTTTTGTAACCCTGACGATGCCGTATTTACAGCGAAACATGTAGGTTGCTAACCTCAATCATCATTTGGACTACTTGACGAGGTATTGTACCATTATTATACTCATTAAAGTAATCCAGGGGCCATCAACATGGAATTTAATGACCTAATATGGTGTGATAGTAGTGCTAGTTGAACAACATTCCTATACAAAATTCCATTATTTACTTCTGTAACCATAACGTTTTACTATTATGTTCCTTGTTAACTTAAAAAAATATAAGATTTCTTTATAAAACAAGTTGGAAGCCTATTTTAACCTTCCATTTGATCCACATATTCTTCAAAGGAATGTGTGTGTGGAAAGTATCAAGCAAAGCAAGAGTACGGTGCAAAAATGAACTTAACTGTTGAATTTAAAGTTCATCAGGACGCAAACCCAAGACATTGCTGCCGTAGTATTACAGACCATCACAACACCAACTTAACCACTGTCTCATCATCTTGGCTTCACATTTAAACTTTTAATGATTTAACATTTCATATATCCACCAAAATGGTCTCAGTGACCTCGGAGTAGTATACTGACCAACATTTCTACGAGGAACCTTGATGCCGAAGCCTGTGTCAGGATCCTTCTTGCCTCGGAGGGCAGGGTCTGCGGAGGGCTCAACACCTCGCTGCCAGTCCGCACACGTCTCTCGCACTGACATGATTATACTGGAACAAGTTGAGACATTATAAAACTAACTCAAGTTCAGATATCTTATCCTTCATCTTTAGTTTTATAAAGAACAGTATTTATTTTCTTACTATAATTATCACACAGCCAAAAAGATTTCCACAACTAGAGTCTATTTACAACACAACCATTGCAAGTTGAAAGGGTGTCGAGTTTACTTTACTTCTTCAAACTATACAAAAGAAATTGAAGCATACAAGACTGGGAAAAGCAGACACAAAGCTATAATACTTACAGTGTGCAAATAGTTTTTGCATAGCCAATATTCTAACCCAATACTTTAGTCATGAAAATAACTTCTCCGTCCCAACTCAACAAGTCATTAATAACTAATGTTAATGCTTATTTGATTTATAATATTGTGCAACTTGGTTGTTTTTTAAAAAAGTACAAATTCTGTTTTTCTAATAGTACACCAATTTGGAGATGAGACATTCTATTTGAACAGGTCTTCCAAGAGAGTTTTCTGGTGAAAAAAAATACTGATTGAAAAAAAACCTGTATAAACCTTCCATTCCACTTTTTCTTAAACCGACTGACAAGAGGACTGGAACTAAAAAGTGAAGATCAAACTGACTGAATAGTAAAGGATATTTGCATTTCTTATTAAATAAACATACCTATTTATTTTGAGTTGCAAACATACTCTTTGGTTTTGAAATTACATCATACATTTTTTTCTTAAATACTCTACCTTACTGATTTTTTTTTTTTACAAACTGTAGAAACCAATTCAGCAGGTCAGGGCTTACGAATGATGACAGTAACTGAGATCGACTAATGTAGATTAGTAACATCACATCTTTTCAGCAAATGTTAAACACCTCACATATGTCCAAACTTTCCACTCATTCTATTACATTATGAATAAAATAAATAAATATAGGATGGAGAGGACACAGCTAACTCACCTGATGAAAGGTTGCAGATGAGTCAAAGAACACATAAAATCACACACATAATTTACTTAATATTTCGCCTCTTTCAGAGGCTTCTTCAGAAGTAGGCCTAGATGGTAGTTACAAAACAACAGTTTAAATAGGATGACACAGTTTGAATTCAAAATGTCTGACAGGTTGTCCAACTGACACTGCACAAAGCACTAAATACAGGCACATTGCAATATTGTATTTACATATAATATGTACATTGAAAAGCAAATTAGTTTTGTCCATGAAAATAAATACTTAAGAGTTAGCTGTGAGGGTGAGGATATGAGGATATTATCTAATGTTGAGGTTAGGTGGGGTTCTGGAGTTGGTCACAAACTGGTAAGCTAATTCCCATCTTCTGAGCATTGAACTATTGCATTGGTTCTTTGGCAATGATTTTAGAGCTTTTATGGTGAAACAGTCATCAAATAGAAGTTGGTGGGATAAGGCATGTTGTGCAACTGGTTTTTCTTTGCTAGTTTTAACATCATGTCGATGGCCGTTCATGCGTTTTCGGAGAGTCTCGGTTGTTAGGCCTATGTACTGGGCTGGACAATGTGAACATTGAAGCTGGTAGATAAGGTTCTCTGAGCTGCAGGTATGATGGCCTTGGATTCTGTAATTTTTATTATGGTATGTGCTGGTAAAAGTTTCTGTAGGATGGTGTATCTGGCAAGATTTACATCGGTTTTCATTGCATGGGTATGAACCCGGTCTTGGTTTCTCAGATGGTATTTTTGATGGATTTGGGAGTTTTGGGTGGACTAGCATATTCCTCAAATTTGGGGGTTGCCTATAGATTATGGAAGGGGCTCTTGAAAGGAGGTTTTTGGTTTGGCTGGAGGACTCTAGGATTTTGAAACCTGTTTTAAGGAGGTTGTTTAGTTGTTGCAGGCCAGGGTGGTAAGTGGTTATCAAATTTACTTGAAGATGGTTGGTATTTTTCTTTGTAGTTGGACGTGGGTTCTGAGCCGCTTGGATCTGAGATTTTACGAGAGTGCTAGGATAGCCTCGGTTTTCGAAGGCTTTTTGAAGTTGGGTTTGGTATTGTGTACGGTCTTTCGGTTCTGAAATTAGGCGATTTCCCCTTAGGGCAAGACTGTAAGGAAGTGATCTCTTGGTGTTATTCGGATGACAACTAGAAAAATGGAGGTATTGTTGGTGGTTGGTCGGTTTTATGTGGATAGATGTGGTGAGGCTATTGTTCCTTAGATGAATTGTAAGGTCTAAAAAGTTGATGGAAGTCTCAGAGAAATCCCAGGTGAAATTTAGCGGTCCAAAACTGTTGAGGTCTTCCAGGAACTTCCGTAGTGATTCTTCACCGTGGGTCCAAATTATGAAAATATCGTCAATGTATCTAAACCAGCAGATGGGGAGGTGTTCACGGCTAGACAAAAACTTTTCTTCATAATTCCCCATGTAGAGATTAGCATAAGATGGGGCCATTCTTGTACCCATGGCAGTGCCCTTGATCTGTAGGAAGTGTTTGTCCTGAAATTGGAAATAGTTCTTTTCCAGAATGAATTTTATCAGTTGAGTTATAAACGAAGTGGTGGGTAGGGATCCTTTGGGTCTGTTTTGAAGGTAGTTTTCTGTTGCTGTTAGGCCGTGGACATGAGGTATGTTTGTGTAGAGTGAGGTGACATCAATAGTGGCCATGAGAGTGTTAGCGGGGAGTGGTTGTCTGACATTGTTAAGTTTTTGCAAAAAATCATTGGAGTCCTTGATATATGAGGCCAAGTTTTGTACTAGCGGTTGTAGATAGGCGTCTACGTATGAAGAGATACGTTCCGTTAAAGAACCGCAGCCTGATACTATGGGCCTTCCTGGCGGTGGTGTTATGCCTTTGTGGATTTTTGGTAATATGTAGATTTTAGGGCAGATGGGTTCTTCTGGTATTAACAGATTTGTTGTTTCTGGGGAGATATTGTTGGATTTGGAGTGTTTGTAAATTATTTCCTTGAGTTCATAAGTGTACTTTATAGTACTTTATAGTTTATACTTCCTCTCCATCCTATATTTATTTATTTAATCCAAGCTAAATGCTTTTTCCTAAAAACATAACCTTAAAGTGACAAATCTTTTCACTCTTTCCTTTACTCCTTTCTTTCCTTAGTGCTACTGTCCAACTATCCTATCCACTATGAACCTATCTTCCTTTTGGCTAAAACAAGCCAAACAACATGCTTTCAAATTATCAAAAATTACATGTCATGTACATTTCCTGAGTTCTTGCCTTACTCTAGGCCTAACTCCAGTGGGCCTAACTGTAAAACCAGCCATCAGTGGCATGCCCCCTAATATGTGGCCTGCTATACTAGCCCTAGCCTACAAACAATCAATAGATTTGACTAAATCTGTCCTACAACTGTACTCTGAACAAATGTATAACCACAGAAAGGCTCTTTCTGACCTCACAAAGCTGATTTTGAATGACAAACCACAACTAGCAGATAATCTCAATTCAATAGCACAGAAAGCCTTAATTAATATGAACAAAGAAGCTGAAAGAAAACTCAGAAAACTCTCTAACCTTTGTATCAAACATATACATCAATATGGATCTATAGGCCTAGCCCAACAAACCCAACCACATCAGGTTCCTCTAATCTCAGATAGGCCTTGTCTGGCCTCCCTCTTAGGACTACCTATACCAGTAGGCCAAAAACCCTTTCTACCTAAACCACCGAAGATTCCTACTTCCCCATTCAAGAGCAATTCTGTCCCAAACAACCCTGAAACCTCTACAAATGAACAACAAGTTTGCAACTTATCCAACCACCAGCTCTCAGAAATAGAAAAAACAGTTTTGACCAAGGGTCTCAGTTTTTGTCCCACACCCCGTTTTGACCATTTTGGCCTAGTTAAAGACATCATGTCGCTAGCTAGGAACCTACGTCTCAAACATTATTTCAACTCACAAGATCAAGACAACTCGAAATCCAACAGTGTGGCGCCCTCCCTAGCGAAGTTTGCTCCACCCTCGGACTTCGATCCCCCTCCGTTACCAGCAGACCATCCGATAGAACAATACATCAACTTCTTGGTACAAAACATCTCAGATCCCACTTTCGAAAACAACGTAACCTCTACAACACTCCATAACCTCACCGAAGCCGAGAAAAAAGCCATTTCAACTTTAAAATCAAATACTGATATCATGATCCTTCCAGCTGACAAAGGCTCGACCACAGTGATAATGAATAAATCTGATTATGTGTCAGAAATCCAACGCCAGCTCAGTGATTCTTCCACCTACCTCCCTCTGAAAGAAGATCCAACTATAAAGTACACCGCTGAACTCAAGGAAATAATTTACAAACACTCCAAATCCAACAATATCTCCCCAGAAACAACAAATCTGTTAATACCAGAAGAACCCATCTGCCCTAAAATCTACATATTACCAAAAATCCACAAAGGCATAACACCACCGCCAGGAAGGCCCATAGTATCAGGCTGCGGTTCTTTAACGGAACGTATCTCTTCATACGTAGACGCCTATCTACAACCGCTAGTACAAAACTTGGCCTCATATATCAAGGACTCCAATGATTTTTTGCAAAAACTTAACAATGTCAGACAACCACTCCCCGCTAACACTCTCATGGCCACTATTGATGTCACCTCACTCTACACAAACATACCTCATGTCCACGGCCTAACAGCAACAGAAAACTACCTTCAAAACAGACCCAAAGGATCCCTACCCACCACTTCGTTTATAACTCAACTGATAAAATTCATTCTGGAAAAGAACTATTTCCAATTTCAGGACAAACACTTCCTACAGATCAAGGGCACTGCCATGGGTACAAGAATGGCCCCATCTTATGCTAATCTCTACATGGGGAATTATGAAGAAAAGTTTTTGTCTAGCCGTGAACACCTCCCCATCTGCTGGTTTAGATACATTGACGATATTTTCATAATTTGGACCCACGGTGAAGAATCACTACGGAAGTTCCTGGAAGACCTCAACAGTTTTGGACCGCTAAATTTCACCTGGGATTTCTCTGAGACTTCCATCAACTTTTTAGACCTTACAATTCATCTAAGGAACAATAGCCTCACCACATCTATCCACATAAAACCGACCAACCACCAACAATACCTCCATTTTTCTAGTTGTCATCCGAATAACACCAAGAGATCACTTCCTTACAGTCTTGCCCTAAGGGGAAATCGCCTAATTTCAGAACCGAAAGACCGTACACAATACCAAACCCAACTTCAAAAAGCCTTCGAAAACCGAGGCTATCCTAGCACTCTCGTAAAATCTCAGATCCAAGCGGCTCAGAACCCACGTCCAACTACAAAGAAAAATACCAACCATCTTCAAGTAAATTTGATAACCACTTACCACCCTGGCCTGCAACAACTAAACAACCTCCTTAAAACAGGTTTCAAAATCCTAGAGTCCTCCAGCCAAACCAAAAACCTCCTTTCAAGAGCCCCTTCCATAATCTATAGGCAACCCCCAAATTTGAGGAATATGCTAGTCCACCCAAAACTCCCAAATCCATCAAAAATACCATCTGAGAAACCAAGACCGGGTTCATACCCATGCAATGAAAACCGATGTAAATCTTGCCAGATACACCATCCTACAGAAACTTTTACCAGCACATACCATAATAAAAATTACAGAATCCAAGGCCATCATACCTGCAGCTCAGAGAACCTTATCTACCAGCTTCAATGTTCACATTGTCCAGCCCAGTACATAGGCCTAACAACCGAGACTCTCCGAAAACGCATGAACGGCCATCGACATGATGTTAAAACTAGCAAAGAAAAACCAGTTGCACAACATGCCTTATCCCACCAACTTCTATTTGATGACTGTTTCACCATAAAAGCTCTAAAATCATTGCCAAAGAACCAATGCAATAGTTCAATGCTCAGAAGATGGGAATTAGCTTACCAGTTTGTGACCAACTCCAGAACCCCACCTAACCTCAACATTAGATAATATCCTCATATCCTCACCCTCACAGCTAACTCTTAAGTATTTATTTTCATGGACAAAACTAATTTGCTTTTCAATGTACATATTATATGTAAATACAATATTGCAATGTGCCTGTATTTAGTGCTTTGTGCAGTGTCAGTTGGACAACCTGTCAGACATTTTGAATTCAAACTGTGTCATCCTATTTAAACTGTTGTTTTGTAACTACCATCTAGGCCTACTTCTGAAGAAGCCTCTGAAAGAGGCGAAATATTAAGTAAATTATGTGTGTGATTTTATGTGTTCTTTGACTCATCTGCAACCTTTCATCAGGTGAGTTAGCTGTGTCCTCTCCATCCTATATTTATTTATTTAATCCAAGCTAAATGCTTTTTCCTAAAAACATAACCTTATTATGAATAAAATAAAATTTGTTAAAGTAATTTGTTAACGTCACACACCTTCGGATGAGATCTTTCTTGTTCTTGATAGCCTTGCGCAGAGGGTCGCGCAGACTGAGTTGTATAAAGTCCTGCAGCTCTGCGTAGATGTTGCGTCGTATTGCGTCTGTGAACACTGTCTCCATACGAGCCATCAACACCTGCAGTCCCTTGATCATGGCGATCACTTCAATCAAAGCAAACTTTTCTTCCTCCGTGTAGTTGTATCTTGTAGCCTGTGGGGCAATATTTCAATGACAATGAAATGTTTCATTTGTACTGTTAAAGATGAGAAGGTAAGTAAGAACATAGTGTTTTCTACACAACTAAAAGGGATTCTTCAAAACCGAGAATATTTGAGTAGTTTGCTACAATCCAAGCTAACTCAAGAAAAAGATAGTGACATCAAATATGTTTATATTTGTGTTTTTATGGTGAGTTTGCCTAACAGTATTTGATATACTGTGGCCTAATAACGTTGCACATTCGAAGTGAGTAAATCTACAGACTCTCATATAACGTATGACTCTCATATAACATATAACTCTCAAGTTAGATAAAACACTGAAAAGAAATAAAAGATGATTTCATCATAACAATTCATTATTGTGATAAGGTACACTTAACATGGGAATTATAATAAGATTGCAAAATTCTCGTCCCTAGAAAATCCTCTAAACCTACCAACAGAACATGGAACATGAATTCCTCGGCCAGGATCAGTTAAAATTTTAAACTATTTTGTTTTTACTCAGTGTGTATCTGGATTTGGTTTGGAATTGTAATCGCATCCGCGTATCAGAATAAGAATAATTTTGAAATCGTCTTGTCTCCATTAAAAATTGTCCAGGTAGCCAAGTGGTAATAAATCTCACCATAACATAATTGTGGCCGGTTAGATCTTAAGTGGGAAAGTCTTGACTCAGAACCCATTCGTCATTGGACATTCAATTAATGCTATCCTACAAAAGGTCAACATTCCTAACAAAATTAAGGCCTATACTGTTTTCATACAGATAATGTGAAATGTCTAAGGATGAACACAAACAATGAAGATATTATTCATATTTGTTCACTCACCCGTTCATATTCCTCAGCCTCCTGAGGACACTCGTTGTTCTGGTGATGGTCTGTGGGGTGCAGCAGTTTCCAGGAGTACAGCTCCGTCACCACACTACTCCACTCCGAGAGTAGTTGCAGTCCTCGCAATGCTAGGTCTGATGTATCCTTGTTCTCAGCATCTGTCCTCGTCTCTTTGTACGTGGTTGTCACCTTCAACATGCGATACAGGTTTAGTGATGGAGGAATCCACCTTGTATTGTCTATTGAATATAGTAATCATGTAGTAGATGAGACACAAATATAGCAATAATGTAGAAAATAGTGCCTGTAAATAGAAAATACGTCAAATAACTCTTGTTCTAAATATATTTATTACATGTGTTATTTGACATATTTTTGTACTTTCAGGTAATTTAATAACGCGTATGAAGCTGATCAAGAAGTTATTTAGTACTTATGTGTATTCTGTAAGATTTTGTTTTTTTGTGCCAGAGTGGACTCTAATTCAAATAAGCTTGCTACTCCAACTATTCCATTTGTACCTCATTGCTGTAGCGAGCTAGCTCACTGATGTACTTGACGTGGTCCTCACGTATCCGAGGCAGGTGAATCATCAGGTCAGCTTGTGGACTGATATTAGTGGAACTGCTGAGAGGCCACTTGCTGGGGTCAAAATGTTTGCTGCGCTTTATGTAGTTGAAAGGTGCAATCTGCATGTCACCAAACAACGGGACCACTTCTAGGTTCTGTAAAACAATATCTATTTTCTACCTTATCATAGATGAAAAACACTCCCTTAGTAGATTTCTCATCCTTATGGAACAACTGAAGCCAATTTTATTGTTAGTTCTGTACGTTGCACTGTAGAGGTTGTATTTAGTTCACTATTTGTTTCTTGTTATTTCAGTCATTTAAAATCTTGTTTAACCAATTAAAACAATCTAATGATAAACAATAACTGATCTCCTAGTTATATCAGAGGCTTTTGTGGCTGAGTTGTATGTGTTTTGTAAATTTGTATTTTTTTGGAAATAAATAAATAAATAAAAACTATGTTCCAAGGAAAAAAAACGTATAGGCTATAACCAAACAGTAAAGCACAAATCATGAAAATAAAGAAAACAGAATTTTGTTTACACTAGCGATAAGTGTCGACAAACTAGACATGAAAAACTAGCTTCAAAATTTTCAATGGGATAAGAAGTCTACTTGTCTTGGTTAGTCTATGCTTATATTTTTGTTGCTGACCAAATTTATGAATCATAATTGCTATGGCGTATTTAACAGAAATTAGTAATTTAGATCTGCAAAATCTGTCGGTGGCTCACATCAACTCTGACAATTTTGATAAAAAATCAGAAACAAATTCAACATGGAGATAGAATGTCTATTTGTATCAATAATCAAGGAAACACTAAGTGCAAACAAATCATACCTTGAAAATGCGGTCAATTTTGCATAGATTAAGCTTCTTTTTCTGGTCCAACTTGTTGATATTGCAAAGATCATTGTCCATCAGGAACAATCCAAACCCCATGACCTGAAACACAGTAATGTACAGTTGAAATATTTCATAGTTATTGACAATTTTGTTATTCACAAACACAAAAGATTGCAATGGAGTGTAAGATGCAGTAGTACAAACCCTCTAGGTTGACAACACAAAAAGTCACTGCACATTTTATTATTTATGATATAGGTAATTCATAGGTAGGCCTAATTCATGATGAAAAACAAAATCAAATCTAAGGCTTACCTGAATGGGAAAGAGTCCAAACTGGCACAGGAAACACAAAACAAAACTTTACACTATATACACAAAACATTGGAATATTTCACTGTCACTGACAGCATTTTCAACTAAGGAAGAGAGAGTTTTCTAGATGTCCAAAATGGTGGCCAGTGAGTTGTTGAGTCAGTGTTGCCAATAGTATGAATTCAAAAAACACAGTTTCAGTTTCACTGGCCACCATTTTGGACATCTAGAAAACTCTCTCTTCCTTAGTTGAAAATGCTGTCAGTGACAGTGAAATATTCTAATGTTTTGTGTATATAGTGTAAAGTTTTGTTTTGTGTTTCCTGTGCCAGTTTGGACTCTTTCCCATTCAGGTAAGCCTGCTATCCTCTCAAAAAATCCTAAAAAATCTAGGCCCTTGTGCTCTATGCTACACCCTTAAAATCAAATCTAAGTCCATTCCCATTGTTCTAATGTGAAGGTTAGGAAGTGAAAGGTTAGAAATGCAATTAGCTGGAAATCGACTGTATGACAGGACAAATCTTTGTTAAACCTAATGAATTTTGTTCTGTGCGCCTGGTGATCCCATGCATCTACAAAGAGCTTCATCATTTCCCGGATCTAGATTTATTTGTCTTTTGACACTGTCCACTGAACGCACAAGCTATAAGACTGTGAATCTCAATAGGGATAAATCTATAATGTCCTTCTTTTTTCTTGTTTGCTTGTTTAACTTTAAATAATTTGCCATTTTGGTTATTGCTTTCAGCTATTGATACCTGGTACTGCTCGGTTTGTATACGGTACTGACCCTTTCATGTCCTACTAGGACCTAGGGTCAAACTCCAGGTCTAAAAACATTGTCAAACATTGTTTTTTACTGATCAATTATGGAAAACGTCCACAATAATCTTTTACACAATAGGCCAACGGTTAGCTAATAAATAAATAAAGATGAAGTTCAACTGACCTTAACAAGCATGTGTTTTTCTGTTGGTGTGAGATACATCTTGCTCTCAAACATGTGTACAGCCAAGTTAACGACGTCCGACAGGAGGTCCTCATATCCCGGAATCTTCTCCAGGTTCTCCTTCACTGTGTCCCGGATCTTGTTCTGAGTGGCCAGGAACATTGACAAGTTCTGAGACTCCTGAAGAGTGTGTGAGTCGGCCATCACCTTTAGGAACTGAGCTGCCCTGCACATATATGGAAAATGGTGAACTCCTATACAACTTAAGTTAGATTTGTACAATGCTTACATGCCAGAATGCATGTTATAAGGTTAATATTACTGCAAGACAAGTGTTGAATGGAAAATATACTTTGTTACTATCTAAGATCAGCTGGTTCTATTTCCAGGACATTTATAAAAGTATACATGGGACCAGTTTCAAACCATCAAAAAGTTTCTAAAATTTCTGAATGGAACCAGCAACCACACGATTACTGCTAGGACTATACCCAGCTCATATTAGCTGAATTGTCCTTCATCATTGGGTTTTTAATAAATGGTCCTGACTAAGATACAGCTAGTCTTAAGCTGGGTTTTCCTAGGTGCGGAAGCGGAGAGAGGAATGCGGAGAGCAGAAAAGAGATTAACATGGTGTTCCACTCCACTTCTAGGAAAACAGTAACATTAAATTACCTAAGACAAGTGGAGTCCGCACCCCGCTCTCCACTTCCGCGCATAGGAATACCCGGCTTTAGTAACAAAGTTACATAAATTATCTCACTCCATCAAACACTCATCAGTCATTCATATCCAGCTTAAAATATGCACCAAAGGTGTCGCAGCTTTAAAGAATTGAATTGAATCTAAGTATAACCACCCTTGCTATCCACTATCCAGCTATATGAGTGTCTAATTTAGCATATAGGTAAAGCTATTCAAATGTTACACACACTGACTTATAAATGAATTAATTGCAAATATTTAGTTAAAAATAAGATGGTTTGAAACATAAAGAGAATGCAAGACAAGAGAGAATTAATAGAAAAAAAGGTGGGGTAAGAGGAACTGAGGAAGGATAGACAAAGAGAGTACTTAGCAGGTGCTCAGATCGGTGTATAATGCAATACATGCACTATGTTTGCATGTATTTTTTTACCTCGAAGAATCAAGATGGAGTTAAGGCATATATGGGAAGCTGTATGATGTACAAGAATTTAACCAATAGGCCTACTGTCATATTTTACTAGTCATAATAATGACTATACGTCTATACTATTCTCACAAGTCCATAAAAGGATATGCCTTTAAATTATGTTCTTTTCCAGTAAAGATAAGTCAGAGAGCTATCTAAGGGACTGATGTTTTGTTTTACCTTCTATACGTTGAATAATCATTCTTGACGCTAGACTTCATGTTTTTGAGCTCATCAAGAACAGCAAACATGTTGATGAACTTGCCCAGAGTGAGCAAATAAGCCTCCGATATAAAGTCCTTACGCTTCTCAGTGTGGCACAAACGCTTGACCTCTGCAGAGAACCGTTCTATGGCCTTGCGCTGCAATCAATTAAGTAATACATAACACATGTTTATTTCCAGTAGACATATTACAAATGTATTGGAAGAGTCAACACATTTTTCATGCAGAGCAGTTGTGAAATTGAGAAGTGTGTTACAAATTGTACTTTGAAGTCTACGAAGAAAAGAAAATAATAGCATTTTAAGTTAATAAATAGATCTAAAACTAATATAACAGAGTTGATCACTATCGAGAAGTAAAAACAACCATTTGAAAATTAGAAAATCATTACAAAGTATGTACAATGTACATTACATGTATGTAAAGATTAGAGTAATTTAAGAATAATATCAGATAATAGACTGCAGTACTTGAATTAAATGTTGCTAATTTAAATGCAGTACATTTCTTAATGCTTTCACATTAAATGTCTGTTACAGCTAAACAATAACATACAATCAAAGGAAATTGAGATTGATAAACCAAATGTAGGCAATTGAGGTTTTAAAAAGAAAAACATGACAAAAAGGTTTTCATGTATCTAACATCATTGTGATGTAATTTTGAATTACAAAAAAAGTTACTTTTTAGAAGGCATGATAGCTGATTTAAGTTTCAACATCGTTTGCTATGAATTGTTTATTCATTACCTGAAAATACATAAAGTTTAACAACTTGTTGACTTCAGGAGCTAAGACTTCCACTGTTTTCTCGTATATTTCCACACGGTTTGGCTGCTCGTTGGACTTGGGCTGAGGGATGGCACGTGAGCAACACCTCCAAGTATACAACATAACAGCATGGATGAGGCCTTCCTCTAGCAACTCGTTCTGGTAGGGGGAAAAATGTATTTACATAGCAATAATACCAACTATAACATATAACCATAGACAAAAAGAAATAAATATAGACTGTCAGCTGTGCTGCGGTTAGCGTATATTCCGGCGCCGACTGCTAGGGGTAATGTGTAGTTACGGCGCACACCGCTGCAGAATCAAGCGCTAACGACCGTTTCCATAACAACTTGGTAGTTGGGAGTAGTGTTGCCAACTTTGGAGGAATTTCCCGGAATTGGAGTTTACTGACTTATTTAATATTTAGCAGTAAATTAATTTAAATGGCATAATTTATGGTATTTTTTTTTTTAACATATATTTGTTATACTTTTGTAGTTTCATTACAATGATTCAAAGTTTTACTTTATTAATCCATAATTTTAGGAAGTGGTTTATTCAAAGGTTTTGTTTTATATTTGCAAGGTAAAATCTAATTAACCAGGGTGTCTAGTAGTCGGGGAAAATGGGAAAGTCAGGTATTAGTATTGAATTTCAAAATGGTCTTGAAAAGTTGGGATTTAGTCTTTATTTGATATCAAAGTCGGGAAATTTAATTATTTTACCGCGATCGCGTTAGACAACGATCACGTTTCCGTGACGGCGCAAGATGATGATGATGTCTACACGACCGCGGGAGATATTCTTAAACCGCGACCGTGCTAGACGACGTTTTCGTGACCGCAGGAGAAATGATCACGTCTTTTCTACGATCACGCAAAACGATAATGTCTACACGGCCGCTGAAGATGTTCACGATTTTGCCACAATCGTCGATAAATAGCGATATAGTAAGCATTTTGTTTGCAAGAGTGGTAGTGCTGGTAACAGCTGGCGAGTAGTCGACGATGAAACAGTATAGAATACCAACCGATATCGAACGGCAATAACGCTCTAGTGGCAGATCGCAAAACCTTTCTTTGACAGTCTATATTTACTCTATTGTCTATAACATACCTAAGATATGACAAGAAGCTCTAGTATAACGTGACATATCACTACATACTTTTGGATTTGACTAAACCTAATGTTTTAAATTTAAGTTCAGAATTTACTGTTTATAATAGTAATGACATGTTCATACAAATCTTGATCTGATACATGTAAATTTTGAACGGTAATGGCAATTTTGTTCAGCTATTAACAAGTTTATTCAAAATTTTCTTTGTTTTATATGTGCAGTGCAAATTTCCTTTAAATACAATAATTTTTCTAATCTCTTAGAACTCTCCATAAGAATCTATGTTAATTTGAAATTTATAAAACAAATAGACTATACTTACATGCTCAATATATAGCCTAACGGCTTTGTTATCATCCCAGCAAAATTAAATAACCTCGTTTTAGCAATACTCTTGTGGTATTAGAACCTCTATATTGTCAATTTCACCTCTATGTAACAAAACTCCTATGTCTGTACCTCATTATAACGAACTTACGAAAAATGTGTTTTGACACACATAGCTTAGTCATAGCACTCCAAAGAGGAGATTTCAGTTTCTGTAGAGTTCCCTACGGGGAAGTAGCTATACCATAGGTGGCTTATTAAGGTTAAGCCCTCTACTGGTTTACTTTTTCATTTTTATGTCCCAAGACAAAAAAGACTCAAGTTATTGCAATCTAGTCGTCATACGAACAATTGCGATTGGATAAGGTAATTATTTTATTTTATTAAGTTATTGCATTCGCGGAAAAGGCAAATAACCTACCACTGACTCAACGGATGGTGACTATATCTCAAAACATATATATAACCAAGAATAATCAAATTTAGCATAGGGAGTTGATGCCGGTCCGTGGCAAAAATCCTTACATCAACCATAGTTGATGCTGGTCTGTGGTGAAGGATTTTTTTTAAATACCGGTAGCGAAGGTGTTAAAAGAGGTTTATCAAGCTTTAAAGCCAAAGAGGTTTTTTTTTTTAATTTTCTGTGAACTTTTTTAATGCAAATATATAGGCCTATTGACTTTATCTTGAAACTTACCAAACTAGCATGCACAGTGGCTTCCTCAATGTACTTGGCTATACCAGTGACGAATCCATTTCTGTCCTCAAAGTTGGTGTCAAAGTTAGCGATGTAGACCACAGAGCAAGGCTGAGCCTCGATGCATGGTTGTTCGTCTGGGAGTGTCAGCTCATCCAGTACGTCCACATTGGACAATGCGTCCGTTAAAGTTACCTTGTCTGTAGCCATGTTAATACTATGCCTGAAAATAACAGCATAGATAATCAACATTTTGTGATACTCTTTGGATCTGTTGCTTTTGGACTATTCCCCTAAATAGCCTACTTATTAATCATTCCTTCAAAGTGCCACTTGAGTTGACACTAGCACATATAAAACCAAACAAAATAGGCTAACTTATGCACATGTCCTTTCATAGGAAAGAATTTTTTTTTTTAAATAAGACTAAGTTATCAACTCAAAGACAAATTGTATTTGCATTGTAGATACAATCAATTATATATAGGCCTATTGACTTTATCTTGTAACTTACCAAACTAGCATGAACAGTGGCTTCCTCAATGTACTTGGCTATACCAGTGACGAATCCATTTCTGTCCTCAAAGTTGGTGTCAAGCAACGTAATCAAAGTAGTCTGATACCCTTATTCAGACAGTGAGACCTATCTCTATTATAAAATATATGACGATATCTAGCATAATATTTGCATGGAATAGACAAGAACAAATTTTAAACATATTTTCTAGTAAAAATAAAGCAATCACTAATAGACAAAATAAAGCAGCTAGCATAGGGGAGAATAGGCTAAGCAATAAGTTTAATGGGAAACAGACTATCTAGACTAGGCCTCACAAGAAATCTTTTTTAAAAAAAACAAGAAAAACTAGCCTGCCAACTAAAGACAACTAAGGAAAAAACAAACTTACACAAAAACAATATAAAAATAGTAAAATCCATAAAACTACCCCACAAAAAAATCGTAAACACTAAATCTAAAAAAATAAATAAAAAATAAAAATAAACAAATAGGCTACACGCTGAAACCCAAATACGATAGACCAGAACTGGAACTGAGTAGGCCTAATAATACAAGACAAGGCCCTACCTAGATACGGTACCACTATCAAGTATGAAGACTCCAAATAGAATCCATGACGACACCCTTATTGGGACAGATAATAAAGAGAACATTTCTATAAATAGTAACAAAACAGAAGATGGCGCATTGTGCGGAGTGTGCCCAGGCTCCTTTGAGGATGGGGATACGGCTGTTCTATGTGACGGCTGCAATGCGTGGTTCCACACTGCCTGTGGCAAAGTAAACAAAAGACTATATAACCGTATTAAGCTTGCCCCTATTGACAAACCTATAGAATGGCACTGCCCTCAATGTAAAATAAACACCTCCAAAAAGGATAAGACACTACAAAACACTGAACTGTCTGACACAGCAAAACTACTTGAAGAAGCCTACAACACGATTGATAGCCTAAAAAATGAAAACCTAAACCTACAAACAATTATTTCGGACCTGAAGGAAGAACTTAATAATACTTGCCAACAGCTCATCTCAGCAAAGGAAGAAAATATAAAAATAAACCAAGACCTAATCAAGAAAACAAAAACTACTATTACATTCAGCAATAGCCTAAGTACCACCCACACTAGCCTAAACCCCCTACCCATACACAATAGACCAGGAAACAGTGTGCTAAATAACAGCTGCCAACAAAAATCTGATAAACTCCAAACATGTCCTGACCAACAAATCACAAATCACAACTTAGGCCTAAATACAAACCAAGACTCTCCCCCCAAAACCTCCAATGAACATAGGCCTACACACTTAATTATAGGAGACTCAACAGTAAAGGGACTTACAAATCTTGTCACAGACCAAAGTACAAAAGTGAAATATATGCCAGGTGCCAGAATTCAAGACCTTAGTCGATACATAAACTCAGTAGAAACACTTCCCAAACTCGTAACAGTTCAAATTGGAACAAATAACTTGCCGGGAGCAAAAACCCCTAACCACGTCATGAGACCCCTGTGGTACATGATAGAGGCTGCCACAAAAAAATTTAAAGATACAGCATGGATCATAAATGGCATTCTTCCAAGAAAAGATGTACACCAGACAACAATTAAGGAAGTTAATGAAGCTTTTGCTTTTATGTGTCAACAACTTAAAGTCACATATCGTGACCCAAGTGAACAAATAACAACAAGATGTCTGGGAAGTGACGGACTACACCTCAACAGCTATGGCTCTGGACTACTACATAATTTCATAATAAGTCATAAAATAGCAAATCATACTGTGGAGGCAGATGTGCATACCAACAGCACAGATTTACCAGAAAATGCAGACAAAAAAGCCCAAACCGGAAATGAATGTGAACAAAAAAACACAGAAACTACAGGAGTAGAAACAGTAACCTAGACTTACCAAATAGGCCTAACCAAAAAACTCAAAGTCTTAAACAGCATAAAAAGGACCTGAAAATTTACCACCTTAATATAAACCGAGGCTTACAAACAAAAATTGATCTAATTGAAATAGAAATAGACACTATAAAACCACAAATTTTACTTATCACCGAACATGGACTAACTAAAGAACAGATTGAAACCACTAACATCCCAGGATATCACTTAGCAGCAAAATTTTCAAGAACCAATCACCTCTGGGGCGGAACCGCAATATACACAAAAATATCATCAAAAATTGACTTCCAAACTATTGACACTGAGAACGTATCCAGAGAAATGGAATGTGAACTATCAGCCATTAAAATTAAAACAACATCAAAGGCAACGGTAAGGGCCCGCGCGCACTATCCCGACCACGACCACGACCACGACTCCGACTGGTCGGACACGACCAGTTTTATAATAGGAATAAATGGAACAGCGCGCACTGGTCGACTGGTCGGACCCTGGTCGGGCCCTGGTCGCACGACCAAAATTTTTCAGTTTGGTCGGGCCCGACCCGCTGGTCGTTGCAGCCAAAAATAGCACACAATGTAATGGGACGACGCGCACTACCCCCGACTTGCCTCCGACCCGACCAGTACACCACTCAACCCCCAGGCCCCAGTATTCCTAGATCAATCAAACGTTGAGCACTTGCTTTTTGCGCCGGTCTGTGAAGTGTTGGTAAAATGTCGCAGGAGTTTGACACGGAAAGTTTCATTATAGCGGTTAAAGAAAGACCCTGTTTATGGGATATATCGGGAGCAGATTATGCCAACCGAGGCATGAAGAAGGAAGCATGGGAGGAGATAACGCAGATGTTTGGTGGACGTGATGACGCCACTCCGAAGGAGAAGTCTGAATTATGTAAGTACTACACATTTATTTGTAGTTTTTATGGTGGTAACACAATTTGTGGTTTATTTGTACACTTAATGCTGAGGTATATCGGAAATAGCTTAAAACTTGTTAGTATGAACATTAAAGTCCATTAAACGTAGTTTTTGAATAAAAGAGTACTTTGTTTGGTAGAATTGAATTATTTATATGTATGTACGATGGCATTGTTGTCGGTCTTATCTGTCTGCGAGAGTTGGTGTCATGTTTCTGCCTTATCTCTGTCTTATCTGTCTGGGAGAGTTGGTGTCATGTCTCTGCCTTATCTCTGTCTTATCTGTCTGTTAACAGTTCGCTGTATCGTCCCTAGCAGCGACCCGCGGTAATAAATCACTGTTTACTTTTTCGCATCAATGAGATAACGATGAACTTTAGTTCAGCTATCATAAGTTTTACTATTGTTTATTTTATGAAAATATTCATGATAAAGAATTTGTGTTGTATTAAAATGCGTATTGTTATTAATTATTTTGTAATTAACTAGCATTTACCCGGTGCGCGTTGTTGCGCTAACAACTATTATTTTCAATGGTATACTGTAATTTGTTCCTGACAGTGTTCATGAAGTGGTAAACATACGTTTGTCATTGAGTAATGCTAATAATTCCTGAAAGTTTCATTACAATCTGTTGAGCGGTTTCAGAGTCCATTAAGTACATTCATACATACATTATATACATACATACTTTCTATTTTATAGATATAGATTAGAGTCCTTTTACTAAGGTTAGGATAGAACGGTGTCATCTAAACTAGCCTAACGTAACCAAACAAACCTCTCGAACAGCTTAAAATTGTTAGTAGTTATTCGTGGCCTTGAGTTATTCTACTATTTTGTCTGTTTTCTCCAAATTTATATAGCATGTGATCAAAAACCTATTCTAAATATTGCATTTTTCATTACATATGCTACTTCATTTACCTTCTTAATAGTTTAGTCTTAACTATTTAGAAGAGTTCTTAGCCTATAAAGAAGTCTCTCTATATCTTCTTATTCAATTGGCATTAAATTTCTTGATATTATGCCTAAATATATATTTAAATAATAGACAGTATAAGTTTCCTTTAAATTTTGATAATGTAGTTTTAAATCGTACCTATGTTAAAATGTTTCCCAAATCCTTTCTTCACCAAGGTTTAAACAAAAGTTATATTTACATACAGTCATGTATCTAATACTGTTTATGGTCAAAGCATTGTTAAGCAAAGACATCGAATTGGAAAATATAATAAACATTTTCCCAAAAAGATAACCAGTCTTTATTTGTAGGCATACAACAATCTTAAAAACTGTAATGAAAATATAAAACTTAAACAAAGTTAAAGCTAATCATTTGCAAATCATGTAAGGCATGGAATAGTTTGTTGATTAGGTCTATCATTTAGTTCGGGTTCAATTTAGGAGTTTTCATAGGATTGCATAACAATAATAAACAGTTGACGGTTTCATCTTTTTATTAGTTTCAACATACAAATCTTTCTGACAAAGGTAATTTGTTCAGGAAAATAGTCAAATTACAAGTAGTCGTTTTGCCATGGTACTGCACCTTCATTCACAAAGTAGTCGGCAAAAATGTTTCTCACGTTTGATGCATAGTTACGTCCGCGTCTTGGGGGCTCGTCTTCTTCATGGAATGAGGGGAATCTGTACAAAGTGTCTTGAAACTGTACGCCATCTTTATCTCTCACATAGTTGTGTAGAATACAACAAGCTTTGACAATTTCAATGGCAAAGTCAACTTCAACATTGAGAGCTCTATGTAAAATTCTCCACTTGTTGGCTAAAATGCCAAATGTGCATTCAACAAAACGTCTTCCTCGGCAGTGGCGATAGTTGTAGGTCCTCCGTCGTACATCAAGAGATTTTCCGACATAGGGGCACATAACCCTACGTGATAACGCGAAGGCGTCATCTGCAAGGAACAAAAAAGGCACGGGAACTGGATTCAAGCTAGATATTGGTTTATCTTCTGGAAGGTCAAGGGTGTCTGCCTCTACTCTTTGGTGAAAAACTGTTTCTTGGAACACAGTTGAGTCATTGCATTTTCCGTAAGAACCAACATCAATAAAAATGAATTTGTAGTTGGCATCGGTAACAGCCATCAGAATCAAAGAAAAGTACTTTTTGTAGTTGTAAAATAAAGACCCACTGTGTGCTGGTTTTACAATCCTTATGTGTTTACCATCAACTGATCCTAGGCAGTTAGGGACATTGGCTCTGCTGTTAAACTCTTGTGCAATTCTTAACCAATCGTCCTTAGTAGGCTCGGGCATACATTCGTCTTTCAATACATTCCAGATGGCAGCACAAACTGTTCGAACTATTTCTCGTATTGTTGTAATCCCAAGTCGGTAGCAGTGATGTAGATCTACAAATGTGTTGCCAGATGCCAGATACCTGTAAAAAAGTACTGATTTAGAATAGTTATGCTACATAAATACCCCCGCCGCAGCAAACCTGCCGACTAAGCGAATTGCCGTTTGTCGGAAGTGACATTCTATTAAATGTATTGAAATAACATTAGGTTTAACGAGTACCTAGGTTTGCTGCTACAAGGAAACTAATGAAGTGTGTTTTTCTAGTAAAATATTATTAGCTTAGTATAAAATAAATAAAATTGCCAAGTTTAATCAAAAAATATTTTTTGAATGTAAAGGTGGGGTTGTGACCTATTATTTCGAACTAGATTTTTACCCTGATTACAATGCCGCAAACTGTTTGTAAAAATCTTGATTCATTCTAAAGTTATGAGGGTTTTTAAAACTTTATTTTTAGCCCATTTTAACATTGTGCATTTACAAACTAAGACCATAATCTCAAAATAGTGCCAGATAAAGATAAGTATACACTACCAGTAATTGTCGACCTATTTTCACTTGGTTATGACTGATGTATTTTTTTCGGCCGCCATCTTGGATCCGCCATTTTGAAATGTGATAAATTATTTTAAATATGAAGGGGGTATTGTGACCCATCATTTCGAACTACTTTTTTAAGCTTAACTTAATTCCAAGATCCGTTTTTCATTTTCATTTTTTGATTTTTAAATATTGATATTTTTAACAAAAAAATTGCAATATTTCATAAATAAAACTTGATAACAAAAAATGGATTGCGGCATTGAGTTTAGCTGAAAAAAGTAGTTCGAAATGATGGGTCACAACACCCCCTTCACATTTAAAATAATTTATCACATTTCAAAATGGCGGATCCAAGATGGCGGCTGAAAAAAATACATCAGTCATAACCAAGTGAAAATAGGTCGACAATTACTGGTAGTGTATACTTATCTTTATCTGGCACTATTTTGAGATTATGGTCTTAGTTTGTAAATGCACAATGTTAAAATGGGCTAAAAATAAAGTTTTAAAAAACCCTCATAACTTTAGAATGAATCAAGATTTTTAAAAACAGTTTGCGGCATTGTAATCAGGGTAAAAATCTAGTTCGAAATAATAGGTCACAACCCCACCTTTACGTTTGAAAAAAAAGTTTGCATCCAATATGGCGGATCCAAGATGGCGGCCGGAAATGACCACCTTGTCAAAATGAAGTACTTACTACCCAATAATGTTTGGAAGTGGTCTGGGATTGATATTTGAAAAAATGTAGAAAAAAGTTGGGGGGGGACAATTAAAACTCACCCTGTATATATAAATTTATAAATCTGTATATATACATATTTATAAATCTCTCTCTCTCTCTCTCTCTCTCTCTCTCTCTCTATATATATATATATATATATATATATATATATATATATATATATACATTTAAACGATTTGGCCTCTGGGGACATAAAAACAAAAAAGTAAATCGGTCCCGGGCCTAGGTCTTTCTATGCCTACGGTAATAGTTACTTCCCTATAGGGAAATTCGCTTACATAAAATTATTGTAGATTTTTTTTCCAGGTGCAAATTTGCAGAAGAAATGGCGCCACCTCAAAGACTCGTACTGCAGGGAAAAAAGAAGACTGAGTTGTATGAAAAGTGGATCGGCACCAGACAGAAAAACACCATACGTATATTTTAATATACTTTCTTTCCTCAACAAGGCTAGTCCACCAACCACCACTCAAGCTAGCATCGCTCGAGAAGATATTGAGACTCATCCTGGTCTGGAGACTGAAGATGATATAGACAGCCCAACTGGACCATACCAGGCCAAAGTAGTAGCAAAGAAGAAGAAGCAAGATGATGAGGTTGGGAAACAGCTAGTCAACGTCTTGAAACAAGGCAATGAAGACCGTAAAAAGATGGATAAGGAGTTTTTTAAGGACGAAGACAAGCTGTTCATGATGTCTCTGGTCAACGACTTTAAAAAAATACCAGAACACCTAAAACTGTCTGCTAAACGGCAGATTCTGACCGTCATTGAGGAACATCAGCGTAGTTTTTCTTACAACCAAAGCCTTCAAGCCAACTATCACCTTGCACCCCTTGACACAAGACAGGCTTCTGTTGTTACAGAAAGACATCTACAACTTAATCAACTTCAACCGCTGCATGGTGGAATCGGAAACCAAGGGCAAAACTCTACGCCTGTACTTTCTCCCAATGAAGGCAGCTGTTATGGGTATGAAGACTCCGGTTCGTCTTTGTTGTCTTGTTATCAGGACAATTCTAAATAGAATAACCTTATAACAGTTTTTGGTTAAATTAAAAGTTTACTTCTTGCCATATAAAAAAATGCATACTCTTATGTTCAATAATACAGTTTAAAATTACATTTTGGGAATAATATGTAATTGTTTGTAAATATTGGCATCCAGTTGTCTTGTTTTCAGAACAATTCTAAATAGAATAACCTTTAACAGTTTTTGGATGAATAAAAAGTTTACTTCTTGCCATATTAAAAAAATTTGCATACCCTCATGTTCAATAATACAGTTTAACATTACATTTTGTCATTATTATGTAATTGTTTGTAAATGTTTCCATCTAATACGTTCACATATTGTTTTTGTTTGTTTTGTTTTGTCACATAGTGTTTTTGTCACTAATGTTCTTGTTCTACAATAAACTTACCTTATTGTAACAAGAAGTTTTTCTTCAGTTCCTATACACTTTCTCATTGAAGTATCCTGTCCCCTGATTTCATCAGCAACTTTTTCATGTAACTCATCAAAGCTTTTCACAGACATTCTAGTATAGTTAAAAAACCGGTCTTCATATTCACGTAGCTCTTCATAGAACGTAGAAAACTGCCCTTTCGTAGACCTCACAGTTAACATAGGGTGCACCCAGTATCGTTTCTTCTTCTTTTTCTTAATGTACCTCCGATACACATGCACAACAGCAGCAACTTCTTCAACATCCATCTTGACACTGAAGTTTGTAAAAACATTCGTTGCCTTGGTCGGGTCGTGGTCGGGTCGTGCTCTGGTCGCATGGTGAACGACAACGACTGGTCGGGCGTTTGGTCGTGGTCGTGGTCGTGGTCGGGATAGTGCGCGCCCGGCCTAATAGTCTGCGTATATAGACCACCATCAGCCGACATTGATACATTTCTCCATATATTTGATACATTCCTTAATCAAATATCAATAAAAAACAACCAGATAGCAATCCTCGGTGATATAAATATTGACACACTCTGCCCTTCAAATAATCTAACAAAGCTGGAAACCCTTCTTAAACAACACAACCTTTTAGTGCAAAAATTACCGCCAACCCGAATAACTCCAACATCAGAAACAAGCATAGACTGTTGTATAACCAACCACCTCAACCCACTCACCGAGGTGATAAATAACACAATCTCTGATCATGAAGCGGTTCTCTGCACATTGAATACACTCATAAATGAGGGAAACAAAGAAAAAATAATGTTGAGGAACTTTTCCGAGGCAAACATGCAACTCATCAAAACCCTGCTAAAAAAAGAAAACTGGTCTTCAGTATTTGAGGAAAGAACGGTAAACGGAAAATACAATAACTTCATAGGCATTCTGACATACTACTTGGATGTGGCATGCCCCTACAAAACAAAAATAATATCATCCAAAAAAAAGCAAGCATACATCATGACCCAACCCACACAACAACATAGAAAGGACACCATAGAAGCAAAAAACAGGTACCTCACTACAAACCAAAATAACCACAAAAATGAGTATATTAGGCGAAAAAAGGCCTATGATCAAAAAGTCATCCAAGCAAAAAAGGAGTATGTTACTCACAAGATATCCAACGCATCAAACAAATCCAAAGAATCCTGGAAAATTATTAACGAGGAAAGAAATAAAATAAAGACCTCAGATCTCAAGAACATAAGCCTAAAACTAAACGACATAATTATAACCGACCCAAAAGACATTGCCGACTCTTTCAATGATTTTTTTATCAACATAGGAAAAACAACCGGACCTACAAAACTCTTAAACACCCCAACCAACAACTTTCAGAACAGCCTACAACCAAAGCTGGAGCAATTTGAACCAGTCTTAGAACAAGATCTAAAAAAATTATTCAAATCCATAAAACATAATAATACAGCAGGAATGGATGACCTTTCTGGGAAACTTATACATCACTGTCAAGATGAAATAGCTCAACCCCTACTTACACATCATAAACTCTTCCATAGCCGAATCTACAGTACCAGACAAAATGAAAATATCGTTAGTATACCCAAAATACAAGAAATCTGAAAAAACCAATATAGAAAATTATAGACCAATAGCCATACTTCCAACCTTATCTAAATTTCTAGAAAAAGTAATCCACATACAAATAATGAAATTCTTAAACTCCAACAATAAATTACATATCCATCAACATGGATTCCGAAATAACAGGTCTATCAACACAGCCATATCCGATCTTCTCCAATCCATAACCGAGAACTGAGAAAAACGTCATAACGTTTCAGCAATATTTTTAGACCTCCGGAAAGCATTTGACTGCCTCGACTGGTTAATATTGCTTGACAAGCTAGAATCAATAGGAATTACAAAAAGTGCTAAAATGTGGCTAAAAAGTTATCTCTCCAATAGACAGCAAATAGTCGAAGTAACCCACTATACTAACAACACCAAACAAAAAATAAAATCAACCTGTGGGAAGATGGAAAATGGCGTACCACAAGGCTCCGTATTAGGACCATTACTCTTCCTAATATATGTCAATAGCCTACCTCAAAACCTCCCCGAATTCACAAAATGTATAATGTTTGCCGATGACACAACCCTCATTGTTCCAGCATCAAATATAGAAGAACAACTGGAAAACCGAATTGAAGCAACAACAATTTCTGCAAGCAACAATTTCAAAAAACTCAATCTCACTATAAACCAGACAAAAAGTGCAATAGTAAACTTTACATCAAGAAACACAACAAACCAAAAGCCTAACGCCAATATTGAAATAGTATCAGAAACCAAATTCCTAGGACTAATAATTGATGAAAACCTCAGCTGGAAAACCCATGTAGAAAATTTAACAAATAAATTATCCTCAGCATTTTATGGCCTTAAGAGAATAAAAAGAATATCTGGGAAAAATACCGCACTTGTGGTTTACCATGCTCTAATTTCTTCCCACATAAGATTTGGCATTATAGCCTGGGGAGTGGCACCGCAAATCTACCTAGACCAAATACTAACTGTCCAGAAGAAATCTATAAGAGCAATTAATGATCTGCAAGATGAAGAACACTGCAAACCATACTTTATCAACGATAAAATTTTAACAGTCATATCCATCTATATCTACGAAACCATCATCCATTCCCTAACATCAAACAACAATAGAAGAGAGGACATACATGACCATAACACAAGAAGAAAACAACAATTTGACCTACCATACAATAGACTTAAAAAATCTCAAAACCATCCAAACTACATAGGACTAAAATTTTTTAACCATCTCCCAGATCAATTAAAAAATATTCAAAACACAAACGGCTTTAAAAATAAACTTAAAGACTTCTTCTCAACAAGACCCTACTACAAAATAAAAGATTTCTTTGAGGCTACTGATGACCAAAAATGATGTGAAGAAATAAATCCGGACGAGCCCCCTTTCTTAAGGACAGCGGAGGCAAACACCCACAAGTAACAAGTAACAAGTAATTAGGCCTAAGTTAATTTTAACAACTAGCATTACCATCCATACAAACCCATATAAACTGAATCCAAAACAAATAATTTTGATAACTGAAGATTTGAAGTTGCAATTGTCTCCAAGAGAAACTTTTTATTTGAAGTTATTTTGACAAGAAGAAAATCTTTATATATCCTCATGAGGATGTTACAAAAATATACAGTAGTCTATCTGTTTCTCTACAGTGGTGGTTTCCTACCCCTATCCCTCGGTACTACATTTTGCACCTAACATAGGTTTAGAACTTTTAAGTGGTGATTCAGACAAATTTTGTAGTCTAAAATTGCCACTACAATGCATTTGCTTGGAAGCAACTGGCAGATGTCTTCAGGTACAGTTCCGCAGAACCAGTTTCGAGAACCTGCGATCAATACCTAATAATTTGGTATCATTAATATTGCATCAAAATTAATTTAACAATATAAGGCTGCGTATTATGATATTTTTAAGTTAAATAAAATAAAATGTAAAAAAACATTGATAAAGTTGTTTCTTTTTTATCCTACATTTTGTATGTTACAACTAAAAATGAAGAAACTTACGCTACATTTTCTAAACCCTAGGATGTGGTAATCATATCAATAAGTTTTTGTTATTGTTTGTTTTGTTAACTTTGATAAAATATATTTTGTTTTTGATTGAATAAATACACTTATTGATAAGTTAAGTTAGTTTCATTTACCAAACATCAATAAGTTAAAGATAATTATTTTGTAGGTGCCTCCAAACGAATGTTTAATTTTGATATCTTACTTTATAGTTTTCTACCTCCTGAATCCAAATATACCATTATTTTTCACAGCTGATGAATATTTCTCAAGATATCGCCGTAAAAATATAGCCTACAACATTACAATAAACAAGGTAGGATGAAAAAATTATGAACTAGGCTATTTAAGTTTTTACGGTATTGGCGTTTAATAAATGTTAACACTAAATTGAGTACGGCAACTTAAGTTAACGGTAACTTATGTTTACGTTAGTATTTAACTTAAATAGTTCATAACACAATTTGATGTTTACATCGGGGAAAAATTGTAATAGTGATAGGCCTAGGCTAGGCTATGTCAAACAGACTTCCTAGGCCTACTTGCTATAATAGCCTATAGAGGCGAAGATTTTTAAACTGATGATATGTCTCAGGTTCTCTACCAAACTGTTTAATGCCTTGAACAGTGGATCTACAATAATTAATTAGCTAGTTCACAATAACTAAGAAAGAGGAACTAGGCTAGGGTCTGGGTAAGTTACACATTTTATGGTTTGTTCTTAAAGAGATAATTAAATTTTAACTCTCCATGATGCAGGTTTATTAAACTACACTTTAGAACTATAAATCTATAAAAAAAATAACTTGATTATAAACAAACTTTGGCCAAAATGATATAAGTTTATTAGTAACACAATCAGAAAACATTAAGTTAACCTCTTAGAAATTATTTTATAAAACATCTTACCTTGCCGGTATTTGAATGAGCCTCTAATAAATAAAGCCCTAACTAAACAATTTCATGTCTGGTAAATTAAATACTCATATAGGCCTAATCGGCAAACAGATATAATTAATTAAATAGCCTATCAAGACAACACCCAAAAGATAACAAGATAGACAAATTTACCCTACGACTTGCAAAATGTCTGAGGTCTGACAGGACGACAGGCCAGACAACTGCCATGGACGACCAAAGTCCAAACCCAAAGGCCACTAACGATTAAAGAACTCAAAGTAAAAGACGAACAACAAGGTGACAGACTACAGTAGAAAGGGAATTGATAGGTGTAAGAAAACAACACTTAGGTCCCTATTAGTCGGAGAAATATAGGATATGACCTTAAAAAAATTGCAAGAAAACGTTTTATGGTTTTATTTTGTAGAGTTGGGTTTGCAGAATGACATACTAAAAGTTGCCAAAAATCGGTGCGCGAGAAAACCACTAAAATCAGAATTTAAAATGGCGGCTGTTGAATATTGCAACCCAACTCATCTAGTCTGGATTAGTGATGGACCATCATATGTTTCTCTATTTTACATATGCTATTGTTTACTAAATATAATTATTCAGTGTTGTGTTGTGTTTGTAAGAAAATAAAAGAGTTTACAGCAAATTTTCTTTCATTAACTTTAATTTCACCAACAGCGGCTTTTTCCAACATTGGACAAACTAAAAAAACATATTTCACATGCATTTGTTATGCACATTTTTCGAGATATTGACTTAGGACCACCGCCTGTATTTATTGGGTGGTTAGTACTTCATTTTGATAGGGAAAATGTTTTTGGCCGCCATCTTGGATCCGCCATATTGGACATAGATAATTTTTTTCAATGTAATGATAGTGTTGTGACACATCATTACCAACTACATTTTTACACTGATTTCAATGCCAAAATCCGTTTTTAAATATCTTTATTCGTTTAGAAGATATATTCAAACGACAACTCTCCACCATACACTTCTTATGGACGTTTCGTAGTTTGATAATTTTTTAAAACTATTTTTCTTATATCTCCAGTTCTTATTGACGCTTGTAGTTCGTTCTAGGCTTAAAATATTCAGTAATGTAAGGGCTTTCATTTGAGCTCTTGATCATTAAAATCAGACGAGTTAAAGACCAGCTACAAACCTCAGAACAATATTAAATTGAACTTTTTAGAAATATATTTTTATTAAAAGATTTATAACTCGGGTAGTTAATACGTCACAAAGTTATTTCTGGACTCCCCAGACCCCACTGCTTAAACTATTACCATAGATAAAACATACTCCTCTCAAGGAGTATGTTTTGTTTTATCTATGCTGTTACGGTTCTAAATTTAATAGCTTTTGACATATTTTCCCCTATAAAAATATATCATAGTTGCTCCCACCACATACCCGATGGATGTTGTTCACAAGCTAATGGGTGAAAAAGTACGTGCCAGATTGCTGATACTGTTTGTTTTTTATAATGACATGTTATCTAATAGTTAATTTTACAATAAGTTTCAATATTTTTATTTGCTCGATTACCAGTAATGAACAAGTCAAAATACTACATCAACGCATAATTAAGTATTATAAAACATTTCACTAAAGGTTATTAAAAAAGGTTTTGCTTTAGTCAATATTCAGTGGGAGTAAATGCACTCCACTAAATATTATCATAGATAAAACATACTCCCTAAGTAGATTTCTCATCCTTATGGAACAGCTGAAGACAATTTTATGGTTAGTTCATGTACGGTTTATGTAGAGGTCGTGTTTTGTTTACAATTTGTTTCCCGTTATTACAGCCATTTAAAACCTCGTTTAACCAAATAATACGATCTAATCATAAACAATAACTTGTCCCCTAGTTATATAACCAAACAGTAAAGCACAAATCAAGAAATTAACCCTAAAATAACGGAAACAAAGTTTCATCGATACTAGCGCCTTTGTGTCTCTTACATGAACTAGACACGAAAAACGTGCTTCAAAATTTACAATGGGATGAGAAGTCTACTTGTGTTGGTTAGTCTATGATATTATATTGTAATTGTATTATTATATGTATTATTTTGGAATTAAAACTCAATGCTAGTGGTGTATTATTACTTTGTTAGGTTGGTAATAAAACCAATTCTATTCTAAAGTAAATTAACAAAAGAATAATCACCCGTTCATCGGGCTGGCAACAATTGTGTGGATATAGTTTTCTGCTGTCTTTTGGCGGTGATTTGTCAGATTGAGAATAAAAGAAGTTACATTTAAGTAACCCTATGGGTCGTATTACATTCAATTTGTGAGATATAATTCAACATTAGCTTTGAGATTGAGTTATTATTTTTGTTGGACCTCTTAGACTCTTGTGGAAGTATCGTGCGGTTCAAGAGAAAAGCAATGGCTTGAAATCGAATCAAGTGGAACAACCCTTTTCCACATAAGGGTTTTCAGTGATATCAACATTGTGTACATTTCATAATAGAAGATCCCGTCAATTTAAACTTTAAAATTTACTGGAAGTGTGATTTTTAATCTTGGGAGACATAAACCCTTAAGATTGTACCTACCACTATTGGTAATGTTTTTAACCTGTGTGTCAATCTGGTGTTCTATTGAGGTGGCATAGCCTATATTAGAATTGATAGGCCTAAAAGTTATCAGCATGGATATTTTACCATAGTTAGTGCAGTGTGTCTGCCAGCAGTATGGAACCCAATACTGTAGCTCCGGCTCAGCCAGAAACTGTAAATAATGTTACTCTTCCAGTAGTCAACATTAAGACTGAGGTTAATGCTGACGAAAGAGGAAGCACAAGTAATGGTGCTAGTGCTATAGATGGCTCTGAAGAAGTAACTCCAAGCCCTACAACTGGAGATGAACAGCCACTTAATCCTTGGTCGACTGTTAAATGTATATTTTGTCACGTTAATCTTTCAGCCAGTGAAGAGCCTAAGCTCTTAGAATGTCTTCATGCATCGTGTGGGAATTGTATCACAACTAAAGTCAATGAACATATTCCAGGAGATGCTGAACTTTCCGGTAAGTTTATTTTTAAATTTATAGATAGGCTAAAATGTTTATTTAAGTTTCTAACTTGCTATCAGGTGATCCATCAGTTACGATTGTAGATGAAACTAGTCATCAAGCGGTAAGGACATTTTGTTTTGATCTTGACATGAAGATTATCAAAGTTAAGATAAGTTAACTTAATACCATTAAAAATAAATATTTAAAACGCAACACAACTAAGTTACGAATCATTTAAGTTACTTGTGCTTGTATTGCCTGATAATGGTGACTCCATGTAGAAACCTGAATTCAGTTGCATCTGCAATTGCATGGATTTTCTGATACCCTAGCAGGTTTTAATAGTTTTAAAATAGCCTATTATTATTTAGTCCTAGGCCTAACCTAATCTTAAGGCTAACATCCAAAGAAGTTTGCCTAATTATAATGGAATTAGGCCTAGGCCTACATACTTGCATAAGTGATATAGGCTAAGTTAACCTAGCCTAGATGTTCTAAATAAGTTAGGCTATGGTGTTTGGGCTTTGTTAGCTAAGCTGTATTACAATTTCAGTGTTAACAGTAGGTAACCTAGGCCTAGAAGTGGTTAATTTTTCATTTTTGCTCTCTTATATTGTTTTGTTATGATTTCTATAAAAAAGACACCTTGTCAGAAGGAACACGTATACAACCATCAAAAATCAACCCTAACTAAAATTACTAAGCAAAGATTGTTTACCTACAGTCTTATAATTCGGCCTTGTGTTTCAGCACTTGATTTTGAGGGTATTGTTTACTTATTGTGTATGTGATGCAGGTAGATGATGTTTTACGTTTATTATATTACTACTGTGTTATATAGTAGGCCTAGTTATAACTCATATATAGGCATACTAAGTAATATATAAATGTGAAAGTTTTTGTGTTTGTTTTTTTATTTGTTTGTTTGTTTGAAGTTCAATCACTTATTAACTACTGGTCAGATTGTGCTGAAATTTGGTATGATGTTAGCTCACATTCCCGATTAACATATAGACATATTCCAATTGAAATATTGGTTATCCGGAGGCTAAATCACAATGAAAAAAATAGACATATTCTTACTTCAAAAATCCTTTTGGGCTCCGCCCCAGCGGCTTTAAAGTTTCCCGTGTTAACCTTATGAGTATTCATATTTAAAATGAATTAAATAATTTTGCCAGCTGTTTCAACTACCGGTACACAATTTCTTTGTATGATATTCAATAGAATTAAAAGGTTATTCGGTTTACGGTTTACCAACAGGGTGCAGCACCATTAGTTCTTTAAACATTTATGACAACAGCTAATTTGAACCAAGCAGCAACAAAAACCTGAGTGTGAGACCTTTACTTCTTTCTATTGTTTAGGTGAAGAGGTAGAACATTATGGCTATGGTAGATGTTCTATATACTATAGTAAGTTATAACGTAGATTATAGTAAACCAAATTTTCTCAAAACGTGTCCTCTCTCATTGCAAATGCAAAGCACGAGTATTTAACCACAATAAGCATTGTATACCAACCCTGTACGAAGGACGGGTACTCAGCTAGTAGATATATACAGGGTGTTTTTTTTTAGACTTGCATCTTTATTTATGTAAAAACCGCAATAGATAGAAATATGCAATTTGCGGGAATCATCTATTGACGTAATGGGCCCAATTGTTTTGAATTCTACGTTACATTCACATTCCCCCCCTTTCCCCCCCTGCCACCAACTTAATTTTTTTAAATAGCAAGGTACCCCTTGTGACATATCAAATGAAAAAGCATGAAAAAAGAAAATGTTTGATGAAAAAAAAATTGAAAATCGGTTCATAAATTTGCGAGATATTCCCCCTCCCCCTCCCAGGAACTTTATTTTTTTTAATAGCAAGATACCCCTTGTGACATATCAAATGAAAGAGCATGAAAAAAGAAAATGTTTGGTGAAATTTATTTTTCATTTGATATGTCACAAGGGCGGGTACCTTGCTATTAAAAAACAAGTTATGGGTAGGGGAAAAGGGGGGGGATTATCTCACAAATTCATGAGCCGATTTTATTTTGTTTTCACCAAAAATTTTCTTTTTTCATGCTCTTTCATTTGATATGTCACAAGGGGTACCTTGCTATTAAAAAAAAATTAAGTTCCGGGGAGGGGGAGGGGGAAGTATCTCGCAAATTTGTGAACCGATTTTCAATTTTTTTTCATCAAACATTTTATTTTTTCATGCTCTTTTATTTAATATGTCACAAGGGGTACCCTGCCATTAAAAAAAATTAAGTTAGGGGCAGGGGGGGGGAAAGGGGGGGAATGTGAATGTAACGTAGAATTCAAAACAATTGGGCCCCCTACGTAAATAGATGATTCCCGCAAACTGCATATTTCTATCTATTGCGGTTTTTACATAAATAAAGATGCAAGTTTAAAAAAAAAAACACCCTGTACAGTATAGGCCTACTTAGTAGCTATATAGTTATATAGTATATACTATATAGTTATAGTATAGTAGATATAGATATATAGTAGTTATATATAGTGAGTTATATAGGGATATAGCCTATAGGCTATATTCCTACTGAGGTTTTTGGTTGGTTGTAACTGGGTTTTAGGGGTGGGTTATTTTTGTTTGATTGTTGGTGGTGAATAGTGAGGTCAATAATTGTGAGTAAAGATCCAAGAACTGTTGGAATATTAAGAAGGTTGGGTATGACATTGTGCTGGACACTCTCCAGAGCTGTCAGCTATTTTTATCAGTACCAGTAACTTAGTAGCCTACCTAGTTCATTCTAGTACTGTATCGGCTCACCTCTATGCTTAATCAAAAGGTCGCCGGAGAAAAGTTTATAGGCTAAGTTAGCTTTTGATAGTTTGAAACTGGACCCAGCAGTCCTGACCAACGAAACATCTGGTCTTAGTCCGTAACAAAGCTACACAAGGCATCACACTCCATTCTACATTCAGCCTTCCCTTAATATTCAGGTCACATAGGTACCGGTAGCGTCCCCAATCCCCATCCCAAATGATAAAAATAAATAACAATAAAATGTGTTCCACATTCAGGCCCAAGGCGCATGTGGATCCAGGCTAATGTAAATATAAATACCCCCGCCGCAGCAAAAATGCAGACTAAGCAAATTTCCATTTGCCTGATTGGTTTTACAATAAAATATCGTCTTAACCCTCCGAGCGTCACTTGTCGAAAAATCGACTCACGACACACTTTGTGTAGTGTCACTTGTCGATTTTTCGACACACGAACATCGTTTACGGCAAAGGCTCTATGACTGACTGAATCGGATTGAACTGGATTTAGGACAAGTTAGGTATCGTTCTTTTTGTTAGATTCAGAGCTTTCTCCGGAGGTCTGTCTCTAAGCGCTATTCATTTTAGTTCCGAAAATATTGTAGCAGACAGCTGACGTGCGTATTTGTAAACAGCTTTGTTAACCTCGGACCGATGACTGATGTGTTTTATTACGTTTATCATTGTTTTAGTGTTAAAAATCAAAAGTAGTGATATACGTGGTGCATTATAAGAAGATTTAAGTGATTTTGAAGGGCTGGTTGATGATCCTGAAGAAGTAGGTAGTGATATTGATGTAAATTATCAGCCAGATTCCTAGCTATGGTTAGGCTATGCATTCTTAGCTAAACGCTATGTACTGAAATCTGTTTTTTGCCCATAACTTATTTATTTGCAAATCTACTTCCTTATATTATTATATATTTGTAATCCTCATAAAATTTAGAACAAAGTGGCTATTTTCAAATATTTATAGGCCTATAATTTATACAATTTCATTGAGCGCAAACTTATTTTTTTTTGAAAATTTTCAAAAATATTTTTTTTTACCTAAAAAAAATTTTTGAAACAAATGTTCCTAAGTTTTATGTATAGGTAATATTGAAGCCCATGATTTTCCAAACAAAATGGTATATAGAACAGTAGAATTAACATTGTTTTAAGCTTCTCAGATCCGTTTTAATAAAACCTTGCAAATGCGCCAAAAATAGGCGGACATTAAGGCCTAAACTATGGACACTCGGAGGGTTAAAAATATCACATTTATTCCCTATCTAAATATCAATAGCTTAGCGAGTACAACTATAACTCTTTATTTATTCTCCATAAGAATAACAAGGAAATTATAAAATTGCAATTTTTTGAATTTTCTCTGTTTAAACTGAAAAAAATCATTAGTCACATGATTTTTAACACTTTAACATACTAAATTATCTGTTTTTTTAAGCTCTACAAAATTGTTTTAAAAGAAATGGTAAATTCTTTTGTTTTATGGGTCAAAAATGGGATAGCCTAGCCTAACCCTATTTTTACCCCATCAACCTCCGTTCCGATAGTCCAATCATGCTAGTTTGCGAACTTGTTCAAATAAATGTATGTTTACACGTTTTTAGCAAATGTCATCAAAGTCTGATTATTTTTGCTTGAGTTATTGTGCTAACGAACACACACACTTATTTTTATATGAATTTAAACAGACGGTGTTTTTGGCCTCTAGGGACCTCAAAACAAAAAAAGCAAATCGGTCCCGGGTCCAGGTCTTACCATGAGTAGGCTACTAAGGTAATAGCTTATTCCCTACTATGGGAAATTTGCTAAAAGATCAACCTCTTTTTTTATTCATCATTAGGCCTAACTTAATACTGCGGACCACAATAATCTCAAAGAATGTGATGTTATATTTCAGGTGAAGGCCCTTCCGTGGTGTGTCCGCACTGTCATGTTCTATGCAGAACTCCCAACATAATTGAAAATCACTTTTTGGTGGAGAACCTGGCAGCCATCAGTGAGGAGGGAGGTGATTCGTCCAAGTTCACTGAGCTCAAGTGTGGAAGTTGTCCAGAAACTGCAGCCACCAGCTGGTGTGTGGAATGTGCCGAGTTCATTTGTGATGGTTGTGTACAGGTGAGTGTATCATCCAGTCTGAAATTTAATCAGAATTTAAAAATTTACCTTATGTTTGTCTTGAAATTTGGCTGTTATTTTTTTTAGAACAATTACATCTGGCAAGTCAAGTTCAATCAACAATAAATACCTAGGCCTATGTGAAAATTTTACAAAATATAAATAGGCTAAGTATTTAAGGGTAAGGACAACTAACTTACACAGCATGCAATAAATTAATGGCAAAGCCAGAGATACTTCTAGAAAAAGGTTGTGACTGACATTCAAGGCTGGGGTATGATATGAGGTAATGTCATAGGTGTAGAACAAAAAAATCACCCACCTTTAAAAAGTAGTTTCTAAGAAGCCATTCATACATTTCATATTTAAAAATGTTGTAAGGGAGTTGGATAAATCTCAGTGGTAGCTTGTTTAGGAACGTTTTACTCATTATTTTATGGCTTCTTTTAATCTTTTCAATTCTTGTGAAAGGAATGTCATTAATTGTCTTTTTCCCTAGTATCAAAGCATTGAAAATCACCCCTTAGATAAAAAGCGGTAATACAGCAACGTCGTAGACGTCACTTGCTCCTGCACCACTCTTCTTTACGTTGTAAACTTCATTTCCATATGAATCATGTAGACTTTTTTTCTTTTTCATAAGACCGAAGCTGATTTTAGTCTGCATTCTTCATGTTTTTGACTTTGATATGACTCATTATAAGCTGTGTCTTTGGTATTCCTGTCACTGTGGTTGGCAGACAAAGCATCAGCTGATCAGATGATATATAGATTAAGCTAAAATAAAGTTTTGGGGGAACCCAGGAAACCTTACCCTTAAACCGCCTACATTTTTGAACAGGCTATGGGTAACCCGGCATCCAATAATCCACCTCATTCAATTGGCTAATCTGGTATCAGTCTAAGGAGGTAATTTTTGTGTAGGAATAAAACAAAAAACATAGGCGTACATTTTGGAAAGTTTGACAGAGTTTAAGCGTTCTTGAACCTTGAATTAAGAGCGTTCAGCAGAGTTTGAGCGCCTTTGGTAAAGTTTACGATTATTCTGCTGAGTTTGGATGTTGAAAAAGATGACCTATTGATAGCCTCTTTGACTTTCTATATATTATTGGCATTTCTTCTGCTGTCCTTCGCAGTAACAACCTTTTAGATAGTGCTCAGTAATTTGGCATTGCCAAAGTCCAAAACATGATAGAATAGTGAGTCGCTACTGTTTGTTGAAATTTTGCTTTGGAAACCTTTTTTTCTGATTTCATATATATTATTAAATAGAGTAAATACATTGCCTAGAAGACACTGTGCCTAATACATACTGTTAATACATACTGCCTAATAAATACTGTCCAATACATGCCTAAGACATTTCTAATTGGACACAGTGTGTGTCACTGTTAGTTAATACTTTTTGTAGTAATCTATCATATACATTTCAAAATATCAGTTTTTATAACGGTATCTCCCGCAGGCTCACCAAAGGCTTAAGATCACTAAAGAGCACACGATTAAACCAAAAGAAGAAGGAGAGCCAGACAACCATGCCCCTGCAACCGGGACTCAGCACAAGAGTCTGTTTTGCTCTGTTCATCGTCAGGTAAAGAATAAGAATATGTAGTGTCACTAAACATACAGCGCAGTAGACATTGTCAGGTCAAGTTGTCACAGGCCTAGCTGGTTAATTACCACAATGCATGTGCAAACAATAGCTCTCTGAACATTATTATAGTGATTACTTTTTGGCTTTGTTAAACAATGTGTATTATAATTTATAGCGTTGTGCCAAATAGAAACCATATGAAATCTCAGATAACTGAGTCCAAGTGATCTGTGTTAATTGTAAAAAAAAATTCTATATAAATATTGAACATAAAATTTTAAGTTAATACCTATGTAGGATTTATTTATTTATGAAAACAACATTCCTTTGCAAAAGTACAGAATTATTTATAATTTAGTTACCAGCCTATGTAAAAAAAAAAAAAAAAAAAAAAACAGTAGGCCTATGCCTCGATTAATTCTAAATAACCTTGGACATTGCAGGAGAGGTTAAGTTTATTCTGTGAGACGTGTGATCGGCTGACTTGCCGAGACTGTCAACTGTCAGACCATCGAGACCACAAGTACAAGTTTATCAATGAGATTGCCCAGGAAACACGGAACATGATATCTGGGCTGTTAGCAGAAGTCAGGTAAAGTGCTTTAATTTGATACTATTCTAAAACTATTTTGTATGATTAACCTTACAAAATACAGCCTTTATGCAGTTATTTCTAATTGAAAATATACACTTGATGGCCTATGTTAGTACGGTACTTCATCATCGAATATAGCTAACAGTTAGGCCATACTCATAAATATCATTCCTTCGGTTACAAAGACAAAGCCAGTGATCTTCAATCCAAGTTAGCGCTGCTTCATCTGAGCGGTGGAGTTAACTGAGCTTTTTACAGCTTTTACAACATCCCTTTTTCTGTTTATAGCGATGATAATTAGTTTTGATAAATCGCTTAACATTTTTTTTCCCGGATGATTTGAGTTATGATCTGTTTAAGTTTTTATTGATATTTACTAACAGATACACTCTGAACGCTCAGAGTTAAATTCGCGCGGTGATTAAATTTACGCGCAGATACGCTCTGCTGCTGTTATCTTGTTGTGGTATTTACTAAACATCAAATTGAGTAAAAGTTAAAGGTCTATTAATGTTTTTATTGATGTGAACTGAAACTAACTTATCAATAAGTTATTCAATCAAAAACAAAATTTTGTCAACGTTAATAAAACAAGATAACCAAAACTTATTGATAATGATTACCGCATAGAGTTTGAAAATGTATAATTTTTCCATTTTTAGCTGTACAAATTTAGGGTAAAACTAAGGCTAAAAAAAGAAACTACTTTATGAATATTTTTGTTATTGTTTTTATTTATATCATATGGTAAAATTAAATCTGATGCAATATTAATATTAAACCGATATATAATCGATAATATTGTTAATTAATTTGATAATATATTGCAAGTTCTCTGCGGAACTGTACCCCATTTAGATTGTTAAACAGTAAAAACAGTGGATTTAAACTAACAATAAATTGTTGAGAAACACTAGTGTGCGTAGTGAGAAAATGGAGAACTGACCCTAACTAAGAGCAAGTTAAAATCATCTGATCGTCTTACCCTTGTCCTAAATTATAGCAAGTGAAAAAATTATTGTCTTTAATATCGGTTGAAATTGAAATAAGCTACTTTCTGTAGGCCAACAGAGTAATTAAAATAACTAAACAGTCCTCAAAGAGGTTTACCTTACTACCTTATTGAATGTCATACCATAAATAATTCTGTTTATTTTTAATTGTTTGCAAATGCAAGTTTGGTTATGTTGTTCAATAATTAAAACTGCAATTTTCTAATTATAAAATTCTAATTTTCTAATTATAAAATTCTAATTTTCTAATTATAAAATTCTAATTTCCTAAATCAAACTTATTTTCAGCTACAAACGGGTTCTGCTGAGGAGTGCTATGAAGGTGATCGACGACAGACAAAATCTTATTGTGGAAAAGAAAAAACAGCTGGTTAAAGAGATCACTCAAATGGTTGTCAAGTAAGTTTCAATCAAAAGGTATTTTCATTAATCCCATGAAGTTGTTTCAATTATCGAGAGTGAAATGTTTATTACAGCAAATGCCACATTACAAAGCACAATGGTTTGATTCTCTTAAGTTATGGTATTCTCTATCCATTATTGGAATAGTCGTAAGTTACTTGTTTTCTACAACTGTATTAATTTAAAAAAATCTTGCCTCTTGAAGAAAATAATACCCCCGCCGCAGCAAACCTGCCGACTAAGCGAATTTCCATTTGTCTGAATTGATTTTCAATTAAATATATTTTAATAACATTAGGTTTGATGAGTACCTAGGTTTGCTGCTACAAGAAACCTAATAAAGTGTGTTTTTGAGTAAAATATTGATAGCTTAGTACAAAATAAATAAATTTGCCAAGTTTGATCAAAATATATCCATAAACAAGCAAATTACAACATTTGACAATATTCTCCATAAGAATAACATGGGAATTTTAAATTTACAATTTTTTTAATTTTCTCCGTTACTAATAATCGAACAAAAATACTTTTATATACTAAATTATTTGTTTTTTTAAGGTCTTTAAAAAGGTTTAAAAAGAAATTGGGAAATTTTGTGTTTTGAGGGTCAAAAGTGAGAAAAACCAATTTTTACCCCATAAAACCCCCCCTAAAGCCCCGTTCCCATGGTCCGATCATGCTGGTTCGCGAACTCATTCAAGTTTATCTCGCTTTACACCTTTAAACCAAATTTCATCAAAATCGGACCAAAATTACTCAAGTTATCGCGTTCACGGACGTATATATATATATATATAAATCTATATATATATATACATATATAAAAATTTGAACGAATGGTGTTTTTGGCCTCTGGGGACATCAAAATGAAAAAATAAATCGGTCCCAGGTCTAGGTCTTACCGTGCCACCTACGGTAATAGCTACTTCCCTATAGGGAAATTCGCTAAAATGAGATAATATTTATTTCAAAATCAGTTCCTTGCGTTATAATGTTTTTATGTTTATGTACTTAGAATTAACTCCACACCACAACATCTAAATGCGTTCTGGAAATAAGGCTTGTAAAAACTTAACTAATCATTAAGACTTATACTTTGTATAAAAAAATCTCAAGGGTTAAGGTTTTTCACCAAAATTTTTGAATCGATCGAAAATTTCAGACTTGCAAACAACCTGTAGTTAGATGATTTGGTTTACCAAAGGTTGACTTGAGCCCGGCTCGCTAAAAAAATTTAGGCTTCCATTTTTATTAAATTATTTTTTTTTTTACTTGAGAGGTGTACAACAAGCACATTAACATCAGGGGTTTCCCTCTTAACCATGTCAAGTGTAATCAGTTGCTCAGTTTAATGTTGTCCACTCAGGTTGACCAACACGATCAACGCGAGAGGCAAACAGCTGGTGGTACGACTAAACGAGGTGTGTGACGGCAAACAGAAGACGCTGAATGAGAAGAAGTTGGCCTTGGAACAGCTGTCTGCGCTCACTGACCACTGTATAGACTTTGTAAACATGGCTCTGAGCAGAGGCAGCGACATGGCTCTGCTCTTCAGCAAAACGTTAGTATGTTTACAGTTGTATTAAATTTGATTCATTTGAGGAATGATGAAATATACAATGAAATAGGTCATGTATCTTGCTATTATTTATTCTATAACTCTAGTTTTTTAGTTTCATTGTTAAGCCTGCAGTACACTATCACCGAATGTAGGCGAACTAAGATGCGAAATCAGATAGTTTACTCGATGTGCTCGTGTATATTCGGGGTAGTTCGCATCGCCAACATTCGTCTTCAGGGGCGCTAGCTTTTTTGGCGGTCTCCCGTCACGGATCAAAGGAGATAAACTAGGACGAACGCCGAGCGCAAACGGCAACGAACATAGCCAAGCCACACCTGGAGGTAAACGTCCATTGGGAAGGCCGAAAATTGAGATGGACTGATCAAGTATTGAACGACTTTAGGACAATGGGTGCAAATGTCAACTTGGCAGAAGACAGAGAAGGATGGAAGAGGTTGGTACACAAGGCGAAGAATCAACTGAGATTTTTCGGAGCCACAACAGTAAGTAAGTACTAGATCTTAGAGATAAATTGTAAAAAGTATGGACCAACCCAAGTATGAACCATCGTAGCGAACAAACTTCAACCAGGACGTGATTGAGCCATGCGAACGAGATCATCTTGATGCACTCACTCTTCAGCCTTCTTCATCTACTCCAAGGATGTCTAAAACGACTCTCCTAAAGGACATTATTTTTTAAGGAAAAGACAACCAAAATTGTATCCAGTATAGAATACAACACTACTTTAGGAGGTATGGCCAATGGGGAGTCAGAACAGATCCCTGCAAATCTAACAAATCATGAAATAAGAAAAGAAATTATTTCAGAAGATGTTAACTTTTTAAGCTTGAGCCGTCTCAAAAGTAAAGGGAGTTCATGGCTGGCTCACTTGAATATTCAAGGGGGGTTTATTGATAAATTAGACGATTTAAAAATACTATTACATAATTCATCAATCAATTTTTTGTGTCTAAATGAACATTGGTTAAAGGAAGAGCAGGGATTTGTTTTGAACTCCATTCCTGGATATAAATTAGGTGCAGCATATTATAGAAAGAACCATGTAAAGGGAGGATCATGTATAATATTGAAAGATTATATTGATTTTAAAGAAAGGGAAGATTTGGAGGTATTCAATCAGGATTTAGTATTTGAATCTTCTTCTATTGAGGTTCCAAAGCAAAACTTGATTATTGTTTCTCTTTACAGGATCCCTGATAGGAGTAATGTACCTTTATTTTTAAGTAAACTAGACCAATTTCTGACTGTGCTGTATAAAGAATCAAAAATTAAGCATATTTTTATCTCTGCTGATTTTAATATTGATGTATTAGACTCCACAAAACACCAACAACTCAAATCAGATTTTTTTAACCCCATCACTTGTTATGGATTTGTTATCAATTTTTGCACCCCCACAAGAATTGCTGGTAACAGTAAAACCTGTATCGATAATATTTTAGCAAACAATTTTTTTCAACATACCTTTCATGAAATACTTAATGTAGAACTAGGGATTTCAGATCACAGAGCACTTTTCATTAATATCACTTCTGTTGTCAATGAGCACAAGCACACAGATAAAAATGCCAAAGGTGTTCTTAAAAGAATTTTTTCAAGTAGAAACCGCAGTTTATTTAGACACTCTTTACAAAATATAGATTGGAATCTTGTCAGTAACAAAACATTCCAAGTGAATTTCAATAACTTTTATGCTAAGTTTGTTGGAGTGTTTAATGAAGCCTTTCCCTTAAGAAATATACAACAAAAATTAAGGAGGGATAGTAAAAATAAAAATGATTGGATAACTGTGGGTATTAAAACATCTAGTATACATAAGAGACAACTACATCAGTTAGCAAAAACATCTGTGGATCCGTTATTTTTGGATTATGTAAAAAAATATAAGAAAATATTTAAATCTGTATGTAAGGCAGCTAAACTATTAAGTAACCGGCTTAAAATAAGCAATGCTACAGACAAATCCAAAGCAGCATGGAATATTGTAAAAACGGAGCTTGGCAACATTGAAAAATGTCAGAATTTTCCAAACTTGATAGTTAACGACAAGGAAGTGACATCAGGGTCTGAAATTGCTAACGTTTTAAATATTAAATTTTTACAATCATCCAATTCATTAAATATTGTGCCTTGTGTTGAAGATGCCCTTGGTTTCCTTGACAGGGTTTTGCCACCTTCTTTGCCAGTTTTTTGTTTCAGTTGTGTAACAATGAAAGAAGTAAAAGATGTTATACGTTCAATTAAAAATAAGAAGTCTGTTGGATGGGATGAAATCTCAGTAGACCTCATAAAGGACAATGTAGACATAATTGCCAAACCTCTATGTAAATTAGTCAACCAATCTCTAACTGAGGGAATCTTCCCTGACCAGATGAAATATGCAGTAATAAAACCAATTTTTAAAAAAGGTGGAGTCAATAACCCAGATAATTATCGACCAGTGTCAATACTGCCAGTTTTATCTAAGGTTTTTGAAAAAATAGTTTGTAAACAAATTGTAGCATTTTTTGAATCAAATCATATTTTTTCCAGCAGTCAATATGGGTTTAGATCTGGCAGGAATACTTCAATGGCAATTACTGAATTGGTAGAGCACATCTTGGAGGCCTTGGATGGATCACAGAGGGTATCTGGTATTTTCTGTGATCTATCCAAGGCTTTTGATTGTGTATTGCATGAGATTCTATTAGAAAAGTTAAAAAAATATAATTTCTCAAAAACTGCAATTTCTTGGCTTTGTTCATACTTAAGTAACCGTAAGCAACGAGTTGTAATAGAAAGAGATTCATTAAAATTTCAATCAGATTGGCAAAAGATTTCAGTTGGTGTTCCCCAGGGTTCAATCCTTGGCCCAATATTGTTCTTAATTTATATAAATGATCTTGATGGCAACATTAATACAAACCTCATTTTATATGCAGATGACACCACTGCCCTGCTTAAGGCTCAAAGTTTACATGAGCTTAAAATACTTACTATCAATGCTATGGAGGAACTTAAAGTATGGTTTCGTACTAATGGACTAAAACTAAATTGTGAAAAAACAAATCTGATGAAATTTCAAACAGCACAAAGTAATGACCCTACAACATTTGCAGTTGAATTTTTAAATACTGAAATTACATCTAAAATACAGAATAAATTTTTGGGATTAACAATTGACCAAAATTTAAACTGGAAAAAATACATAACAATACTCGGTAATAAACTGAATTCTGCTTGTTTCCAAATGCTTGTGTTAAGGGATAGAACTGATTTGGAAACTAGATTAATGGTTTATTTTGCCTATTTTTATTCCATTATGAAATATGGAATTGAGCTATGGGGTTCATCAGCTGATTGGAAAAAAATATTCAAGTTTCAAAAAAGAATTGTTCGCATTATGACATTTTCGCGGCCACGAGTCTCATGCAAGCCAATCTTTAAACGGTTAGGATTATTGAGCCTTCCCTCTCTCTATATATATTCATGCTTACTGTTCATTCAGAAGAATTTTGATCTTCTTTGTGGACAGCAGCATTTCCATGCATACAACACAAGGTGCAAAGACAATTTTCAATACCGAATACATAACTTAACAATCTATGAAAAGGGCCCTAGTTACATGGGTATGAAGTTCTTTAATAATCTACCGACAAACATTAAAAGCCAAATCCGTTTAAAGAGTTTTAAGAATACTCTAAAAAGTTATCTTTTAAACCAAGTATTTTACTCTGTAAGTGACTTTTTACAAAATTAAGCAGCATTGTTATATGTAATTGTTGTTTTAGAGTCAGACAAAAATGTTCTGTAACTTAATTGTATTTTTAGGTTTATATTGAATTGACAATGTCACCAGTTTAATAGCTTTGCTATGTACAAATGTTTTTATGTGACAATAAAGTGAATTTGAATTTGAATTTGAAAATTAAGAAGTTAAACGGGGCAAAGCCCGTGGGTTACAGCTAGTGCATATATAAAATAATAATATCGCTTAAGAAAACAAACATTTTAATAAAAAGTAAGCATTGATTTAAGATTATTAAGCCACAGAGAAGTAAGAAACAGAGGATACCTTCAAGTGGTGTCCAGCACCAATCGGAAATTCTAGAAATTTCCTCTAGAATTGTCTAGAAAAGTCTTCGACGTCAGTGTCTGTGCTGCACCAAGTTTGACATGTATGATTTACCGTGAATACGCAATATTGGGTTCGGCACAGTTCGGACAAAGTTAACCGATAGTGTACTTGGTTAGTTCGGAGTGGTTCGGGTTGCACATTCATCAACATTTACGGTCGCAATCTGATCCGAACATTCGGCAAAACATTCGGGCAAATGTTCGGCGATAGTGTACTAGTAGCATTTGATATTCAAATCTGGACACAACATTTATGATATTTGAAATAAGCTACTTTCAAACTCTTGGGCTTTTATTGGATGTCAGTTGGTTTTAAATGATTAAAAGAGGATTGAAAACATTACTGTTTGTGGAAGGAAAACTTATCTAAAAAAAAAAAAAAAAAAAAAAAAAAAAAAATAGAGGTAAGGGGCTAATAGATACTCAAAATTCATAAAAATAACACTGATATTTTGTCCAAACATAGGACTTCTTTAGAGAGTAGTTGAAGAGAAAGCTGCAGGTTGGTCAGAGTAAGAGTTGGTCGATTTCCCTTCAACCTACTCTCAGCTACTAATATATTTATACACACCTAGCCAAAGTTTGAAAATCAGTAAAAGGAAAACTACTCTTATAGTTGTTAAAACTAAACAAAAAAAAAACAATAAAAAAATCCTATATAATACAAAAAAAGATTTTCTTTTAAAATTTTTATATAGGGTTTAAAAAAGGAGTTAGTATAAGCTAATATGAGAAAATACAAATGTTTTACAGGAACCTGACAACTCACCTACAAAGAATAAAAAGTCGTAGAGCTGACATTCCAAACCCAGAGATTCCTGTTAGGATAAACCTCGCCCTAGACAAGGTCCCTGACCTCATCAAAGGTTTGTGTAGTTCTGTAGTTGAAATCAAATAAATAGGCTAAATGTTCACCCTGTTTTGTCCTACACGATGTTTAAACTTGTATCATTAGTTTTAGAGAAATAGTGGCATCTTTGGACTTAGGGGAACCCAACCCATGTTAGTAATTGTGTGTAGAACTCCATGAAACTCTTTTGTAATATTTGTGATGTATAATTTTATTCTGAGTGTTAAAATTATCAAACATGAAAAAGAATATATTGAAATAAACAAACCAATTTCAATGTTTGGGGCTTGTTGCTATCCTAGTGGTTATTGTCTCAGACTTCAATGAGAAAGGACACTTTGGTCCATGATTATCCTCAAACATTTTAAGGGTATGGGCTTCTTTTTTTAAAAGTATTTAGTTTTTTTTTACAAAATGCCACTGGTAATAGAAAAAAACAACCTTATCATCCTTGCTGTTGTTACGGGTTGACAGTGTCATGGTTTCAAGAATGAGAACTAACCTTTTACAAAGTTAACATTGGAATGATTATGAGTGATCAGATTTTAGTTACCTTAAGCATACATTAATGTTGTACAGCATACAAGCATTCAATTAACGCATAATGGTTCTAACATTTCAATTGGTACTGAAATGAGTGGTAATTTACATAATCCCCTGAAGTGGCACAAGTTTAGAATCCACAGTCTACGTGATGCAATATCTATGCAAACAAAGTCATATATTACCATCGATATGTTCATAATATTCTACTCAATCTGTTTTAAATTGCTTTGAACAAGACAGTGCCATTAGTTGTTGAGCAAAATTATAATGTAGATTTGTCCTTGTTGCTTACTAGGCCTTTTACCTGGTGAGTAGTAAAGATAATATTTCTAAATAACTTATATTATTTCAAATAATATTGTAATAGCTTACTCAACGTACAAGAAAATGAATTTACAAGAACACTCCCAAACTTTTATATTTAATATTAGATCTATTGGGGGTGATATAAAAATCATAGTTTATGATAATTTATGCATGCTATTTTGTGGGTAACGATTTATTTTGGAAAAAAATCCTTAAACTTGGTTATTGGCCACTGATTAATGGAATTAAGTATTATTGTGAAACTAATTTGCACAACATATTTTATAAACATTTCAGATATGCTATATATACTCACAAAACTTATATTTCAGAAAGCATGAAAGAATTCATGTTTTAATGCTTAGAAGCAGTAGCTTATGGTAATCATAGTTTTAAACTCTTGGCTAATTGTTTGTAAACGAAAAAAAAACCCTAAAAAGGGTCATACTATACTTACATATTTGAATATTCAGCAAAATAGTTTAAATAATTGTATTACTGTAGCCTATTGTTTTAGTTTTTTTTTTCTTTAATCTTAATCTTTTGATGTAGAATGTACTATTTTCAGAAATTTTTCTCTTCTTCTTACTGCCTATACCCTTTTGTAGTTGTTCATATAGTTTTTCACAAATTTTATTTTACATTTTACGGTAAGAAAAGGTAAAATTTTAATCTGTTCAAGTGCAGTAGGCCTACTTGTTAATATTTAAATTTAATTTCCTATCCTTCTTGAGTTCCCCTAGTCCAAAGTGGGGGTTGTCACAAAGTGAAATTATTTATAATGCTACAGTAAAGACAATATTGATTTTCCAGTGGCGTCCAACATCGGGTCTATCATAGTGGATGGGAGGATGTACCCTCCGCCTACCAATGGCAGTTCCAGTGGCCCCACAGCCCCGCCCCCCAACACCAGGCAGTACACCAGTCCCCCCGGCCCCCCGCAGTACCACAACAGAGTGTCTCCACTTCAAGGGCTGGCTCAGATGCCTGGACAGCTACAGCAACGCAACATGCATCACACACGGTCACCCCACCATCCCCAACAAGGTACGGATGTCGCTGGTCGTTCCGAACGATCAAAAATGTTGAATTACAGCTACTTATATATTTAATACACCACATGAAAAGTTGTTCTTGATAAGGCTTTTTGTTTCAAGGCTCACCCCCACATATCATTCATGAAAACACATCTGGGTGTGCAGATTTTCAAACTGGCTTTAGATTTTTGATACAAGGTATACAACTCGAAAGATACGCCAAAAACACTTAACAAACATTTTACAAACAATAATACAAACAAAAATAAGCAGAAAAAATGAATTTAACAATTTAAAAAAAAAACATGGGCCTTATGCTAGTGGTTGCCATGCTGGTGACGAAATAACAACAAAATATAAACAGAAAATCAAAACAAATGGAAGTAATCCCAAACACATGTTTTATTTACAGCGCGGGGGGAAATCTTTGGTCGAGTTCTTGATTACTGGACGACCTCTAGTAGCCTTTAATCGACAATACGCCCAATAAGGCACTTAAAAAAGGTACCAGATGAAGAAGGGGATTGATATATAGATTCAGCTTTTAATGGCGATTGTTCCCACTTTAATCGACAATACGCCCAATAAGGCACTTAAAAAAGGTACGATGAAGAAGGGGATTGATATATAGATTCAGCTTTTAATGGCGATTGTTCCCAGCAATTGCAGTTCCCTGATGAGTTTCCTAAAAGCCTCAAAGAATGGGGTCTTCTGTGGCACCGTATGGGTTTTAAACTTGACGACTTCGCAAGCCAATAACGCGAGCCAAGAAATGACATAACCAATGAAACTGGAATTAAAGTTGAAAGACTGTATAAAAATAGAACTCAGGCACCTTGATCTGTGCTTTTTATTCCTACAATTAATTGATAAGGGGATTAATTTACTGATTAACAGGAGCACATAAAAAAATAAACATTATTTCTAAATATTGCAATATGGGCTTAATAAGGCATTTATTCTGTCATTCAGCACAATTACAAATTAGCAATAGACATCGTCACATTTTATTTACAAGACTTTCACTAACATTATAAAAAGGGTTGTTTAAAAGCCATTTATGGAGCTTTTTACTAAAAACAGTTACAGCCATGTTTTGGCAGACATTTGGCAGCTTGTTGAACATATTTAATCCTAGGTAGGTATGGTAATTCATAGTTTTTGAGAGTCTACATCTTTGAAGGTCCAGCTTATTTTTATTACGAGTGTTGTGGTTATGTATAAAACTTCAAGGGTGGTAATCACTTAAATTCATTTTGACATGGAGTAATACTTCTAATATATAAATGTTGACAATGGTAAGGATTCCAGCTTGGATGAAAAGTGGTTTACAATGCTCCAGACTATATGAATTAGTAAGTATACTAAGAGCTTTCTTCTGTTAAAGCAAGTCTGGTATAAAAACTAGGTTATGTATTTAAATTTAAGTGCTCAAGAAGTTCATTTAAAAAAGTTAAATGAATGAATTATTCTTTAATTTGTATGGATTGTTGCACAGGGATGAAGTCTCAAGGCAGTGGCACAGTACATCATACTCAGCAACAGGTGACATCGTCAACACATCCGTACAACAACAGTCATCACGAGGCCAACCTGCGAGGACTGCTAGCTCATCACTCCTACCATCAGGTAAACCTAACTAACTAGCTACCTAGAGTACAAGTGTCACAGTACATCATACTCAGCAACAGGTGACATCGTCAACACATCCGTACAACAACAGTCATCACGAGGCCAACCTGCGAGGACTGCTAGCTCATCACTCCTACCATCAGGTAAACCTAACTAACCAGCTAACAAGTTAAGTATCTTGATTCATGCTGATGTTAAAAATAGAGATAATGACATTTTGATTGTCGCACATCTAATATGTATCTTGCTTGTTTTTTTTATTGTGTTATTGAGTTATGTTTTACCGGAAATATTGTCTTCACTTTGGAATGACACCCTCAGTGGTATGCAGCCAAAATTTCAGTGTGGTCTTAACAGTATGGAAACTATACTCAGTTCCATGTTCTCTGTGCAGTACGGAGTGTTTGTAAGCCTTGTATTTCATAAGGCATTCTCAATAATACCAGGGGTAGTAGAAAGATTTGTAAAATGTATTATAACACCTTCACGAGGGTTGGTTAGTCTTGGAAATATGAATACCATGGGAAAGTTTACTTTCATAGTACTCTGTCTGTACCTTTATATCATTTGCTCTTTTGAATTGTTACTAAAGTTAATAATATTATTTGTTGCCAGTACACCAATCGCGATAATCTGAGCCCCGCTAATGTGATTGCTTGGATAGCCCAAACGTTGGGAAAAAAGGTTTCTAAATTTATATCTAGTAAAAAAAGCCATGTGTAATATAACAGAGAGCTCAGCCAACTGGGAACCGTATGTGCTTTTTTATGACTGGAGTAAAATATGTGAAATGGGCGTGAATTTTGCGTGGAACCCGGAAATTAGGAATAGTAAGCTATAGCATATTGCCCAGCAACCTAGCTATTCATTAATGACATTCCATTTGTTCTCTTTAAAAGTTGCAGTGCAATAAAAAGAACATGATTGTGGGAGATGATCATGTTGCTTGTTGCGATTGTAGTGAATAATCACGCATGATTTCAGATGTTCCTGTTGCTAGTGTGCCGTGATAGCAGGAGATGATCATAGTACATAGCGGTTATTGAGATATTTTCTTAAATTCAATTTTACGGCATTTCAAACACAGACCACTCCCAATAAAAGTAAGTTAAATTGGATTGGCGGAACTGTGGTGTATTAAACTATTATCTGTGTTGACAGAATGGCTACAGTCCGCACACCATCAGAGCGACGTCACCACAAGCAGCTATAGCCGGGCCGTCAATGCCGTTGTATCGGATGGCAGGCGGTGGTCAGCTCCCCCCTCCCCTGCCCCCTCACTCAGCCAATCAACGCTACCTACACAACCAACACGCCTACGCACAACAACAAGTGGTCAGTATAGCAACAAATCTGACATGGTGTGTATGGGGTGGTGCCATACAACAAAAGAATGATTGGTGTTTGGACCTATGGGAATGGAAGAGCACTTAATTTATATGATAGTTGTATAGTACTCCTTCTCTCAACTGACCCTCATGAGAATAGTCGGTGAATGTTTTTTATGTACTACAGTATTTATTTTTGATTCTTATACCTAAAAAAGTTTTCAATTCAGTTTTTTTGTATTTCGTTTATTGATCCCTTGACTGAATCTGAGATATAAGCAACATATTAAAAGAATATATTGAAGAAATGAAACGTTTCACAGTTAATTGTAAACTAGGCCTAATATTTTTCGGTTTCTTTTGAAACAATGGAATTTAATCACATATTTTTATAATTATTTGGGGAAAGCAATTGAGGAATCAGATCATTACGATAATTAAATAATTATAACAAATTGCTAAAACCTGAGGCCTATCAGCCGTCACACTCCTTCATTTTAAGGGTCCTGTTTGAGTCAACTGGTAGTGAATGCTTAACTTCAATATTTATAAAAGATTTTTTTAATATTTGTTCAAATACATTGTAAAGATTGTAAATCACCATAGTATGAACTGGCCAGTGGTAGTGTGAGTGTGTGTGTGTAGGCTGCCGCACACCAGAACGGTCGCCAACACGCTGCGTACAGTCCAGCTGCTAGACAGCTGGTACAGAGGGTTCAGAGTCCACACTCTTCTAACCAACAGGTCTACCAACTCTCTAACAACCACAGCTTATTTCATGCCATTTTGTTTACCTTTTTTTCTTAATTTGAGGTATATTATACTGTAGTTACTGTTCATACGCTTTGCCATACTGTATGTAGGCCTATCGTAGATGTTGTTCATGCTTTTTATTACGTTATGATTTTATTTGTTTTCAGGTGGAGTTTAAAGTTTTCATTTTAGTTTATTATTCACAATTACATATTTTTTTGTTGTTGTAGAACTTTCATTTTGTAGCTGTTAATTTCTTTTATTTATTTTAGGCCAACTATATGTTTGAGAATTATTTAATGTTGCTTTTGCACGTGCAAAAGGTTACTGGTTATTTCAAATGTTACCTTTGACTTTGATTAAGCATAATTTAAGTACATTCTTGTTGAACAGAAAATTATTTAGCCTACTCATGAGTTTTTTAAATTGTATTAACTTTGAACTCTAAAAAGCAATGAGGGAGTATTGTGACAACAAGACCACAAAAAAACATTGTAAAGATTCAAAATTAGTAAGGGAACCTTTTTTAAAGTCTGTTCACCCATTGCAATTTATCAAAAATCTCAGGCTCAAACCTTCACTATATATTATGAACTATTAAGCTGAAAACTTTAGTTTATGAATCCTGAAAAACTAGCTTCATCTCACAACTTAACTGACATCGATGTACAGGGAGCACCAGCGACGGCGGGGCCTGTCAGCTGGCACATACCCCAGCAGCCAGTGGTGGGGCAGTACGGGGGTGGGGGGAGCCCCTCCCCTGCTAAGGCTGCTCCTACCCACCCCTCCGTCATAGATGAGTCATACAAGATTACACTGAAGCAGCAGACGCCACAGAGTCCTGTGGACCAGAAGCCCGTTCTGCCTCATCCACCATTCGTCAGCAGCTCCGTGCCCAAGACACCCTCCCCTCACTTGCAGGCCAAGGCACAGGACGATGCGGAGAAGAGTCTCGACAAGTTTTGTCAGGTTGGTATCACTCATAAGAAAATATTCACTGATTGATTTAGAGGATTCTTCTGGGAAGGAAGTGGGTTTGGCATTCCAACACAGACACACACACTCATACAAAGGACAAGTGTGTTTTTGTCCTTTGAGGACATCGAAAGGAAAAGGTTAAAAGGTCCCGTGTCTAAATCTACCATGTCACATTCAGCATTTATTTAGCTTAACAAAATCAAATAGATTTTTAAAATGCTCTGTTTAGCTAAATTACATTTTTCCAAATGCTCCATGCGGTTATAATATTTGTTAAGAAGCGGTAGATAGTTGAAAGTTTTAGTGGGAAGTGAACTTTGTTGACAAAAGTTAGGTTTCTCAAAGGTATTTTGACAACAGTGGAGTTTTGCTATCCATCATACTCAATCATGATAAGAGATCAACTTGTTATAAATACTGAGAAATAATTCTAAAAGAGTAGAATATGAACAACAAACGATAAGCAAGTATGCAAAAAACTCCAATCACACAAATAGAAACTCGCTTAGTCTGCAGATTTGCTGTATATAGGTGAATTATTATTTGGCCCTCATTATACAACATTAAGCAACCACTACTCTCTCAGGATTCCTTCTATCCCCATGTGCTGGGATGTTTTTCTACTTGGGTCAGAATTACTGAAGTTGTCCTGTACAAAAGACTTCTGTAATACTTAAACCAAATGCCTCTACGCAATGCATATAGTAAAGAAACATCCAGTTTTCCTATGTCTAACAACTTATTTCTTGACAGGAGTCTGTGAATGACTTGATGATGACGATAGCCAAGTTGGATAGCAATGGCATCTTGGTGATCCCAGAGAAGGGAGCGGACTCTTTGGTAGATAGCAGCACTGGTCCTCCAATAGACCGACCTTCAACATCTACAGCTGGCAATCCCCAGGCCACGACGTCGTCTGCCGGTGAGTGTTGATTGGCTTAAGTTACAAATGACCAATAGATGACCGAATGAAAAATATTCGTTGGTGGTTAAACATTTGTGCACACAGAAATAAACAGGATAGCATTAGGAACACTCAAAGTAAAATTTTTAAATAGATACTAGAAATTAATTTATCTATTGAAAATTAATTTAAGGTGTCTCATACAACCATACATATGCAGAATTTGAATGCAATGTCAAAGAACGGACTCTTAAAGACACCACTAATACTAATAAAATAAATATTGTAAATTTTACAATAAAATATAAAAAATAAATCTTGAGTTATTCCTTGTTTGGTTGGTAATAGTTATCACTCTTTATTTCCATTATGATGAATTGAAAAATATGAATCTGTATAAATTATTTACGAATTATTAATTAGAGAAAGAAACATAACATTAGTCAAAGTGTAGTTTAACAGGTTAGAATAATTCATGTTACTTTCTGTACTTCAGTAGTTAAACTTCTGAAACATTTCCATTTTTATTTTTGCGTCCAGGATTCCGTCAGCCAAGTAAGTTTTCTTAATTACCGCAAGTTCTCTAAATTAAACGTGTATTCTCTGGCACTATATAACCAGAGCTATCTTGCACTTTTATCCACTGAGTGCTTTTAGATTGTTGGTAAAGTACCTCATTTGCTTAAGAAATAAGTTGTAAAAGTAGTTTAAAGCACTAGTGGAAAGATGAAATTATTGTTTCAACACAATACATTTCATTACTAAAACTAGGAGGTAGAGGCAGTTACTAGGATAGAAATAAAATCTAAACTATGATTTTACAAGTACTTTAGATTCCCTTTTTCAGATTAATTAACTTGTAAATTTGTTTTATCAGACATCCGAAGACCTAGTGAGTACCAACTGCATGATTGTCGGCATGGACAAATTTGAACATTAAACAAAATTAACTTGCTTTTGAAAATGAATGATGTCATAAAGACAGTCCAACCAAAACATCATGACTTTATAATAGTCTTTATACCTTTAGACTAATCTTGACTTTAGTCTTTAGACTTTATAATCACACAACAATTTTTTTTTTAGTCACATTACAATTTTTGCTGTTTGAATTTTGTACGTAATGTTATTAAAGACTTTTTATTCATCTATAAATTTAGTGTTTTTTTTTTTTTTTTTTGAGTGAGGTTTAGTTTTAAAACCCATCTGTTGTGAGTGTGACATCATCAGGAATTTTATCAAGAATCCTTCCCTCCCAACTTTTAGTTGAGTTGGAACTCACCTGCAATCCCGGATTATTTCTTATCCTTGTTACCTAGTGAGGTTAACCCTCCAGATATAAAATCATATCCTACCTTTGTAAAATAGCAGCTCTTCTAATTTATCATTAATACTTTGCTCAATGATGGAGGTCTACAATTTAATAACTCTACAGAAAGGCTCAATATTGGTAATAAGTTTGTTTACTGTACTTTTAGTAAACAATTGTTTTCAACCAAGTAGAAGATAGCTAACTATTCTCGGCATCACTGGTCATATAAATATTTTTTTTAATGTATAAAAAATAATTTATAAAAAAAATTAACATGATTTATTTTAGAAACTAAATGGTAAGGTTGGATATTTTAAAGCTTTGGAAATTGCAACTGAATAAATTGAATTGAGTTTTATGGATAAGACTAGAAACATAAAATAATGGCATAGTCATCAAAATCCTGAAAATTATTTTCAAGTTGTCCCGTATAGCCTACATTTTCAATAACCCGCTGCTTCAATGTAGAATAGCAGATTTGTCTTGTATGAGTGAACACCGTTGTGAAATAATCATTTGTGTTTCTTTGCTTATTCGAGAAGGCATACGTGCAAGTAAGTTGTAATAAATGTTCCTCTCTAAAGATTTGCACTCAATGTATTTTAGTTTGCACTATACCAAATAGAAATACAAAACCAACAGCTTTATGTTTATCTGCCTACTAATGCTATGTAGTTCCTGTGGTAGATATTTGTTCATTATCCACCTAGTGCAGCTTTAATATTGATAGGTTTACTATTCAGGAACAAAAAATGTATTCATAGTAGGTCTAGAAACTAACTTTCTATTAAAACCGTTTTCAATTTTCAATAAGTTATAAAATCTCTGGATGTGGTAATAGTTATCAGGTAAGTAATAAACTGTAATGCATGCAACATAGTGATGGGCTGATTCCAAGATTGTTTAATTCCTTAACTAAAATGTAAGCTTTGATTGTCTTTGCCAGATACAATTCCGATTCCAGATGAGCTTACACTATACAATGTATGTGATAAAACATAGTATTAGCTGTGCCTACACATTTTACCAGATTGTTAACAGTAGGGATGTTTAAGACCCAGACGTTAGAGAAACTTTTGTTAGTCGACTCCCGTTGGGAATTTTTGAACCATAGAAGAAGTATTATCATTCTATCAAAGTGGATTTAATACACTTTCTGAATTTTCTTAGGACCTCTTCAGCTTTCAATTGGAGAGGGACGTAATTGTAAAGTTTTTCTGCATAGAAACTAAGTTTTTTTTTTTTGATTGGTGGTTGAGTGTCATGGTATTAAAGGTTGAAATTGTCACAAAGAGATATCTATAAATTCTTGGAGAATAGTATGACAAGAGATTTTTTGTAGTTAATGGTTAATTAAGGTTCATAATGATGATAAACAAATTTTTTTGACAATTTTTAATTTATATTTGTTGCCAGTTGTACTGATTTTCAAGATTATAACAAACCAAAACCAACTACAGTCTAACCTTGATATAACGAACCTCGATACAACGAATTCCTTGATATAACGAATTTTTTTAAATCCCCTAGAACTCTCCATAAGACACAATGTATATTTTACCTCTACATAACGAACTAACCATAACAACGACCTTGATTTAACGAATTTTTCGGGATTTCGGCTAAAATAAGACACCTCAATATAACGAATTTATCATTGTCAGAACCTCTACATTGCGAATTTAACCTCTGCATAACGAATTGTCTACGTCTTTTCCTCGATATAACGAATCCCCCACCCCATTATTGTTTTTGAAAAATCTATTTCTTTATCAAATGAAATGGAAAGGTGACGTCATCGCTTGCGCTAACATTCGTCTGCTCCCGTTTTGCACATCTCTGTCTGCTGTCGCTGCGTGCGCTATGTTGCAACTGAGAACTGATTTAATTCACTGAGGACTGATGACGACGTAATGTTTAGTAAGCTGTAATTGGGCGATAAGTAACTATGGTGAAATGTACAATTTTTGGATAAAGAGAAACCTAAGAAAGAATATAAAAACAAAACCAAAGAGAAAGAATAGCAGCATCATTATTTTAACATTCCTTTTTCGAGTGTTTTTATTATCTTTAAGTTGGCTATGATTATACACTTTTATAATGACTTGTCTAATAATTTATTGTTTTCAATACGATTTGTTTCAACTAGCAACACCAATGCTATAGTTAATGATTATTATTGACGTTCCTCTGTTGTAAATCAGTACTGTACTGATAAGTAGCCTACCGGCCTATCACGAGCAGTAGCTTACAAAACTTTCTACTAGTGATGGGCCGATTCCGATTCTCGATTCCAAAATACTCTCGATTCCGCCGGAATCGAATCGAGCATTCGATTCGAATCTCCGTGGGTTTGGGATCGATTCCGACTCTCTTCGATTCTTTGATAAAATTGGTTAAAATAAGCCATAAACGTCATATAAAGCAACAAAGAAACAAAATAAATTCAGATTGCTAATGATTTGCTTGCAACTCTGAGCAAACAACAAGTCCTGGTCGTATCGTCACTAACTCAGCGAGACTAGAGCGAGCGTATTGCAAAAATAATAGATGCGAACTCAATACAGATAGTAGCCTACAATGAGAAACAGTTAACAGATGGGAATTGGAGATTCGGGCAAACTGGACTGGAGCGAGTAAGCATTGCGTCACAGCTCACAAGACATACAAGGAAAGGGATGAGCATCGATTTAGATCAACCAGTGGTACCAAGGCTACTAACCACGAATACTAGAAAAGTAGAAAAATACCGGTATGGATCATAAACATAAACAAATGACATTTTTGGCCCGAAAATACACATTATTTCACATTGCTTAAATTGAACTGCCAAAACATATGTTCAACGCTATTCGTAGAGGATTCGGGCCAACAACGTCATTTGTTTATGTTTATGATCCATACCGGTATTTTTCTAGTATTGGTGCTACTAACTGAATCATTGCATCGCTACATCGATGTTATCAGTAACCGATAACATCGTTGTGAAAACATCGATGTTTTTGGGACTAAGACATAGATTTTTTTCTTCAATTTTTCGTCTGGTCTCTGTACTCTCCAGTAACGGAAAGCATCGATATCTCAATTACACTTGGTCAAAAACATCGATGTGAAAAACAACGAAAATCTATAGAAAAACATCGGTGATGCGAAAGCATCTACTATCGATGCTCATCCCTAAACAGAGCTGAGCTACCATTCATTAAGTATAACAAAACACTTCGTATTCGGTCCCGAAACGTCACTACTCAACGAGACTAGAGCGAGCGTCCTATAGCCTAAAAGCGACTTGGGCTTGGGCTTGGCAATATAATTTTGTACAGTGAATTGGAAGGTTTTAACTACCTATAAATGTTCAAGTGCGCGAAATTGTAAATAAACTTGTTTAGTGTTGCAATCAACGGGTAAATCTTCGAACACTGGGTATTTTAATGGCCGATAGGCAGAGTAGTTTTGCAGGTTCCGTTATTGTCTGCCAACAGTGGCAACACTGATAAAGTGAAAAATACTTAAATGCTCCAGTACGGACGGCATCAACAAATCGTATTGAGTACTGAGTTTCAATCTTAAATCTTCCAAGACTCTTTTTTGTAGGCTATGCTTGGATATACATTTTGATTTTGCTTATAATGTTCATATTTTATTTTTTTTTTTTTTCAAATGGACAATCGACAATGGTTTCGGACGTGAACTTTAGGAGGGTGTACAAACAACGGTAATGAATTGAGAGTGCAAAAATAAATATAGGAATTTGATTTTATTAAGAAACTAGACTTCTTTCCAATATTGATTTGATTTGTATACCTGTAAAGATTCATGTTAAAATTAGGTAAGTTAGGTGGACTGTAAAGATTTATTAATCTTTTCTCCATTTTAATGATTTGATTTTCCTTATTTATATCATACACAAGTGTTGATTCAGTTTTAGTGTAATATACTGATTGTGTTTTGTTTTGTAATACTAATAATAAACCAACAAATATGTATGTACCTAACACTGTTTTTTTTTCCTTTTTGACTTTTTCTACTTACTTTTGTTGTGAATCGTGTGACTTAAATGTAGATCAGATACCAAATATTAATATTATTGATCTATTGCTTAAGCTGTATAATTAATTATGTTTTTGTTTCAACTAGGCCTACTCCTAGAAGTTTATATAAGGTTAGGTTAGTTTGTATATAAATTAAAAATCAAGAATTGGATAGGGGCTGATTTTTTATAATGATAATGAATGATTTTTTATAGTACATATAAAAGTTATTTTATAATATTCTATGGCTAGTATTTTACAATAACCTTGTAAATGTGTATTGAATGTGTGACATTCTAAATTCTACATATAGATAACATGCTTGGTAAGCTTGTACTGATTTCACAATTTTAAACACATTCATAAAACATAATTGAATTTGGAATCGGAATCGAGTCCGGAATCGAGATTCGAATCTTAAATTTAAGAATCGGAATCGGAATCGAGAAATTTTGGAATCGGCCCATCACTACTTTCTACTGTTTTGTTTTGTTCTTGACATGGTTTATGACTACGCAATACAGTGTTTGGCTAGGTTTTAGGAGGGTTAGAACAAGCTGTGATTTTAAACTTACAGTTTTTAACCTGTACCAAGGTCAATGCCATTTTCATGATTGCGCAATATTCCCCTTCCCTTTATTATGCCGGATAATTTAGGTTCTACTGTACAATGTAAACACTGTACTGTAAAGTATTGTAGCCTATGCTACTTTAATTGTGTTTTAATGAGGTCAAATCCCGACCTATATTGACCGACGCTGGTTCTGAACCTCGACTTAGCGAAATTCATGCAAACCTAACCTCTATATAACGAACCTCGTTTTAACGAAATCCTTGATATAACGAATATTCAGTTCGGTCCCTTCAGATTCGTTATACTGAGGTTGGACTGTATTTGCGATCTCAGAGAGAAATAGTTTTAATCGCTCAGATTGTCAGCCGTACTTGTTGTGGTATTTTGCACAGCTTTGATTAATTTCATATCGGCCGTGCTTGCCTGCTAATGGAAAAGCCGTGCTAGGTCTACTGCTCATCAAAAGAAACATTCAAACACTAAGAAAACCACTAACCCTGACTAAAATCGCGGTTCTTACACACACAACAAATATTTTGATATCTGTTGAGTAATGATTCCTAGTAAGCAGCTAAAAAAATAAAATATATTTGAGCTAATGAGAAGCTTCCATGATGGCTTGTGAGTTGATATGCAGAAAAAGGTGGCCAGTGGTACTGGTCATGACAGTGGCAGAGACTAACTATTCCGCGCTATTTACAAAAACAACATGGCCATAACAACGAGCTCAGAGAAGAGAGAAATATTATTTAGGCTCGTCTTACCTCCAAGTTGGCTACTTATGCATAGGAATTGATTTCCACCCATCTCTTTATTGTCATCTTTTCTAAGGAGTTTAACACAGATGCATATTTGTGTGTGACAGGGAGCCTGGACTCCCAGAAGGACGACCCCAACGAGGACTGGTGTGCTGTGTGTCTGGACGGAGGAGAGCCAGTGTTGTGTTGTGACAACTGTCCTAAAGTCTTTCATCTCAAGTGTCACATACCAGCTCTCAGTGCCTTCCCTGGGTGAGTCTAGCACAAATAATACCCCAACTATTGTGTTAGAAGTGGTTAATTGTTGCAGAACAATTATTTTATGCATCTTATTTCTTGGAAATTATTTGCACACCTGCTTAAGTTTACAAAAAGTTCTTCATGACTTCCAAGGTCACAAATTTAAAAGTCATGGTCATTAGGTGACTACAATAACTAACGGTTTATTACTAAGTACAAAGTTATAGTTTGTTGTAACCTATACCTAATCTAACTATTTCAAAAAGTTAGTGGTAAATTACAAGGTTTTATTTGATTACCACTGTGAACAATTTTGCTGAATGGTTTTATTGTTAAAATATAGGTATATTTTAAAGAAAAAATGGCTGATATACTGATTTACAAAAATAAAGTTCAGCAAGCTTATCTGAAGAAATTTTGAGTCCAGATGCAATTAGGTACTCAAGAAAAGGTATCAAAACAAACACTGATAGTCTGTCCTAATGAAGTAGGCTACATCTCCAGAGAGTAGAAGTCAATTCGGAAAGCCAGCTGAACTCAGTATCTTCTATCTTTCCAAAAAACACTTCCAAACTATACATAAGGTCATCTTTCAACATTAAAATCTGAATTTTTTCTTTCTTTGGTCTTTGAAATAATTTAGCTCTAGGACTAACAACTTTATGTATTTTTATTTTAGTTTATGAAGTCCTCCTACGTAAATTGTTTTTTGACTAAACCAAGTTTCGGGAGGTAAGGAAACTCCTTTTTTTGAAACTACTAACTATTATAGTTCATAAACTAAAATTAAAATAGTTGTTATCCTTTGCAATTAGTTATTATCTTTTAAAACTTGTATTAGTATGAAATATTATTTTTAGTTGCTTTTGCCTATTAGTTAATTTGTTTAATGTTTTTAATTTGGCGAGTATTGCTATTATTGTTAGTTTCCCAAACTAGGTTGGTTTCATCATTGCTTGTATTATTTCAGAGAGTCTGAGACTTGGCAGTGTTTGCTGTGTACCAGCATGAGCAACGTCACGCCTAACATTCAGGTACGTCCAACATGATAAGTAGGTATTCCACATTGATATTCACTTAATATTGATAGCCTTCTTAGCAATGTTGATAAACCTCCTCAAAGCAGCTGGCCAAACTATGTAAGACAAAACTAAGCATTCTTTGATGTCAAGTTTGAAATATGATTGTTATCACTTTGTACCAATTGACCTAGTTTTCATTTGTATGCTTTTGCAGGTCTTTTCATTAGAATTCATAGTGGTTTTTGTCATCAACTGTTTCGTCATTCCCTACTTTCAAATAGATCTGGACTAACTCAGTCTTAGCCTAGCCACTTAGGATGTAACTTCAAAGTAAGGTTGAAAGGTGTGGCAGCAATCTTCAACTGAGGACACGGTTGACGCCCAAAACCACTCTGGCTTCTAAAGTTAAGCTAGCTTACTTGAAAGTGTAGTACCGGTAGTTTTTTTTAAATAACGTCAAGGGTGGAACAGTTTTACACGTTACTTCAGGATGGGCCTAGAAGGTTGGCATCATCGCTTCGATCAAATCTATTGGTGAATGGCAAGATATGCTCTGCCTCTAGATCAGCTAGCTTGTCCCCCAAAATGTAGTATAGTAATGTAGTAGCCTTGCTGGTTATTGCTGGCCTAACATCCCAGGATTTAGATATCTTGTTGCTTATATCTTGTCATTGAGTTGGATGAAAACTTTGACATATTACATTGATAACAGTTATATCAGTGTTGTATTCACAATACACAACTGTTTTGATTTTGTTCTGATTAGGAAGGGCAGACTTATCTTCACAACAGTGGGTGAGTCTTGAGGAAGATTGCCCACTGTAGAGGTAGGTGTTATAATCTAGTATATTTGTTGTGCTGTCGTAGGTTGGAGATAAGAGGCCGCACAGAGATGGACTGGACACTCATGAGCAGATGTTGATGCAGAGGATACTGCTTGAGTTGTACTGTCAATACGAGCCGAGCTTACACTTCAGAGAGGTCATACCACCTGACGTGAGTGACAAATTTAATTTCCACACTTCTCTTAAAAATACAATATAATGTTATGATTTGAATATCATTTTTAGGTAACTACAAGCATGATGAAACAAGAAACTGAGTTAAACATTAATTTCAGCTCATTTTATTTTCTTCAAAACAGAACATATTCTGAAATTGGTACGGTTTTAGATATAAAAAAAAATACATAAATACACCAAAAATTACTTGGTTGTTAAAATTGAATTTATTAAATCAATAAATTAATGAAAAGTGCAATAGCATAAAGTTATTTGAGAAATATATAAATCGTTAACAGTGAACAAAAAATATTTCATTGATAGAAAAGAAAACATCACCTTAGTCTCCTGCCATTGCAGCAAAATCGTCAATATAATTTGCAGTAGAGAGATGCCATCACCATAACTTACAATCACGGCAAAACTGTGAATTTTCAATCGCAAAATCTTTGCCAACTCATTCTCAGATTACATTAATATTGTCACAGTAAAACCTTGGCTCTGTTTTTGTTTCTGATTTGGTTACTTGAGCTTTTAGGCCAGGCTCGGCTCAAAAGTTGAGCCATTTAAAAATCTAGTCTCTTGCTCCTCAGTATTATTTAACAAACCAATGTATAAAAGGCAGTAGTTGAGTTTATAAATAAATAAATAAGTTAATAGTGGTAAACTTAATTGTTTTTACAGCTGAACTTAATGAAATGTTTTAAGTATTTGAACATAAGTGTGTCGTACTGTACAGAACCTAGCTTATCATGAGAAGATAAAGCGACCGATGTCGTTTGATATGATAAGACAGAAGCTTGCTTCTACAGCGTCTGATCGCTACCGCAACATGAAGGAGGTGGTTGACGACATCAGATTAGTCTTCAAGAATGCATACACGTTCAATCCGGTAAGCCTTTATTTTGTTAACATTCATTGCTCGAAAATCGTTAGGTAAATAATAATTGTTCATTTATGCATTGCATTAAGAACTTGGTAGTCAAGGTATATTACTATCTCACATCAACCTTTTTGTTAAATTACATAATTTAATTAATTAATAGCCTAATGACAAATGGCATCTGGGTTCAGAAATCAAGTTGACCCAGGATCAAATCAGCAACCTTATGAATTGAAGGAAATCATTATCCAATTTTTCCCTGTAATAAAACCTCAGTTATATTTTTAGACAAGAGTTTAAATAACAAAAGTTGTCATGGAGTTAACATGTGTTATTTTTGGTCGCAGAAAGAGAGCCAGGTGTATTCGGACGCAAAGAGCCTGGAAGAGTTCCTGGACATGTTGTTGGAGAAGTGGGTGCCTGCGCTGGCCTACGATGACACAGACACGGAGCCCTCCTTGCCCAAGCGGGTCAAGAGGGCAACACACGACTGACCAGAGCCTCTGACTCCGGTGGTCCAGTCACCGGGGCGACCCCCCTCCCCTCATGCAGACCTGCTGCAGCTCTGAGCACCAGCCACCAGGTTATTATAGTAACCTTTCACAGACCTATGCTGACTAATCCGTAGACTTATATTTGTACGTTAATGTTTTAACGTATAATTATAGGTTATTAGTAATTAGTCTTATGAGATGTGTTAGCTGTAACCAAGTAAAAACTCTATTGAATAGGCCTATAGTGTGTGTCTGCAGGCCAGACATTTTGTAACCAAGTCAAAAACTATTGAAGTCAGACTTTCTGTAAACCAACCAAAAACTGTATTGAATAGTAGGGGTCTGTGGGGCCAGACCTCTTACTCCAGGTCAGGTTCTGCAATTTTTATCCTCAGGCTTTGGGTCTAAATCGGATCAGAACACAATCAGATTGCTTTGGAAATTATTGGTTTAAAAAAAATTTTATAGTAATACTACAACCTGTTTATACAATATTTTACATGATCTCTCTCCCCCCCCCTCAGCATATCCCAACAATATCGTGACTAGTGATGGGTCGGTACCACTTTTTAAAAGTCTGTACCGGTTCCTAGCCAAAATCGATTCTCGGTAGGAAACCTATCTCCGGAGATCCCTTTGACCAATGGTCACCTATTTAATAACGCTATCAGAGGTTAAATCACTTATAAAATGCTGATATAAATTCTGTCATGGATTTTTCCTCCAAGCTCACCAAGACTTCTATTGTAAAACAGTTTTTACTTTCTGCAAAGTAAAAAATACCCAAAAACAACTACTAAGTATTTATTTTATTATTTATTTATTTGTTCTATTAATTATTTATTTTTTCAGGTTTGCAAGTATCTCTGAACTGGTTGTGATTGTGTAAACGTTTTTGCACAAACTGGACGTTGTCGTGTTGCAGTATCGTGATGTGTGACTCGTCAGTGTTATTTATTTGTTTTTTCATTAGGTAAATTATATCAATTGTAAGCTAGTGTTGTCAGAGATTTGTTACGATTATTTATAAGGGCTTTAATTTTAACTATTTGTATATAAAGAACAATGAGAGATTATTTTCAATAAAAGTGATTTTTTAAATGACATTGTATGTCATGTATAAACAATGTATGGATTGTATTCACTTCAATTTTAGTTACATTGTGGGCCAGGAGCCTACTATTCTTTTTATTTTTGATTTTTAATTGAGACTTAATTTAAACCCAAGGGTAGAACAATTTCTGATTGCATAGAAGGTAATAAAATATCAAATTATTGCAAAAGAGTATGTGCATGCATAAATTTTATTTTTTAAGTGATAACTTAACTGCCATTTGAAGAACTGTTCAAATAAGAAACTAACAAATAAGATTTTTTTTATAATGCTTGGTCATAAATTAATAGTTTGTTAAGTGAATTCATAGCATGTCTGAGACAGTTTGAGTATGCTATAATTGTTGAGATTATTGAACTGTGAAATGACTTGTTATTTATTATTTATTCTCTATGATTATCTCCTAAGACACTACCTCACTTTTTTTATACAATCTTGCGTTATTGCACAGACAAATCTGTTTGGAATTGGAAGATTTCGAACTCAAAATTTTGAAGATCAAACTCCTACGCTACAACGACTAAACCAGTCTTCTTGTACTTTTATGTTTTTGTGAATGCTTTTTATAATTTGTTTAAGCTTGTGTGAAGGCTATTAAATGTTGAAATAATTTAAGATTTGACTGTGGCTGCATAATATGACTAACTACTTTGTGTCTCCTACCGATATATGTTGACATGATAACATTATTATTTCAACCCACTTCATACCATTACCATTACCAACTGGCGATCGTTAACCAGATGCCTGGATTGATCTTGTTAGATAAAATTTACTTTTTGAAAATTGAATAAACTAATAATTACAATATTTACACTCCATGGTGGCCGGATTCATACTCAAAAGCTACCTACTAGCTTCCTATTCAATAAAAACAATCCATAATAATATACAGACCAAATCTTATCATGCATTTTTATAGTGATGTAAATGTAACAGTCACCTTACATAGATTGAATTATGTAGGAATAACAGTTATTTCAGCAACTTACAATATTTTATACAATAGTTTTGTGGAATGTAGCTAATTCAAGTGTAGGGGTTACTCTAATGCAATATTTCTTCTTGGTAAAATACACCATTCCAAGATGCAGTCTTTAAAAAATTCTTCTTGAAAATGGTTTGTCTAGATATCTTATTTATTCTGAACATTGTTGCAAAAAGCTTACTGTTTTGAATGAACAACATGTTAATAATTTACTTAAGGTGACACAGTACTCCCTATCCCGTCCATGTTAAAATGGCAGTTTTTAGGTACACATAACTTTTACAAATATTAACCTATCAACTTGAAATTTTTTTACTACGTTTAATGCATTATTACCAACAATAATATGAAGTAAAAAAAGTTTTTGAGCAAAATTAAATTGTTAGTATGATTTTAAAAAGTGTATAAAACATTTTGTAATTTTTTAACATAAAATATTATTTATTTCAAAGGTGTTTGGTTGTCATGGAAACTGATTCGTATTATTGTTCCTTATCATATGAGGAACACACACAACAATTTTTATTGAAATTGGATTATAATTGAGGAAGAAAAGTGTACCTGACTAGAAACCACTTGACTTTCGGAAAACGACAAAAGAACCCTCTGTCACGGGTAGTAGGACCTTTGGGCATGCTAAAGTAAGAGTGTATAAAAGTCGCTGTATAACTTAAAATAATTTTTTCTTCCATAATATTTGGTATGCACGTGTTCAGGAAAGTGTGTTCTACAAAACTAAATAATAAAAAGTGTTTACAAATTTGTAATATTTGACAGCGTACCCTCTGCGTCATGATTAGTAGTAGGACCTTGGGAATGCTAAATTAGGCTGCAAGAGCTAATAAAAGTAACTGAAAATTTTAAAAATATTTTTTTTCTTCCTTAATATTTATTATCTAAGTGTTCAGAAAAGTCTGTTCTACAAAACTAAAAAAAAAAACTTAAAAGATTTCATATTTGATTACTGTGTTTACTATGTTAAGTTATTATTAATGTTACATTAATTTACATAGGTTACTTCTTTTGATATTTGAACATGAGAGAAGTTTTAACAAATTAAGTAAAAGCATTTGAAATAACAAATTGAACGGATAATGTGATTTTTTTGGTTTTCAAAATCTGTTATTTTTTCATGCTGAAATACATGCTCATCCAGTTAAGATTTTTTTGACACTAGCCCTTCATTTTTATACAGACAAAGGTTACAAAAACGTTGATTTACTTAAAGTACAAAAAAATCATATTATTGTGTTAGCTGTAGGCCTAACTGTAACCGTTGAAGTTCGATACTGAAGTAATATAAAAGCTAAGATCACATAGTTAAATGAGCCCGTCACTCTTAAAGATAACTTAAACACTTAATTACTCAGCGATGGATGGTCTTTGTGTACAAATTTTCGGAAAGTAAATGAAAGATACGTCATACCACTTTTTTCCTTTTTAGCGAATTTCCTTATAGGGAAGTAGCGATTACCGTAGGTCTCATGGTAAGACCTAGGCCCGGGACCGATTTACTTTTTCATTTTGATGTCCCCAGAGGCCAAAAACACCATTCGTTCAAATTTTTATATATATGTGTGTCCATCCCCATAACTTGAGTAATTTTTGTCCGATTTTGATAAGATTTGGTTTGAAGGTGTAAGGCAGGATAAACTTGAATGAGTTCGCAAACCAGCATGATCGGACTATGGGAACAGGGGTTTATGGCCTGGGGTTTTATGGGATAAAAATAGGGTTTTCCCATTTTTGACCCTAAAAACGCAACATTTCACAATTTCTTTCTAAACCATTTTGTAGAGCTTAAAAAAACAAATAATTTAGTATATTGAAGTGTTATTATGCGCCTAATTGTTACGGAGAAAATTCAAAAAAATGTTAATTTTAAATTCCCATGTTATTCTTATGGAGAATAAGTCTACTGTTGTAGTTTGCTTGTTTATGAACTTACTTTGATCAAATTTGGAAAATACATTAATTTCTTACTAAACTACAGTACCTTTTAACATTTTACATTAAAAAAACGTTTACCCTCCCTGTTGCAGCAAACCTAAGTAGGCCTACTCAATAAAATAATTCTGTTTAAATAGGGAATAAAGTGATATTTTTAAGGAGACATTTTAGAGTAAATCCAATCAGGCAAATGGAAATTCGCTAAGTCTGCAGGTTTGTTGGGGGTATTTTCTTTTTTTGTTGTCCTAGGACGCAAGGCACGAGCCTGGGGTTGTTTTTCACATTACTTCAGGCTAGACCTAGGGGTTGTGGCATTATCACTTAGATAAAATCCATTGGTGACTTGGCGGGGATTGAACCCGGGACCTCACGGACTGAAGTCCCGCGCTCTAACCACTACACCAGCTCGCTCCCCAGTCTTATTACACTTAAAGCATATATTTACACTGATACTGTTACTCAAAGACGGTAAATATACAAAAAAGATCGTAAGTGGTGGACACTCCAATCATCAGACCCAATAGGCGAATGACAAGAATCTTATATCTTGAATGGTGTTAATACTTATGCTATTAACACTAATACCGAAACCCCGGTCTGACAGGCCCACGGGAATTTTCAAAAACGCATGTTGGCAACACTGTTTACTTGGTAGATTCCATTCCCCCAATACCTTCCCCTCTTTTCCTCCCCTACCTATTGATATATCATTTGTTCATTTTGCATGGGTGCCGTGACCTTGACAGGTCGTCTGTTCATAACATGTCCGTCTCAGAAGCCCAGCGTTAGTGTATTTTAAAGCGGGGTCTCACAGACCGAGGGTTTCGGTTTGTGTGTTTCTAAGCGGGGTCATTATTTTTCAAATGGGGTCTCACAGACCGGGGGTTTCGGTTAACGTCAGCCTAGGTGGGGTTTCGGTTCTTAGTGTTAATTATGTGCTATAATTATGCTACAAATTTTTAGCAGAATATTACCTGTGCGGCTTTAAACAATATGGCCAGCCACTTCTTTAGCCAGAAGTATTTATTTAAAGTCCAATACGTTTCAAAGAACAACTGCGCTCTATATTCTCTGTCCTATTCGAACACTGTAATAAGTGCTATGGAGATAAAATGCCATTTTTACACAAGTTGCTCTTTCAGTAGAATCGGTAGTTTTACTGCAGCATACTCAATTCAATGAAGTGGTTTTTATTCTGAATTGGCAAAAGCCAAGAAAAAGTGATACAGTAGATTCATATTTTGAACTCTGATATTTGTGAAGTTTATTTGTAAGCGGTTTTGAATTCTATGTTTTTCTATATTTTTTCTGTTTTTGATTGGTTTTTTTTTTGTTATTGTTATTTGGCCCAAACTTTCAATGAAATAGTTGATGAGGATTTAATATGGTTATCTATGTTTTGTATTTTTGTAATAAAATGTACATAATTGTACGGTTATGAGTCAAATGTCATTTATTGCATGGATACCACTAAAAAAGATCAAAATCGTGTTCATTTGAACTATTAATAATTTTTTTGCAATGTTTTGTACCAGTTTGTTAATTTTGCGCAGTTTAGAGTAGTTGATTAATGGTTTAAAGTTAAAGTTAACTTTACATGAATGGTTTGTGGTAGTATAGCATAGAGTGTGCGAGTTTGAGTTTAGCATCATAAAAAGAAACAAGTATGAGAGTTGCTACTTGCTACGGTTGTTTTGTTTTACATATCATTCAAATAAACATGTGAACTGTAGCCTACATCAAACGTGTATATTCTTATTTATTTTTTCAACATAGTTTAAGCTATAGGTAGCAAACACACAATTTAGCTTAGATATTGTTAAAGGGGTTTTTGTTACATTTTCAGTTGACTATTTTCACATACATTTAGAGATAAAGAGATGGAGGTGGCTGTATTTCCTGTGTACATTTTAGGTATAAGGTATCAAATTTTATAATAAAGGTAATGGAAAATCCAATAATAAATGTTTTAATTTTACTGCAAAAGTCCTTTTTAATAATCTGTGTCCAATATTTGTTTTTCACTTGTTATGGATATGAAAAATGTAATAAACAAAAATAAGAACAATATAATTTATCTGGAAATGTAATAATTAAACTTGGTATAATTATTTCAGATGTTTAACTAACAAAAATATGTTTCTAAAGCATCCACTAATTCATTCTCATGGGCATATGAAATTAAAATTAAATATAAATAAAATGACATTATTAAGGATAGATAACATCAAAGTAATATAGGAAACTGTCAAAACAGCCCAAGTTTAAATTCTTTTTTGAGTACTAAATGTCACTATTACATATTGTTTGTAAAAAATCATAAACACGACATAAAAAAAATTGATTTAGATTCAAACGTAAGCTGAAAAATCTGTGCAAATTTTCAAAATATTTAAACATTTCCTGTCCGTTTTCTTATTGGAAATGGATAAAAATATTAGTTATTGGATTGACTTATTTAGAAAATAAGAATCATTTGAAAATATTGTAAAAAGTCTTGACTACATTTTTACATGTTCATAGGTGTTTGAATGTAATACTTTATTGTGCAATCTACCCTGAAATGTTACATTATACTACCTAAGCTTTCATATTTTTACTGTAATGAAAACTCAATGAGTTGCTATCCTACTGCCTTCTTGGTTTACTTTGTGATAAACTTTCCGGACTTGTCATAGTTATTAAACTAAGTGTTTGTAAAATAACAGTCGTGTTATGTTTAAAGCTATTTACATTTGTAGAGGGACTTTATTTGTAGGTTATTTGAATAAATGCAGATGAATTACCAAAACTATTAAAGAAAATAATAGTAAAGAGCAAGTTGTTTTGTTTTCCCCGTACTCCAGTCATTGGTTATAAGGGGGGGGGGGGGAGGTAGTATTGCTTTTAAATGGAAAATTGTCGAATGAGCAGCTTACAGAGTGTATTTCTGTACAAACTTTATCAACCATCTTAGTTTTCTTTCTTTGCTCTGTAAGTTGCCCTTTCAGCTTTGCTTGGAATAATTCAACAGATTCCGTGTCAGTGTATGATATAAATCAGTGAAAGACAGCAGAGCTATAAAATGCAGGGGCTGGCTCACATCTTTGATGTAGCACTCGCAGACATGGCTACTAAGCTCTTTTCGAAATTAAGAAAATCACACAAATTCAGCATCTGAATAGAACAATCAAAGGAGCCAAGCAAAAAAAGTAAACAGAAGATGAATAGGCGGTTAAAATCAGTAAAATAGGATACAACTTTAAAATAACAAACTTATTTTGTTCCAAAAAACATGTTACTCTACAGACAATATAACAAAATCTATAAAAATAAATACTAAGATGAAGAAACTCAACTACAGAAGCAACACGAGAGTCTGCAGTTGAGGGAGGAGCCTATTTACCACGTGAGTTCGAAGGAGCCAATGAGGACAGTGCGGTGTTGCCAAATCTAATAATACCAGCTGGTTTGAAAATATTGTTTAATATTTTTAAATTGGTACCAAAGAAAACGTTAGTCCAGTCATGGTATTGGCTGCCGCCAACTGCAGACTCTCGTGGCCCCTAGTATAAGTATGTATTAAGAAGACATAGCAAGGAGTACCGGTATAGCAAACAAACGAGGTAAATAATCTAAAGACTACAGTACTTGATTCTAAAGATGATTTTGCTAGCAATAATTACTTGTTTTACATTACAATAACAAAAAGTCTTATGTTCATGATCTTAACATTTAAAAAATATATTGACAGATACAGCATGGGGCAAAGCAATGAAATGTGAACTTTGTAATGAATAATAATCGACCTGTTGGTTCTAATGAGCATATTCACACTAATTACTGTAGCAGAAGAGTACACTAAAAGTTTGTTCCTATCCCAAAAATTTAAATGTCTGGCTTTTTAAGTATTTATTTTATTTTTATGGGCAAAGCTAATTTGCTTTTCAATACGTAAATACAATATTGCAATGTGCCTGTATTTAGTGCTTTGTGTTGTGTCAGTTGTACAACAGACATTTTGAATTTAAACTGTGACATATTGTTTTAAACATTTTTTTTCCTTTTTACTGCCATCTCTATTTCTGAAGAAGCCTGAACCTGAAATATCAAGTATTATTATTTGTGTGTGTGTGTATATATATTTTATGTGTTCTTTGACTTGTCTGCAACCTCATCAGGTGAGTTAGCTGTGTCCTCTCCATCCTATTTATTTAAGTTTCTCGCTTTGTAACTTTAAGTTTACAATCCTTCTTTCTAATCATTGAAAAATATCTTTAGCCATAACTAAAATATTATTTAACACGTTGACTGCGCGTGCCGACTTTAGTCGGCGTCGCCAGCGCTCCCAGGTGGCGCGCGCCGACTACAGTCGGCACCAGACCAACAGTAATATATTGAGTCAGTGTGAGCTTAGCCTCAGACGGAGACGTTATAATCGTTGCCAGCCTGCCAGCTTAGAATGCGAGCTTTACTTTGGTGTAGGTTGGTACTAAAATTTCCCGTAAAATCCCGTCTGGCAATGCTTTTGTCCCGGTTTCGGGGATTTTTTCTCTTCAACCCACATTACAAAGACACTGGATACGGATCCATGCAGTGCTGCTACCTTTGGGTGTTTCAGTGAACTACATCCACTCTCGGGGTAACGCAGCACAGTCACCACTGCTCTTTTGTGATTCGTCAGACTGAAATATTTGAATGCCAATTGCGTTCGCTGATTCGGTTGCGCGCCGGGGCTTCGCCCGCCACTGGGGAGCGCCTGTAAAGTCGGCGCGCGCAGTCAACGTGTTAATCATCAGACTTAGCAGTAGTCTACAAAAATAAAAGTGTCATACGAGAATTGAATGATGCAAATGTAGGGAAGCGTGTGGGCCGCTTGCTGGTACGACCCATGCGTCCTCTCGGTGACGTTACAGCCACACAGCAGTGCATCACAGCACAACCACTGACAAGATGCATCATCTGTATTCTATAGCCCTGACACACACTGATGGAGGCTCAATTTAATTAAATTCGCACATTTAAAAAATTGGTTACATTGTTAACATGGGGACCTATTTTTTTACTCTTCACAGTCAAAGGCTTTATTGTCACAGTGTCAGTTGCTGATTGCAATTGCATTTAGTGCTTGATTGTCAAGTTCTTCATCCAAATGTAAAAATAACAGACTCTCTTACACCAAAGAAAAAAATTAACTGTGCCTTAACAAACAGTAAATATGTGGGTGTAGTTATTTATCTAGAGTCATCCATGTAACCTCTACAATATTACTATTTGTTGTTAAAATAAATGCTAGCTATTGATATCCTCGCCATTTCAGTTAAAAGTATTAGGTTCATAAATTTCTAGTCTAGCAGTGACCTAGGAAATGGACACCCAAACAAATTATTTTTTTAAATTGTACGTTAACAATTTTCCACTGAATCACATTACAGGTCATAACAATTCAGCAAAGGTATATGGGTTTAAAATTAAAAGAAAGTAGTTTTTTTTTGTATTTTATTTAAACTTCAGTAGTTAATAAAAACAATATGTTGCTGCAGTATTAGCATGCTGTTTATGATGCTTCACATTTTCATCTAAAACATAAGTATTATTTTATGTTGTTATATACATAGGCTATATATTTATATTTTATATTTTTAGCAACATGCAAAAATATTGATTTTTTAAAGTGAGTAACAATTTTAGAAATATACAAAAATAAAATCATCATAAAAAGAAACACCCTTAGTAAACAACCAATAAATAATTAATTTTTAATTGCATTACACCAAACAAATTCACTTTCACCAATTTTTAAACCATAATAAAGGCACTTGCAAATTCAATATGTACCGTAACCCACATTTAATATTTTAATTATTTTTGAAATATGATACTAATTTATCTTTTAAAAGTTCCATTTTATTTCTATTAACTAACATTTGCTATCATCAATCCTTCTTTTCACTCTCTTCATCTTCTTCGTCCTCATCTTCATCTTCATCATCGTCATCAGTTTCTTCATCTGATTCATCATAATCATCATCGTCTTCTTCAGAATCTGAAAAATACTTTTTAGATTAAAGCTTTTTTTTAGGGGTGTGCGAATACTACTTTTTCTTTTTGAATCGAGTAGAGAGAATTTTGAATCGAATTTGAATTCGAGGCCTAAATCGGCTTCTTCATCTGAATCCATCTTGTGTCATTCAACCAAACTTAAATGAAGCCTAGGCCTATAACTTTTAGCCAATATCCAACTGTATAAAAGCAACTGTTGTCAAAATATACAAAAATTGTTACTAAGTTTAGCTGAAATACTTAGTGCAGACGTGCTAAACAAACTGTCTCTAAACTCCAACCTCAAAACTTCTTGTCTTGTAACACAGCTTGCGCTAATGCAATAGAAAAAAGAAAGAACAGAAATGTTGTCTGCTAGAGAAGCAGAGGAATAGAAGCAGACTTCCATAGCAAGTGTGAATTACGTTTTACTCTGGGATCACGGCAAATCTATCTAGCAGACAACATTTGTATATATCATATTTCAAGTTTATAAAGGTGACGGTGCGCGTTTTGGTACCTTGTATAAGAGAACTCAGTATAATTTGTTCCGGTATCTTATTCGCCATCACTTTTTCAGTTTTACTTCACTTGAAATAGACACATCATTGTCGTATGCTAGATTTATGTAGGTCTACCGTGATCCCAGAACAAAACAGACTTGAACCCGATCGCCATTGCCAAGAACAATGATGGCGGATGAATGCTAACGTAGTGTTTTGCAGCACACAATGAGTTTAATAATGTTGAAAAATAATAAAATAAAATATCTAAGTGAGTTTTAATTAAATATTGTATTGCATTTTTATTTAATCTGAAGCATCTTAACAGTTTTTATTTATTTTCAAACCAAGTTAGAACGGAACTATATTTACCGACCTTGTTTATTTGGCTAATGGCGGAGGACATCATTTCATCGGAAACTCACGACACGATTACACAATAGTTGAAAATGAAACGTTGTCACTCGACAGTCGATAGAAACTGATTACTATTCGTATTTTAGCCCGATTGTAATTTTTTATTAATTACTTGAAACACTTTTTTGGCCAACTTGATTTGTTTTATGTTTTCCAAAGCTCCAACTAATTATGTGACCAGATGCGAAGTATTCGAAAAGGTCCGAACTATTCGACCACCGTCGAACTATTCAAAAAATCGAATACTCGCAGATAGACCGAATCGAATCGAATAGTAGTTTTACTATTCGATTCGATTCAAAATTTTGAATATTCGCACACCCCTACTTTTTTAAATAAATTGTAAAGACGATAAATACTCTTAACAAAAACTATATCAACCAAACTAATCAATTAAAAAATTTGCCCTTAAGACACACTATTTTTCTTTCTAAATAATCTTATTTAAATATTTGTGCTAACTCAACACATTGAACTCCCGGCTAATTTAATCAGAATATTAAGATAGATTTAATGTGAAGAGGCTCAGAGTAGCATTTGTATTGAATGTGAAATGCCGTTGCAGTCGGTAACTACATAAATGTGTAAACGACTCACCAGCTGCACCTCCGCCGCCGTAACCATTGTAACCACTGTAGCCAGATGCTTCGTATCCATCTTCATCATCGTAATCATCCATCCCAGCTTGACCTTGGCGTCCAAATTTGTGACTGCGAGCTGTGAAAGGTTTTTATAAAAATTAGAATGAAGTATAGATTAAAAAAGTGTAATATACACAGCCAATAGATTTTTGACATAAAATATGTGATGTCATAAGATGTTAACCTTCTTACACTCAACTTGAAACACACAATCACAACAAAGGAAATAACACAAAGCATCAAAATGCCTAGCCTAAAATGATATGACAAAATGAATCTGTCAGAACCTACTGGACATGCTGAGGTCCTTCGTCTGTGAAGTCTCGTAGCCACACTTTGGGCAAGGAATGCCTTTGTTCTTGTCGTACTTGAAACCTTTTCTTCTGACGTGATCTTCACAGTAGCAGGTCTTGCATCTCAAACAAGAGTACTGACCTAGTTTATTACACGACTGGCCTGTAACATTTCATCAGGGGTTTGTAACTTAGCAGTAAAATGGACAGTTTTGAAATGTGTTTCCATTTTATGTTCAATTATTTTTATGAAATGTTCAATGGAAAATAAGTTGCACTTTTAAGTACCGGTATGTAATATACAGAGCCTTTCAGCAAGTTCAATGCCAATTAACTGCCGTTCAATAAGAACTATTTTATTTATTTTGTTAGAGAGAAAATGGCAAAAGATATTCTTATACTTGAAGAATATTATGGAATTTAAGATTTAAAAATTGTGTTAATAAATTAATAATAAGAGTTAATGATAACAAAACTAAAAAACATAATAGGATATCATTAATTTTGTTGGTTGATATCTCAAACTTATTGAATAATTACCGTACTTTAGATCCTACGTTTTAGGGCCTAAAGGAATTATTATCAAACCAGAGATAGCCTATTACAATTTAATATAATCATTTGTGTCTTTGATTTATTGAATAATGCCTATAAATAGCAAAGAAAAGTAGGCTACAGATGAGCGTTGGCAAAATGATAAGACCTTGGGAGATAATAGCAAAGATTATTTCAAAACGTCTTTTGGAAACTAATTTGACAAATGAGAGACTTATAAGACAATGCGTTGTTTTAGACAATACTCACACTTATAATTCTCAGACTCGAGGACTTGACATGAGGCTTGGTGTTCAAACTGGTCGTCCTCACAAAGAAACGAGTCACAGAAGGAACACTTGAATATCCGTCCTCCGTGGTCCCAGACTCCACGCTCACATTCTGCGCACACAGCATCCTGCAGCACGCATGTGCAGGCGTGCACAGTCAGGCACTTGCGGCCGTGACACACCCACGCCTCACAGAAGTCGCAGATCGCTCCCTAGCAAACGTATGATACATAATAGGAGAAAATAGCTGTCAATTAATTAAAATAAATAAAATAGAAAGTGGAAATTAGAACAAACTAACGTCTTTTGAAAATAAGATTCTTAGGAAAATTTATGAGCCAATTAGAGAGGAAAGAGAGTGGAGAGGAAAATACACACCACAGAGCTAAGAGAACTTTACAACGACCGGTTGTTTGTGAATTTAAGTGTGGAGGGCTCAGATGGGCTGCGCTTATGTTGGGATGAGGGGATGACAAGAATCTCAAAAGTGTTATGTGTAGGCTTATCTAAAAACTAAAAGTATACTTACGACCCTGGGGGTGAGTGTATCAAAATCATTGTTATTTTTATGTATGAAATGATAGGGGTAAAATTCAATTACTAGCCTATAGTGATTTACAATAACTTAGTTATTTGTGTAACTGATGCGCGAAGTGGTACTTTGTTACACATGAGAGAAATGCTTGCGTACAACCCACAGGTGAGTGTAGATAGTTTCTCAAGTGCAGCAAAGGCACTTAGCACTTGCATTACACATTATAGTTTTCCTACAGTTACTATAAAGCATATAAATAATTAGTCTTTCAAACACTAAACAACATGTTTAGAGGCTGTGAAACGCTGCACCAGCTGAACGTAGTCGTAGTATTTTTCGGTGTTGCCAACTTATTTTCAAGCGTACGTATTATGTGCCTTATAAAAGCACACTGTTTTGTGTTGTTTGGTTGGAATACTGGAATGCAGCAAAGTAAATGCAGCAATTAGCTACTTTGAGTGCTATAATCAGTGCAAGGAAGCCTGCCTTGTCAGGTAGCCTAACTGTAGGAAATTATAATTGTGTAGGGTTTTTGTCAGTCCTGTACTCCCACATCCGCCAGCAGAATTGTGTTACACTTACCACCATCCCCAATCCTGTAGTAAACACTCCAGCATGTTTGATCACACAATCTCCAGTTTTGAGCATACACTTGATCTTGCCACACTGAGCGCACTGAGGCAACCTCTGAACACTCTGACAGAAGTAGCAGAACGCTCTGTTTTTCTGTTTCCTGCAACCAACAAAACTTATTGATTCAGTTTACTTATTGCTTGGAAAAAGACCTTGTCCCTAGACACGAAAGCCACATCCTTTCCTCGCCACATTTTTCGAAGTTGTCGGAGTACGATGCACCAGTATGGAATGCATCGTCACATGCAAAACAGGTTGACATTGCAGTCAATGACATGGCTCGGATTGTAACTGGGTGTTTGAAACCAACCCCAGTACACAAACTCTATCCTATCATAGGGATCTCCCCTCCACCAATCCGACGTGATGTCGCTGCCGACGCAGAAAGGACTAAGCAAGAGACAGACCCTCGTCACCCATTACACGGCCACCAACCTGCAGAGTGACGGCTTCGGTCCAGAAAGAGCTTTTTATCACGGACACGAGTCCTGGATGGATCACTCTCAAGCAATCGGGTGACAAGGTGGGAGGCCACGTTGACTAACCCTCCCATACCAGCCAGGGAGGAACTGGCTCCTGGTGGAGGCCTTCATTACACGGTGTGGAAGACCCTAAATCGAATTAGGGTCGAGGTATCAAAATGCAAGACAAACATGCAGAAATGGGGGCTCTTACCAGACGAAGAAAACATCTTGTGCGTGTGTGGTGCTGTTCAGGATCCTGGCCATCTGCTGATCTGTCCACACCTAGACCAGTCTTGCACATTAGATGATCTTTTACATGCGAATGACAAAGCCATATCGGTAGCTAATTTTTGGAAAAGCGAAGTCTGATTTCCGGACACGGAAAGTAAGTAAGTCCTCGCCACATTGACCAAACATTAAGGTAGGGCACCTGATGAACTGTGGCATCCTGTGAATGTACTCTGCCTGAAGCATGCCTGTTCTTTCATGGGTTCAAGAATGTGTTCACTTACGTTGGTTGGATTTGTGCAGTCAAATAGTACGCTCTGCGCGTTTCCTTAGAATGCCCACACTTCCTATGTGCAAACAAAGTCTAGTCTAAACTTAGATCTATTTATGGGGCACACATTGTATAACATGTTAAAAGGAGCCAAATCCTGGTCTTCATTAACTTATCATAAGATAGTATGATCCAATCATATAAGGTCTAATAATAGTCAATAATCCAATCATGTTTTACCGATTGTCTTCAAGCTTATATAAAACATGTTTCTGACAAGGACATGAGTTGAAACACCGCACACAACAATTCGTCTGCATTATTTTATCATTACTGTTGAACCATAATGGAATGATATAGTCCATTAATGGATGCCAATCAGATGTTCATGATGGAGAGAATCATGATAGACTATCCGCAGTACTATCCTGATAATTACACAAATTTGTTAATATCAATTATCAATCATTGAGATGGGGACGCCACCAAGGTGCGTATTTTAACCCAAATATGAGTGAAGGATGAGTGTAGAATGGTGTGTGATGACCTGTGTGGCTTTGTTACTGACTAAGATCAGCGGTTTCATTAGTCAGGATCATTTATTTAAAGCCCAATGATCAGGAACAGCTGGATCCAGTTTCGAACCATCAAAAAGCTACTAAAATACCAAGGCAAAAATGTGGTTCGGATTCCACTATAAACTGTTGGTCCCTTAGTAGCCATAAGCTGTATGGGCTATTAATAAACAGCTGTGTATAAGGAATATGTCGGCCTCATCGCTCCACTCATCCTACCCTCATCTCCATTCATACTTGGCTTAAAATACCTACTTTGTATGGTCGCCATTTCAATGAAAAGTACAGTATTAAAAAAGTACAAAGCCCACAACAAGGAATGATGAAATGACATCTGCATACAAAATCAAATATAGGTAACATTTTTTAATTTTTTTTTCACAGGATTAATATAAAAACTTCTTAGTTATTCTAGCTTCCTATCTGGAAACCCCTATAAAATCTCGAATTGATTTGACGATTATTGACACTTGTAAACTGTAATTTAAGCATCGACTTTGGTTTATATGATGAATCTCTCTCTCTCTCTCTCTCTCTCCCTCTCTCTCTCTCTCTCTCTCTCTATATATATATATATATATATATATATATATATATATATTGAACAAATAGTGTTTTTGGCCTCTAGGGACTTAAAAATGAAAAAGTATATCGGTCCCGGCTCCAGGTCTTACCATGTCACCTACGGTAATAGCTACTTCCCTATAGGGAAATTTGCTAAAAGGTCGTTGTGAGGTAGTAACAAGACCAGGGTTTGTCCAATTCCCTTTCAAAACGTAAAACATTCCACTGGTGTAAAAACACGCAAAATAAAATAAAAGAAAACATGCCTTATGTCTACTATTGAAAAATGACTGTTTTTGATCTGCTTACCTATGGCATCTTTCACATTCCTGAAACAAAACCCAATCATTAAAGAAACATTGAAACAATACCAGCACAAACAACTCTACCTAAGCAATTTAATTTATAGCCACAGAAGAACCACTCATATCCTTCTGTTTTTTTTTTTTTTTATTGAACACCAACGTCAAACACCATTTTACATTAAGTAAAAGCTACAGATAGGAAAAAAATTATGAAAATTTAGCTGTCAATTACAGAGGTGCTGAAAACAATAATTAACACTAAATAATCATAGCAAAAACAATGGATATTAATGTTACAAAAAAAATATAATAATATATGAAAATATAACAATAACAAAATATACAATGAATGTATCAATAACAAGAATACAATCAAAATAGATCACAAAATTGACATGAGAAAAATAACAACAACAACAATGCTTTTACAGAGTACCCTCAAGGATGCTGTCAGCCGCAGAACGCCGAACCACTCCCAAGGAGGCAGTTAGAAGGTCAACAGAGCTGCTTATCACATTCCCGAGGCGCATAATCCGGGGAATGGGACTGGAACTGGCGTAGTTAGTCCCAGTATAGTCAAGTTCAAATACACGCTGATGTCTTGTGATTCTCAAAGGAACATGGAAGTTTATCCTTTCCAGCAAGAAGGGGCAGTTGACTTGGTTATTAATCAGTTTGTAAAGAAAGGTCACATCAGCCACTTGCCTTCTGTATTCAAGACTCGGAATGTCGTACATATTAGAGAGCTCGTCAACCCGGAAGTCCAGCACGACATCCCAGGAACCTGATGAAGCGTCTTTGTACCAACTGAAGATGGTAAATATGGCCAAGATGGTATTGTGACCAAACCAAGGAAGCATACTCGAGTAGCTGCAGGATGAGAGACTTGTACAAGATAGCCTAATACAGGCATGGTTGCTCAAACCATGTCTAGCAGAGCGGAATACCAATCCGAGCATACAGAGATGACCCTGGTGCAGATTTGGTTGAGTGTGGTTGTGTTCTGAACATCTAGTTCAGAACAAACCTAGGTTTGATAAAAATTCAAACACAATTGAAAAAAAATTTAAAAAATATATTTTACAAGGCACATTTGTGTACAATAAATTGCTTTAAAATTTGTAATCATCACTTTTGTAGCCTAAGTTTAAGGTATGAACAAACCCACACTTACTTTTAACCCATTGAAAAAATAAATAAATTTAACTTGTTCGCTACCACCAATAGAATAGAAACTTACTAAATTTTTCATTCATCACATTTCATCAGACCAGCGACGCACATATGGGACGGCCGGTTTCTACCCATGGACTGCCGATGTATACATGTGACAGCTGTTTAGGCCTACATTAAAATAGACTGACGTCGCAAATTAGCGTTGTGTCCAATGTTATTAAAAAGCTTATGTCTTCGTAACGGTCTATTTGAAGGCCCTGCATTCTCTGCAGTGGTCTATCTATAGGGATCTTTGTCGCATATGTGCATCACTTGGTCTGTGGATATGATGATTAGTGACAACATATGATAGTTGGCAAAACTGATTTGACTTTGCTGCATCACTGGTCCGCGGTCTGTGTGTACTGGTAACCAAGTAACACATTTTATAACAGCAAGAATTTTTTAGCAGTAACCTATTTGTTGCAAAATAGTTTTGCCTACTAATCCTGAGACTTCCGCAACATAATGCAGTGCAACAATTTGGTGTTTCTGAGAAAATTTTCTTTGTTATTAAAACAATGAAGTAAAATTAAGTTAGCCTATAACCTATTTGACTACAATAAGTTAACTAGGCAGTGTTCATCTCAAGCTATGGTATAGCCTAATTAGTCATAAACAAACTTCTATAACTTCAATAATGAGCCGTGTGAATCAGATATAACTAGCCAACTTGTTTTTTTTTTTGTGACCTTTAGGGCTTGTGGGGGAGACTGATAGGCCTATTGCTGCATGAGGGTAGGAAACTTTCTTCATTGTGGCTATAAGGACAGAGAAGGTGGATGAGCCTCATGCACTCGAGTACCTACCTTAGTTAACTTAGGAAAAATATTCAAGTTCATGCCTGCGCAATCGATTCCGGATCAAGTCTAATAAATTCATCTAGGCCTAACTTATAGAACGGTTTAAGGGAAAATGTTATACTTTCATGCTATTTCATAGGTAGTTTTCCTGTGCATTTAATAATAAGCTGTCTGTTTTCTGGAGATGAACGAATTCCATTCAATAGTTTTCATAGATAGGCCTATTAGTCAGCCTATTATTAACACTAATACCAAAACCCTACCAGGCTGACGCTAACCGAAACCCCCGGTCTGTGAGACCCCATTTGAAACTAATGGACCCCACTTGGAAACAAACAAACCGAAACCCTGGGCCTGTGAGCGACCCCGCTTTAAAATACACTAACGCTGGGCTTCTGAGACGGGCATGTTATGAATCAACCTGTTAAGGTCACGGCACCCACGCAAAATGAATAAACAATCAGGTAGAGAAGGAAAAGGGGGGAAGGTATTGGGGGAATGGAATCCCCCAAGACATGCGTTTGTGAAAATTCCCGTGGGTCTGTCAGACCGGGGATTTGGTATAAGTTAGCCTAAGTGTTAATTCGTAATTTGGGTAGTCTTACGTATCTGTTGTCAAAAACAACCAAATGAAAATATCGATTCTATCATTTGATATATCAAACCAAACGATAGATATTTTCATTTGGTTGTTTTTGACAACAGATATGGAAGTCAACCCTGTAATTTATTTGACGTAACTTATATGCTCCAGAAAATTAGTCCAAAAGATAATTTAACTACTGTTGAACCTTAAAAACCTCTATTTAATTCTATACCTAGAGGGTACAGTTTCTCTATTTAATTCTATACCTAGATGGGTACAGTTTCTTAACTGGGCTATGCTAATATCGATTGAAACTATCGATTCGATTAGTAGACCTTTATGCAATTTTTTCACCATCAGCAAGTTTGGTTGGTTAGGTTAGGTTATGATAGTTAAATTTTACAATAAATATATTAAAAAATATCGATTATCAATCAATATTTTCAATTCGATAGTTTCAATTGATATTAGCATAGCCCAGTTAAGAAACTGTACCCGAAAGACAAACTACAACAAAATACCAAAACTCTAAAAACACCACAATCTAAAACTGGATAGGCCTAGGCCGAGGCTTACATACCATTGAGGAATTGCATGGTTGCTTAGCTAAATCTACATTGTCTTTAGCAGTTCTAATTTCTTTTTGTCTAAGTTTCTGTTTTTCTGCCTTCTTTCTCTGACCTGTCTTCTTTTTGGGCATTTTGAAGGGTAAGAAAAATCAAGTATTGTTTAAAAACCTAAAATATTGTTAAACTTAGCCCTCAAACTAAAACACCTTAGGTTATTTAGGGAACCAAGCTTATAAATAATTTACTCGGCACAGTGATTTTACAAATAAAAATTAAACATAACTAATATTGCTTCAGGCAATTCGATTCCTCCGGTTATAAATTCTAATTTCTAAATTCTAACCTAATAAAATGATCTCACTTGACTTGACAAACCGAATGAAATTAAAATAAAATAAGTCTGCTCCTCTCCTGCCCCTACGTACGATGTGGAGTGGAGGAGGATTGTTGTGACAGAATATGGGAAGAAAGTGGAAGAAATCCATACATAAGTAAGAATAAGTTTGCCCTTTACTGGGAGCATTGATTATAAAATCAGAATAATTTATTCGTCATTGGACATTATAAAAATGCATTGACAATTAACTGTCATGCATATATAGCATGGCTACAGTTAGGCTAGACATTACAAATAACATGTCTTATGTTCATTTAAGAGGTGTCAGCTCTGTGGATTACCTAACAGTGTGAAATGTGATTTAACAATCAATTTGTCATATAAATAAATATGATAATTTAAAGATAAAGTTAACAAAAGTTAACAATTGCAACAAACGTCGATGGACAATTAAAATATTAACAACAATAGACTAGACTCTGCTAACAAGAGATAACCTCCTACCTGATTACCTTATTCTTAGCCTGAGACCAGTAAGCATTGGATTAGCTGCGTCCAAAGTAATTTATATGTACATATTTACAATGGCTATTTACAAAACTTCCAAAATGGAGTTATAAGTGTCCCACAGATGGCATAGACAAAATGGTCTTGTGCTATCGAAGTTCGCTTCGAAGAACTCTTTCAAACTATAGTAGGGCTTTTCTCTCATGAGGCTCTTAAGATTTGAGGCAAACTTGTTACCCTCAAGCTGTTTGATTCTGTCAGGGAGATTATTGTAGAGCTTTAGGGCCATCACTGGGAAAGCATCCCTGGTTTTGCTTGGCCTGCAGAAAGGAATGTAGATTTTGGTTTTGCGCCTAGTATTGTGCCTGTGCATATAATTCCTTTTGTTGAACTTCCCCAGGTTATCATGGACATATTTTGCAGACGAGAGGATGTAGTTACTGTAGACAGTCAGTATGCCCGTCCTTATAAAAAGCGGCCTACAGTGTTCACGCCTCCTACTACCAGTGATAACTCGCAAAAGCCTTATTTTGCTGCCGTAGGTTTTTCAGGCGGTCAGGTGCATGGCCCCATATCTGTAGACCATAATGAGACGTGGCTTTGGAACAAAAAAGGCATGATATACCACTATCAGTTAGGATTTGGGGACCAGTAGGTGAGTTTCCGGAGCAGGTAGGTGACCCTCGCTAACCTCTTGCAGATGTTTTCAATGTGGTCTCCCCAACCCAGACAGCACACTTTCTTCTCAGGACATCCCACGGATATTGCGACAGGATATGCAAGATATCCCATAGTGGTCCTATGGTCAACCTGGGATATCCCAGGATATCCACTGGAATGCGTAATGTCCCCGCCCGGGGATGTCCTACGGATAAGCTCACACGCATATCCGTAGGACATCCGAGGTCATCCCAGGGTAGTCCTCAGGACATTCTCAGGACATATGGGACTACTATGGGATGTCCCTGGGATAAAGTGTGGTCTGGGCCTGAACATAAAAAACACAAAATAATATAGATTTAGTATAAAAAGCTTTATTATGGAAAGAAAATGCTAAATTTTATGTTTTTTTGGTCAAAAATGGGAAAAACCTATTTTTACCCCATAAAACCCCCCGTAAACCCCCATTCCCATGGTCCGATCATGCTGGATCGTGAACTCGTTCGAATAAACATAGGTTTACACGTTTGTACCAAATTTCATCAAAATCGGATCATTTTTGTTCGAGTTATCGTGCTAACGGACATATATATATATGAATTTGAACGGATGGTGATTTTAGCCTCTAGGGACCTCAAAACGAAAAAAAAATCGGTCCCGCGTCCAGGTCTTACCATGAGTACTACGGTAATAGCTTATTCCCTATATGGGAAATACAAGCGTCTACAGCCTGACTGATCACTTATTGCAAACGAAAAAAACTGGCCCATGAAGAAGAAGAACCATCTTGTTGATGACTGCGGTCTGTCGTCTGTTACTTAGCACGTTAGCAGCATAGCATAAACAAAGTCAAACAGACTCCCAGATATAAATAAAACATAACCTCAACCCTCAAAACCAACTAATTATTTTGTATTATATTATTTCACCTTGAATCCTACTAAGGTATTTAAGTTATTATTATTTTAGGTATATAAGCTATTTTTAATGTCGACGTTATCATTTATCTTATTGTTTTTTTTTAAATTATTGCTACTCCATTTGTTACTTTGATTTCCAAATTAGTAAGTTAGGTTCTAAACAAACTAGACACGTTCATGATTTCTTGGATATGAGGGTTAGAGGATTAACCTAGTTTAAACCTACCTGGATAGTATAATTTTATGTTAACCAACCAAATTTAATTCTGATTAGATGAAACCAATGGCAAATCTATAACACCATTCACAGGGCTTTTGAAAATAAAGATTTTGCCTGGGCCACCTTCATTGATCTTAGCAAGGCCTTTGATTGTGTTGACCATGAGATCTTGCTTCATAAGTTGGAGTTTTATGGAATCAGAAACAGTGCTCTAAATCTTTTGTGGTCTTATTTAGCAAATCGTAGACAGGCGGTATACGCTGATGGTGAATGGTCCTCCATCGCCCTCAGCAACTGTGGGGTACCTCAAGGCTCCGTCTTGGGTCCCCTTCTGTTTTTAATTGCTATAAATGATCTGCCTATGAATCTTAGTTGCAATTCCTATCTCTATGCGGATGATACCACCTTGCTATCTTGTCACAGTGACCTTTTGCATCTTAAGTCAACTGTCAGAAACACAGTCAATACTGCTGCTGAGTGGTTTTCAGCTAATAGTTTTCTTTTGAATAAAGACAAAACACAATCAGTCATATTTTGCCTTAGACCTCTACATGATATAGGCCCAGTTGAAGCTGAACTGTCCAATGTGGTAAAGTTTCTAGGTGTCCATATTGACAAACAACTGACTTGGTCTGATCATATAACGCAACTCTGTACTAGGTTAAGTAGAATGATCTGCCTTTTTCGTAAGCTTAATGATTTAGTTCCTATTAGTTATTTAAGATCAGTTTACTTTGCTTTATTTCAGTCTGCCTTGAACTATGGTATCATTTTTTGGGGTAATAGTTCTCATGTCTCCGATGTCTTAATATTACAAAAAAAGGTCCTGCGCATAATGGCTAGGGTTGATCCTGAGGAACATTGTCGCCCCATTTTTATTGAATTTAATATTTTAACCGTTATTAATTTATATATATTTAATATCATGTTAACTAGTTTTAAGGAAATGGACTCACATGCGATAAGGAGTGATTTTCATGATTTTCAAACTAGAAACAGACATCAATTTGATATACCCCATGTTAGACTGAGCAAAACAAAGAAAAGTCATAAAATTCTGGGCCTAAAATGTCTAAATAAATTGCCCAACAAATTGCTATCACTTCCTTACAAAGTTTTTAAAGTTAAAATTCATATGTGGCTAGTAAAGAATCCGTTCTACAAACTTAATGATTTTTTAGAATTTCCTAAACCATTAAATATTGAGTAATGATTGTACTTTTTTTTCTATTATAGTTATCCTCATCTGCATGTATTTCATATTATCTTTGTATATTTTGATTTGACCTTGTACTCTACATCTATTGTACTCTTCCTTGACAAATGTTTACCAACATAATACCTTCATTGACCATTCCACATGCATTTGTAATGTCTATTGGAAAATAAAGCTTTGATTTGATTTGACTAGTCCTAATGTGTTGAACCGAATTGGGGTACAGTTTTTTAACTGGGCTACGCTAATATTGATTGAAACTATCGACTCGATTAGTAAACCTTCATGCGATTTGTTCACCATCAGCAAGTTTGGTTAGTTAGGTTAGGTTATGATAGCTTAATTTTATAATAGATATATATAAATATCGATTATTAATCAATATTTTCAATTCGATAGTTTCAATCAATGTTTGCGTAGCCCAGTTAAGAAACTGTACCCATGACATGTTCGATTTCTGACACACCCACAATATTTGATGGGTTTGGACCACTTTACCTTGAATGTTTTTGTGATTAGCTCTCCTACAAAATGCCTCTGGTATACAGAGAACAGTGACAAAAAAGAAGATAAAAATTTAGAAATTCATTCCAACTGCAATTTTTGTGTATGTCAGCCACGGCCACTATTAGAGTAATTAGGTCATAACAAACAGTTTACAAGTACATCCTTCATTACATTTGAATTCAAGGATACAGGGACAACTTTTCCAAAGACAAATTTCCTTCCACCAAATACTGCTCTAACGTGGCAATGGTCAGATTTTTAACAGGAGTGGGCAAATTGTATAACACTGGGTTTTCACTAGACCACAAAGTTTGTTTGGGTACTTTCCTGTTAAAGAGAACATTAATTATCGATGATTTCTTTTCGATTTATCGATATTTTTGTTTTACTTCACGATCCGTATTCCTTCTGTTTTAATATCTTCAAACACATTTAAATTACAAATTAAGAACCAACCTTTTTTAAGTTAGGCAAAAATAATAGTCCATAGGCCTATATTAGAGTAGGAAATGAAACTATTCTAAACTAACATAACATAACTAATCAAACTTGCTGTGTAGGCTGTTATCATTTCAAAATTCCGTTTGATAACAGAAAATGCATATAGGCTATCAAACGGGGCTAACGGAAAGTTGAAATGTTACAGAAAGTTTGGTTTGTTAGGTTAGTTTAAAAGAGTTTTATTTCATTACAATATTTTTTGGCTGCACTTTACTTTAGGCCCTACAGTCATTCGAATGAAAATATCGATTATTCTATTTTTTCATTTGATATATCGTTTGGTTAGTTAGGTTAGGTTAACCTTACCTAACTAACCAAACGATATATCGAAAAAATCAATTAATCAATATATCGATCTATATTTTCATTCAAATGAGTGTAGGACCTAAAGTTAAATGCAGCCTTCAATTTGTTATAATCAATATATCGGATAGAAAAAAAATCGCGTATCTGTTGGCACAAAAAACCGAATGAAAATATCGATTGATACCCTATATCCATTATTCGATATATCATTTGGTTAGTTAGGTAAGGTTAACCTAAACTAACTAAGTTAACCAAACGATATCGAATGAAACAATCGAATAATCAATATTTTCATTCGGGGGTACATTTCCATATCTGTTGGCTCAAACAACTGGATGAAAATATCAATCGATAGGCTATATAGATTATTCGATATATCGTTTGGTTAGTTAGGTAAGGTTAACCTAACCTAACTTACCAAACGATATATCGAATTAAACAATCGAATAATCAAAATTACTCATTTGGTTTTTTGTGCCAACAGATATGGAAGTGTACCCTTGTTCGGTTGTTTGTGCTAACAGATACGGAAGTCCACCCAAAAATCGTATTACAATCTCTCAACAGTTTCATCCATTGCACTTTCATTGTAACTTATGGAGCCTGCATTCATGTAAGTTAAATAGCATTGCCTATGGTAAAAGACTCAACGGCCATTTTAAATGTTTAGATCTTTGCTATTATGGAGTGTAAAAGAATGCTAAGGAGCAAGAATTCATAGGCTTGGCCGGGAGGTTAACCATGATAGACATAGGCCTAAATGTCTTATTTTTAATTATCATTAAGAATAAAATGAAAAATTGAGTAGGCCTAGGCATAGGCATACACTAAAAAACATTAAAGGGGCAAAATTAAAAAAGGATAAAAGTACATTTTTATAAAGTTTAGTAAACATGCTATTTATTCACAGAAATGGGTTTTAATCTATGCAGTAAAAATGTAGAACACTACCCACAAGATTAATAGTTTACAAAAGACAACACAAGGACTACTAGGATAACAAAACGTAAATATCACAACATCTACATGTCCAGTGATCGTAAATAAATATCACAAGAAAAAGAACTTCTTTTTATTTAATCATTATATGGAGATGGAAACAAAATGAATAACTGCAATACTGCAATGAAATAGACAATATCAAAATACTACACTTTTGATGAAAACAAACAAACAGCCGCACCAAAACACAGCCGACAGCCAAAACGATACGTCACGTCATAAAATAAAATCAAGCAGACAACAATTGTTTCTTCTTCTTCAGTGGCTACTGGCCAGGCTGACCAGTTTTTTTTCGTTTGCAATAAGTGATCAGTCAGGCTGTAGACGCTTGTTATGGGAAATTCGCTAAAAGAGCTGTAAGAATCCTAGCAAACGCTGAGTATGATGCCCCTTGCAGACCTCTCTTTGTAAATGAGGAAATCATGACTGTTTGTAGTTTGAATCAAGAATTTTTATTTCCATAAAATGCGGTTACATTGCTGGAAAACGTCAGTCAACTATAGCTAAAATAAAAACTAAAATAAGACAATGGTACAAGGTTTCTTACCAATATAAAGAATTACATTCCTGAAACTCTCCATGCAGAGAGAAAAAAAAACAGCACACAGCACTCGGTTGAAAAACTAAAAAAAAACTACTTACATATTATTCTTTCAGATCAAAATTTCTTTATTTTTGTACAAAGGATTTGCCAAAAGGAGTCCCTCAACACCTTTTCTAAATTTTGGGTCTGGCAGGTTCCGAGCTGCAAAAGGAAGTTTATTAAAAAACTTATAACTTAGAATCTCATTCGACAACTGAACTTTACTTAATCTAACATGTGGTAAATTGAGATCATTTTTTCTACGTGTATTATAGGGATGGATGTCGCCTCTCAGCTCAAGAGAATCCCATTCCTTCTTGATTTTGATCAAGGACTGAAAAATATAGAGGTTACAAACCGTCATTAAGCTCTCAGCTACAAATATGGGTTAACAATGGTCCAAGTAATCAGCACCAGCTACTACTCTAACTGCTTTCTTTTGATAGCGCAGAACTCTCTTGACCCCAGAGGCGGCACCCCAGAGCCTTAGGCCATACAATAAAATACTCTGAAAGAAAGCAATATAAGCAGCTCTCAGCCAGTCCTTTGGTACAAAATATCCTATTTATTTTTTTTTATGTTTTTGTTGTGCATGTAAAAAATTATCTCCAGTCACCTAGTCGTAAGGGTGATTATCATATGTACAATACCAGAAATAAGAACAATATTGATGTACCTTACGTTAGGTTAAGTAAAACAAAAAGAAATTCCAGCCAGTTAAGTATAAGGCTTCTTAACCATATTTTTTGTAAAGCTTAGAACCAAACCAACAGAAAATTCCAAAACAATCTCCAGGCACACTTTTATTGGCTTTCCCTCTTTATAAGACCAGCGATTTCTTCGACATTCCAAAGGAGACTGTGAGAGAGTTTTTCCAATGTAAGTAACAGATTGTTTTGTTTTGACAGTAGTTTTGTGCATGGTTTGCTTTCGGTTTTGTTTGCTGTGTGATTTTTGCATTTTAGTTTTAATTTGTATGAAAATTGTATATTGCTATTTGTTTTGACGATGCCTATTGCATTTCATGCCTAATGGATAATAAAGCATTTCATTTCACACTAAGATTTTTATAGTGTAAGTATAATTAGAACTATGTAATAATGGACATTTACAGGTTACAGGTCTTTGGCTAAAATACAGACAAGTAATTTTTTCTAGAACCAGGACTTAACAAGTGAACAGCTGAGACTTGACATAGACTGAATTGGATTGGGTTGGTTGGTTGGTGGGTGGCTGGAGGGAGACGAAGGCTAGCTAAAGGCAAAGGCGGACGAGCGGGCACCACTAACTAACTAGGCAGTGTGTCTAAGAAGTGCAGTGTTAGTTAAGAGAGAGTGGAAGTTGGTTTGTGCTGTATATTATCTTAGAGGAAAGTTTTGTTTCAGTTCAGTTCGGTAACGTATCGCGTTTTCTTCGCCAAATCGGCTGCCTTTTGTCGTCTTGTTGGTGTTTGTTTACTAATAGTGTCGCTCAACCAATCAGATTTTGTCGTCGTGGTCACCTGTTAGTTCATTGTTATCTGTTATGTTGTGTAGTGATGTGGATGTTTTGTTTACATAAACATTCAACTAGGTTAGGACTTTCCTTTACATCTTAACGTGTGTTTGATCGAAGAAATATTAAAAATGGGTGTTGGTCTTCCTCCTTTGGAATTTACCGACTGTTTAACAGACAGTCCCTACTTTCGGGATAATCTTCATGCCCATGAAAAAGAACTGGAAAAGACAAGTGAACAGATCAAGCGGTTGGTGAAAGAGGTTAAAGCTCTTCTAAGCGCCGCTAAACGTAAGTTTGTATTCCTCTCAGTTCGATTTTAGATTGGGTAAATTTCAGATCAAGTTTGGATCTTAAGATACAGAACATGTTTGGGTTTAAAATTGCTAATCAACCTTTAGGTGGTAGTTTATAAAAAATATAAGTAAATGTATAGGCCCTATAGCCTAGGTATCTTACCAAGCTTTTAGGTATATATTAAGTAAGTACAGCCACATTATTATGGATGTAAAACTGCCAATAAACCAACATTAAGCTATGACGTCAGCGTCAGATCAGCAGATCAAGAAGGCCGTGGCTTCAGAACTTCCTAACCTCAAATGCATGTTTCACTGAAATATGTGGAAATCATATATTTTGAGCAGTGTTTAAGTGTTTGTTTTACTAATGTACCATTTTTATATAACTGAGTTGCCTAAATAAAGTACAATAACCATTAATATCACTTGTTGTTATTCCATTGTATCACTCTATGAACCACTAACCTCAAAGTGCATTACTCGCAACAAAGATATGTAAACATTCCTTTCAGCCTATTTTAATATTAAATTTTATTAATTTGATTAATAAATGTAACCAAGGCACATACGAAAAAAATAATGATATAACACTGTTACTCTTATACCATAATATTGAATCACGAAATATACTCCAGACGTACGAGAATGTAACAGTGTTACAGTAAACAAAAACAGCTTCAACTGGTACAATCAACAGAATGAGTAAAGTGTATTATTCAAATCTGGTTTGATTCATGTTTACTATTTTTATGGAGTATGTTATTTACACGTATATACATGCCATAATAAAATGGCAAGCCCATTCGATGCTTATGATGGTTTCTGTAGGTGGTAGATGATAGTCCTGCTCCTTACTGAGCTACCGATTTTTCAGAAGAAAAAAATTATATTTCAAATTTCGCTCGATAAATTTTCATTATTTTTATGGAGTATGTTATTTACAAGTATACACGTGACATAATTAAATGGCAAGCCCATTCAATGCTTATGATGGTTTTTATAGGTGGTAGAATATAGGCCTGCACTTTATTGTGCTACAAATTTTTCAGATAAAAAAAATTTATATTTCAAATTTCGCTCGATAAATTTTGATTATTTTTATGGAGTATGTTATTTACAAGTATACACGTGACATAATTAAATGGCAAGCCCATTCAATGCTTATGATGGTTTCTATAGTTGGTAGAAGATAGTCCTGCTCCTTACTGAGCTACCGATTTTTCAGAAGAAAAAAATTATATTTCAAATTTCGCTCGATAAATTTTGATTATTTTTATGGAGTATGTTATTTACAAGTATACACGTGACATAATTAAATGGCAAGCCCATTCAATGCTTATGATGGTTTCTATAGTTGGTAGAAGATAGTCCTGCTCCTTACTGAGCTACCGATTTTTCAGAAGAAAAAAATTATATTTCAAATTTCGCTCGATAAATTTTGATTATTTTTATGGAGTATGTTATTTACAAGTATACACGTGACATAATTAAATGGCAAGCCCATTCAATGCTTATGATGGTTTCTATAGGTGGTAGAAGATAGGCCTGCTCCTTACTGGGCTACGGTTTTTTTCAGATAAAAAAATTATATTTCAAATTTGGCTCGATAAATTTTCATTATTTTTATGGAGTATGTTATTTAGACGTATACACGTGACATAATTAAATGGCAAGCCCATTCAATGCTTATGATGGTTTCTATAGGTGGTAGAAGATAGGCCTGCTCCTTACTGGGCTACGGTTTTTTTTTCAGATAAAAAAAAATATATTTCAAATTTGGCTCGATAAATTTTCATTATTTTTATAGAGTATGTTATTTAGACGTATACACATGTCATACGTAAATGGCAAGCCCATTCAATGCTTATGATGGTTTCTATAGTTGGTAGAAGATAGTCCTGCTCCTTACTGAGCTACCGATTTTTCAGAAGAAAAAAATTATATTTCAAATTTCGCTCGATAAATTTTGATTATTTTTATGGAGTATGTTATTTACAAGTATACACGTGACATAATTAAATGGCAAGCCCATTCAATGCTTATGATGGTTTCTATAGGTGGTAGAAGATAGTCCAGCTCCTAACTGAGCTACCGATTTTTCAGAAGAAAAAAATTATATTTCAAATTTCGCTCGATAAATTTTGATTATTTTTATGGAGTATGTTATTTAGACGTATACACATGTCATACGTAAATGGCAAGCCCATTCAATGCTTATGATGGTTTCTATAGGTGGTAGAAGATAGTCCTGCTCCTTACTGAGCTACCGATTTTTCAGAAGAAAAAAATTATATTTCAAATTTCGCTCGATAAATTTTGATTATTTTTATGGAGTATGTTATTTACAAGTATACACGTGACATCATTAAATGGCAAGCCCATTCAATGCTTATGATGGTTTCTATAGGTGGTAGAAGATAGTCCTGCTCCTTACTGAGCTACCGATTTTTCAGAAGAAAAAAATTATATTTCAAATTTCGCTCGATAAATTTTCATTATTTTTATAAAGTATGTTATTTAGACGTGTACACATGTCATACGTAAATGGCAAGCCCATTCAATGCTTATGATGGTTTCTATAGGTGGTAGAAGATAGTCCTGCTCCTTACTGAGCTACCGATTTTTCAGAAGAAAAAAATTATATTTCAAATTTCGCTCGATAAATTTTCATTATTTTTTTGGAGTATGTTATTTAGACGTATACACATGTCATACGTAAATGGCAAGCCCATTCAATGCTTATGATGGTTTCTATAGGTGGTAGAAGATAGTCCTGCTCCTTACTGAGCTACCGATTTTTCAGAAGAAAAAAATTATATTTCAAATTTCGCTCGATAAATTTTGATTATTTTTATGGAGTATGTTATTTACAAGTATACACGTGACATCATTAAATGGCAAGCCCATTCAATGCTTATGATGGTTTCTATAGGTGGTAGAAGATAGTCCTGCTCCTTACTGAGCTACCGATTTTTCAAAAGAAAAAAATTATATTTCAAATTTCGCTCGATAAATTTTCATTATTTTTATGGAGTATGTTATTTAGACGTATACACATGTCATACGTAAATGGCAAGCCCATTCAATGCTTATGATGGTTTCTATAGGTGGTAGAAGATAGTCCTGCTCCTTACTGAGCTACCGATTTTTCAGAAGAAAAAAATTATATTTCAAATTTCGCTCGATAAATTTTGATTATTTTTATGGAGTATGTTATTTACAAGTATACACGTGACATCATTAAATGGAAAGCCCATTCAATGCTTATGATGGTTTCTATAGGTGGTAGAAGATAGTCCTGCTCCTTACTGAGCTACCGATTTTTCAGAAGAAAAAAATTATATTTCAAATTTCGCTCGATAAATTTTCATTATTTTTATAAAGTATGTTATTTAGACGTGTACACATGTCATACGTAAATGGCAAGCCCATTCAATGCTTATGATGGTTTCTATAGGTGGTAGAAGATAGTCCTGCTCCTTACTGAGCTACCGATTTTTCAGAAGAAAAAAATTATATTTCAAATTTCGCTCGATAAATTTTCATTATTTTTATGGAGTATGTTATTTAGACGTATACACATGTCATACGTAAATGGCAAGCCCATTCAATGCTTATGATGGTTTCTATAGGTGGTAGAAGATAGTCCTGCTCCTTACTGAGCTACCGATTTTTCAGAAGAAAAAAATTATATTTCAAATTTCGCTCGATAAATTTTGATTATTTTTATGGAGTATGTTATTTACAAGTATACACGTGACATCATTAAATGGCAAGCCCATTCAATGCTTATGATGGTTTCTATAGGTGGTAGAAGATAGTCCTGCTCCTTACTGAGCTACCGATTTTTCAGAAGAAAAAAATTATATTTCAAATTTCGCTCGATAAATTTTCATTATTTTTATGGAGTATGTTATTTAGACGTATACACATGTCATACGTAAATGGCAAGCCCATTCAATGCTTATGATGGTTTCTATAGGTGGTAGAAGATAGTCCTTCTCCTTACTGAGCTACCGATTTTTCAGAAGAAAAAATTATATTTCAAATTTCGCTAGATAAATTTTGATTATTTTTATGGAGTATGTAATTTACAAGTATACACGTGACATAATTAAATGGCAAGCCCATTCAATGCTTATGATGGTTTCTATAGGTGGTAGAAGATAGTCCTGCTCCTTACTGAGCTACCGATTTTTCAGAAGAAAAAAATTATATTTCAAATTTCGCTCGATAAATTTTGATTATTTTTATGGAGTATGTTATTTACAAGTATACACGTGACATAATTAAATGGCAAGCCCATTCAATGCTTATGATGGTTTCTATAGGTGGTAGAAGATAGGCCTGCTCCTTACTGGGCTACGGTTTTTTTCAGATAAAAAAATTATATTTCAAATTTGGCTCCAATAAATTTTCATTATTTTTATGGAGTATGTTATTTAGACGTATACACATGTCATACGTAAATGGCAAGCCCATTCAATGCTTATGATGGTTTCTATAGTTGGTAGTAGATAGTCCTGCTCCTTACTGAGTTACCGATTTTTCAGAAGAAAAAAATTATATTTCAAATTTCGCTCGATAAATTTTGATTATTTTTATGGAGTATGTTATTTACAAGTATACACGTGACATAATTAAATGGCAAGCCCATTCAATGCTTATGATGGTTTCTATAGGTGGTAGAAGGTAGTCCTGCTCCTTACTGAGCTACCGATTTTTCAGAAGAAAAAAATTATATTTCAAATTTCGCTCGATAAATTTTGATTATTTTTATGGAGTATGTTATTTAGACGTATACACATGTCATACGTAAATGGCAAGCCCATTCAATGCTTATGATGGTTTCTATAGGTGGTAGAAGATAGTCCTGCTCCTTACTGAGCTACCGATTTTTCAGAAGAAAAAAATTATATTTCAAATTTCGCTCGATAAATTTTGATTATTTTTATGGAGTATGTTATTTACAAGTATACACGTGACATAATT